TTAGATCCCTGAGATTATAAATAGTTAAGAGTGCTAAGGTACTAACTTAAATTTCTGTAGGATTATCAGGTAGAATCAGTTAGCTGAGCTCTTTTTGAGAGCAGGAGTTTGGGGAGGGGAGAGTGAGTGGAGGAAAGGACAGAGGCTTGAAGTTTCAGGGGCCACAGAAGGGGCGAACAGTCAAGAAGGAGGCTGGAGAGGAGCCTTAACTTTCCAGCCAAAGCTTGACATCACTAGCATGGTGTCAAGTCTGCTTAAACAGAAAGGTCACAGGCTCCTTCCTGGGTGAAACAGTGGATCCAGGTGCCCTATCAAGGGGCATCCTAGGAGCCCCAGCATGTCAGCAGGAGAAGGTCAAAGTGCACAGAAGAGTGTGGGACAAAACCCTTCTTGTGCAAAAGAACCTGCTGCATTTAAAGCTAGCAAGGGGTGTGTGTGCAAACCCAGAAGATCTGTAAGGCAGATTCATTAGCATATATGCAAATCTTAATTAATTAAATTTCTCTTAAAAATTTTCATTAAACTTCTAGTTTTACACTTACAGGTTTACATAAAAACTGTAAACATAGCTCTGGGTTCCCATGTGTCGTCCCTCTTATCTGTGGTTTTACTTTCTGAAGCTTTTTAGTTACCTGTAGTCAACTGTGGCACAAAAAACTACTAAATGGAGAATTCTTAGGATAATTCAGAAGCGTTAAATAACCTCCACTATTGTATATTGTTTTAACTATCCTATTTTATCTTAGTATTACTCATCTCTCATTGCCTAATTTATAAGTTAAACTATCCCCAGTGCGTGTATAGAAAGTTTAATGTATGTCGGGGGGGTTTCCTTGTTTCTGATGAGCTGCAGTTTCACAGAGCACCACGGAAGTATTTTGTAAAATGCTCCTCAGTTGTCAGCCGTCTCTGCTTTTCTCCTGACTGGACTGGGCTTATGGATTTGTTTATACATAAAACTTTTATTTTTGTTTTTAATGTGTGCTTTGCATGCATGCACACCACACGCAGTGGTCCTGGAGGCCAGAAGAGGGCACTGGAGGGCTTATCACTGGAGCTACAGACCATTGTGAGTTAAGGTCCTCTGCAAGAACAAGTGCTCTTAACCGCTGAGCCATCTCTCCAGCCCTGGGCTTATGTGTTTTGAGGAGGCTGGCGGAAGAGGTCATGCACTGAATCACAGCACATAGGGAGGGCACAGGCTGTAAACATGCCTCCTCACCGCTGACGCTGACTTTGAGCCAGGCCCAACTGCCCATCAAGTTCCTCTACTGTGAGGTTTCATTCTTCTTCCTTTTCTTCTCAGATGTAAGAACCTAAGCTTTAGCCCACACTTAATGAATGGAAAGCTATGTTCCACCACCCCGAGTGCACATTCTTGTGCATCATGGGGGATGAGGAGTTCTGTGTGAGCGTCTGTGTTCTCTCCGTGTGTGCCTCTGTGTAGCCAGTTATACCAATATGGAGTCGTGCATCTTCATTTTTTTCACTGAGTTATTGCATTGCCCATCAGCCTAGCTCTAGTCAGCGGAAGTTCTCAGTTGGCTCCTGTATCTAGGTAACACATCCCTGAGGTTTTTTTGGTTTTGCTTTTTCAAATCTTCTTGAGATCATTCTAGTTTTGAGATGTTCCAGGGTCATCTGGTATAATCCCTGCTCCAATCTTAGGATCAGTCATGTTGTAGATACTGTGTGTGCACCAGTCATGTATGAAAAAAAAAAAAAGCGGAAATGGGGGCTGAGGAGATTGCTTGGTCAGTACAGTGCTTGATGTGCAAACATGATGAGCTGAGATCAATCCCTACACTTATTTCTAAACGTCTGACAAGGTGGCATATACTTCTAATCCCATCACTAGACAAGCACGCAGGCCTGTAGAGGAATGTTAATTCAGAACGTGGCTGCTCTGGCAAGAGAGCACATCCAAAGATCTTCTAGGTCTGTGTGATCTGGTTGGAATCCAAACACACCTTTAAGCCAGGAGACAGAGGCAAGCAGATCGGAGCTTAAGGCAAGTTTCAGGTAAAGAAAAGCTTAGGTCCAGGCATGGCGGCACATACCTTTAATCCCAAACAATGAAGATAAGAGTTAGTTTGTAGAAAGAAGCACCCACGTTTAAAAGTGATGTCTGTTGGGTGGAAAAGTGATGAATCAGAGAAGATTTGGCAGAACAGACTACACCCCACTCTCATGAGAAGAGAGAGGAAAGGGAGGATACTTGAGGGTCAATGCAGAGGGAGAGAGAAGGCAGTTTTACTGGGACAGTAATAGAGAGACAGGTTGCAGAGAGAGAACTCAGCTGAAGACAGAATGAGCCAGAGAATGAGAAGGAGCCAGGAGAGTAGAGCAGATTGCTGGAGTTAGTTTGAGGCTAAGCAGAGCACTTCAGAGGCCCAGAGAAAAGCCAGATTGAATAAGTCAGCTGGGAGAGGAGTTTGAGGCACAACAGCTGAGTTGAACCAGACAGCCCAGAGCTCAGTAAGAACAACTAAGGCTGAGCTTACTCAGCAGTAAGTCTCAGAGGCTGAAAACATTCTAGACCTAGGTTAGATTGTACGGAGGCTAGAAGCTTCCAGGACTAAAGACGAAGGCAGTAAGCCTCCCAGACAGCAACTGAACCAGGTGAATAAAAGTTCCTTTTACACAAGTGGGACCTGGAGACTGGCTGGCCAGCCGGCTAAGCCTGCTCTGTGACTTCTAGGTTAGTAAGAGACCCTGCCTCAAAAAACACAGTGGAGAGCACTTGAGGTATGACCCCCAAGGTTGACCTCTAGCCTTTACATGCACACACACATAAAAGATGGGTTTCATTATGAGATTTTCATAGCATATATTTTATTTGCTTATATTTATTGCTCACTTCTCTCTTCCTTTTCTCTTCCCCCTCCCACTACTATCCCTCATCTCCCCAAATAGTCACCCTTGTACTTTTCTTTTTAAAACTCAAAAAAAAAAAAAAAAAAAAAAAAAAAAAAGGCTTTTTGAGACAGTTTCATGGAAGCTGGGCTGGTCTCAAATTTGGTGTGTAGCCAAATATAACCTTATCCTCTGCCTCTATTTGCCCAAGTTCTGGGATTACAGGCATGCACCACTACACCAAGCATACATTTCTACTTTCATGGTTTTTTTTTTTAACTTTTCAAAAATCTTCATTATTTTTGATGAGTAGTAACTAACTGAAATGGTTACTGACATAGCACAGTAGTTGTGGGAAGCTTTTGTTCTTCTGGCTTCCCCATATGGGAAAACACTCAATGATTTGTAGGAGACAAGCAGTGTCCCAGAGTCTTGGGAAGCGCGCCATCATTCATTGTTCTTCTTCATAAATGCATTTTATTTATCTTGAAGGTGTACTGGACCATCACATCAGTTTATGTGGTGCTGGGGTGAACCCAGGGCTTCGGGCATGCTATGCAAGCATTCTTCCAACTGAACCACACAACCCCACCCCTCTTTTTAAACCTAGATTTCCCACTTAAGAGAAAGCGCGTAATATTTGTTTTCTGATTCTGTATTATGTTAGCATGATGGTCTCCAGTTCTATTTTCCTACAAATTACATAATTTTATTATTTTAAAAAAATGTATGCATGTGCATACATATAGTATATGCATGTATGTTTATATGTGTGTGTGTGTATACCAATACACACACACACATGTGGGGAAGGTGTGTGCCATGGTGTCTGTTTGGAGACACCTTGAAGGACAGCTTGAAAGAGTTGGTTCTCTCCTTTCACCATGTGGGTTTTGGGTACTAAGCTCATCTTACTTGAGAGAAGCGTGTGGTTGTGAGGAGAGGGAGAAAGTCTGGGAGACAGAAAGAAGAGAACATGTCTGAATTTGGGTTACTGTTGCTGTGATGAAACACCATAACCAAGGCACCTTGGGGAGGAAAGGTTTTGTTTCAGCTTACCCTTCCAGGTGACAGTCCACCACTGAGGGAAGTCAAGGCAGGAACTCAAACCGGGCAGGAACCTGGAAGCAGAGGGAGAGGCAGAGGCTATGGATGGTGCTGCTTACTGGCTTTCCTCAGCCTGCTTTCTTACAGAACCCAGGACCATCAGCCCAGAGAGGGAACAATGCAGGATGTGGTGGGCTCTCCCCCATCAATTACTAGTTAAGAAAATGCTGGAATGCCGGATCTTATGGAAGCCTTTTCTCAACTGAGGCTCCCTCCTTTCAGATAACTCTAGCTAATGTCAAGTTGATGTAAAACTAGCCAGTACGGAGCACTTTGCAGGAATAACAAAGTTTCTTGAAGCTGTGAAGAACACTGTTAAAATAAGAACACTGAGTCTTTAATTAGTTTAAAAGTTTATATATATATATATATATATATATATATGCAAAACAGACACTGGCTAAAATCAAAGGCGCCCCCTCTTGGCTGCTGCTGTGCTGACTTGGAAACTGCACCTGCCACTGTTGCTGCTCTGGGCCTGTCTGCCCCTTCCCACAAACCCAGAGGAGGCCGGTGAGGCTCACACCAGATTAACTGTCTTCTTCCCCAGCTGCCAAGGCCTGTGGACCCTGGGACACGAGCTGAGTCTAAATATTTATGTCCCACATCTTAGAAAGGAAGGTTTTTTTTTTGTTTTGTTTTGTTTTGTTTTGTTTTCTTCCTTCCAGCCATGAGTTCTGCTGCCCCAACTCTCAAGGTACATGCTACTCAGTATACAGTGTGGGAGAGAAGAGCAGTCAGGCGTGGGGCAATTTTCTGAACTCTGTGACCCTGGCCCAGGCTGACCTTAAACTAGCCGTGTACTCCTGCCTCGGCTCCTCCAGTGCTGGGGTCACAGATGTGCAGCATTGTAGCCCAACTCCGGAGCGCCAGCTTTCTGGTTGGAGAACAGAGGGTCCTCCACACGCAGGGCCGGCTGTGGAGCATAAGGGCCCGTGAGTGTAAGGCAGCCAGTGCCAGTGTAGGGGTGCCGTCGGCTCGGCCCGGGACTCCTACAATCACCGGCCTTACCTGGCTGTTTCCTTTCTGTTCCACAGGAAATTTGTGAGAACCCCCGATTTATCATTGGTGGAGCCAACAGGACTGACATCTGCCAAGGAGATCTGGGTAGGACACTCCCTCCACCGTATCCTGCCAGGTGACCCAGCGCTAGTTAACCGGTGCTGGTTAATCTCTATTCAGAATGTGAAGAAGTAAATTCTGATTTTCCTTTTAATGCAGCTCAGAATGGCTTATTTTTGTTTGGTTGGTTGGTTATTTTGAGACAGGGTTTCTCTGTGTAGCCCTAGCTGTTCTTGAACTCGCTCTTTAGACCAGGCTGACCTTGAACTCACAGAGACCCACCTGCTGGGATTAAAGGCGTGTTCCACCACCAGTTTTAGAACGGCTTTTTATTTATTTAATTGTGTGTGCATGTATATGCACACACACACACACACACACACCCTGGCACACGCCTGTGAAGGTCAGAGGACGACTTGTGGGGGTCAGTTTTTTCCTCCTTCCATGTGGGATCTGGAGGTCAAACTCAGGCCATCGGATCAGGTGTGTCTTGCCCAGCAGAGGAGAGGCCGAGGTTCTGTGGTGTTGGCTCGGCTGTCCCACTTCCCTTCCTCTTCCACCTTTTGTTGTGGAGGCATCCTCCCTGGACAGATGGCATGCAAGCTCTGTGAAGGACATTGGAGAGAACATTAAGAGACTATTTAAAACTTGACCCAAAAAAAAGGCGAGTGCAACTGAAAAACACCGACTTAACTTTGTTCCAGAAAAAGGCCGAGGGCGTTGTGTGGCGGGGCTTCCGGTTGCCTGAGGGACACTTCCTGGAGAGTGAGAGCAAACTAAGCCCCGAGCCCTTCAAAACCAATACGCTGCTTCCCAGGACAGGCTGGCTGATTCCAAGAAGGAGACAGGTGGCGTGGGCAGTTGTTAGCCTCTCCTCACCAGCAGGGTGGCAGCTAGCCTGTGGCCCTAGTACCAGCGGTGGGACCGTTGAGGTGCTGAGTTCTGCTGTCTCTTTGCCCCACCTCTCAAGGTATGCTGCTCAGCATACCGTGTGAGAGAGAAGACGGGACAGGTATGTCCCTTCGCCAGCTTTAGTGCCCTTTGTAGAATGGTCGTAGGGCAGCTAGCTGCCTAACAGGCCTGCCTTCTGATGCATATCTATTTCGTGATGGTTCTCTGACAGTTTTCCTTGATGCCAGAAGGGAAAACGGGTTCACCCCACAAAGACAGAGGACAGCCATGATCACCACTGCTCTGTCTCCCTGAGGCCCTAGAAGGAAGTCTTTTGTAGAAGGAGGAATCAGTTGACCTTAGGAAAGCATCTACTCCTGAGAGAATGAGTTAACCTGCTCCTCATGCTGTTAAAGAGTTTCTGTCACTCTCCTTGCCTCGGCCCATACCTGGGTGAGGGCAGACAGGAAGTAGGGCAGCAGGCACCATGAGCACCCCAATTCTTCGGCAATGGGGAGCTTCTGGCGGGGGCTGGGCCCAGAGGGGCCCAGAGGAGCAGCCCCCATCTGACTGCCTGGGCCTCTGTTTACCTGCAGGGGACTGCTGGTTTCTCGCGGCCATCGCCTGCCTGACCCTGAATGAACGGCTGCTTTTCCGAGTTATACCCCACGATCAGAGTTTTACTGAAAACTATGCAGGGATCTTCCATTTCCAGGTGAGGACGTGGGAGTGTGGCTGAGATGCCAGCCATGCCTTGGTTAATGAGTTAAAGGTGATCTCAGGGAAGGCACCGAAATGCTCTGTGTCACATTAAGGAATGAAAACAAAGTGACCTCTCTTGGATTACTTTAACCAAGAGCCAGCCCTCTTCTCTCGGTGTCTTCCACCTATCCATAGTCTGTGCTTACTGACCTGTGTGTGATCTGTCTGTCCTTGTTGCCTGTGTGAGGTATCCGAGGTGTGTGTGTGTGTGTGTGTGTGTGTGTGTGTGTGTGTGTGTGTGTTAGCTGTCATAGCTGTGTCTTCTCATCTGTGCCTGTATTGTATACCTGGTTCCTGATGTGTGGCATGGTGTGTGTGTGTGTGTGTCTGTCTGTCTGTCTGTCTGACTGACTGTCTGAATCTGTGCCTGCCTCTAACAGAGGGTTTCGATTTTATTGAACAGCACAGAAAACAGTATGAGGGATTCTTTCAGAAATCTTCAACAGATTTTTACAAGGAAAATTGTTACTTTACTAATCCCAAGTTACTTCGAACAGCACTCTGAACCACACAACGTATCATCGACTTCTATCCACATGCTGCTTCCAGCATTTATGGGGTATTTGTTGATTAAGGTTGCTTTCAAACTCTTGGCTGTTTTCAGTAAATTGTTACCACAACATAGGTAATCTTGTGTCAGGGGCATAGGAGAGCACACACCTTAAGATTAAAGCTAGGCATTTAGCTGAGGCTGTACAGGCTGTTGTAATCCAAAGCATGATGGGATTGGCTCCACTGTTACCTTAAAGGTCAGTTAAACTCAAACAGGCTGAGCACAGAGTAGGATAGCAGGTGAAGTACATAATCCTAAATGATCTCAAGGCATAGTATTAACTTGGCTGCAAGGTCCAGAAAAAAAGTTCAGTTTCTTTGGAGTCAAAAAAAAAAAAAAAAAAGTCACCACACAGCCACAGTCTACCCAGCACCAGTCTCCTGGCCTTGCCTTCCTCCCCAATGGGCCCAGGAAAGGCTCCATACACCTGCCTGTGGGCAATGTCCCCTTTATTGCTCCAAGCTTTGAGAGGAGGCGGTTGTTTACCTGCGCCCCTGCCTTACATACTTTCCACTGTGACCCAGAAGGGGAGGGAGGGAGGCATCCTATCTGCTGTCCTGCGTGTCTATTTTTGCCCTCCAGCTGGCTGGTTGCAGGTTATTGCCTGCAGCCCCCTCAAACAGGTTCTTGAGGTGCCCCCTCTGAAAGCGGTGGGGTTCTTTGGGTTTTTGCTGGAATCCCTGCTCCATGAACTGTAGCTCCTGTACTCTGTGCCTTTGACAGCAGAGTCTACACCAAATCTATCAGGCCCTGCGGGAAAATTCTGGTCTTCTGGGCTTTTATTGCTAGTTTGACCCAGACCTGAAATTATTGATTCTAGAAGCCATTAATCCACTACAACCTTCCTGAGTACTGATCATCTTGGCACAGAGATAAACTTTGGGCTGGACCGGAACTGACCTGACACCTGCATGTGCGGTTCTGGAACGTTCTGGGTTTCTGGGCAGTCTCCCTCCAGTCCTGAAGACTCCTGATGTTCAGAATGACTCAGCTTTCTCAGCTGATGTCCCTATAGTATTGTACTTCCCTCCTTTTCTATTTCAGTCCTTCATTTTGTCATCAGCTGGGTGTGGTGGCACAGACCTGTACTTCCAGCACCCAAGAGGCTGAGGCAGGAAGAGCCTAAGTTCAAGGCCAACTGGGTACCTAATTGTTTGCCTGTGCTACCTGACTTCACACATGTTCTGCTGTGCCCCAGAAAAGGAGGGAGGGAGGCATCTGCTGGCCTGTGTGTCTCAAAAACAACAGAAAAGAAGGAAGTAGGGAAGGAGAGATGGAGGGAGGGAAGAAGAGAAAGAGGATGAAAGGAGATAAAGTTAGCCCACCAGCTTTCTTGAATATCCTGAATCCTCAATGCTAGGCATACTCTTGGGATACATGACGGTACTTATAACCAGGTCTGTCCTAGACCTGTGGGCAAAGGAGAAAAGATTCAGATCCCTAAGATACCCACAGAGGACCAATTACGCCCAGAACAGGGCTGTGCTTTTTGCCAGACACCAAGTGGTATACAGTTTCCTGTACTGCAGAAGCGCACAGCCTAGTTGGAGACGGAGACACACACTGGAAAGCCAGACTAGAATGAACAAGGTCAACGGTGCAAAGCCTGGGAACCGGTAGTGCTTGGGCAGCCTATGGCCGTGACTGTGTTTCTCGCTTCTTGCAGTTCTGGCGCTATGGAGACTGGGTAGACGTGGTGATTGATGACTGTCTGCCGACATACAACAACCAGCTGGTTTTCACCAAATCCAACCACCGCAATGAGTTCTGGAGTGCTCTGCTGGAGAAGGCTTATGCCAAGTGAGGCGACGTTCGGGATAGGACACGCGACTACGGGTGGGGATGTGGATGTAAAGATGCAGCCAACGTCTCTTCCACACTGGGCTTGGCACGTGTATACATGTTCGTATGCATTGTGGGAGTTCAGCCAAGACTCTGAGTCAGCTTGAGATCAGGTCCAGGCAGTAGGAGCCCTACCTGAAGAACCTAAAAACAAGAAGAAATAAAGATGTGTGCAGTGAATCGGCAGCTTCCCACAGCCAGCTCTTTGGTCCTGCCTTCCTGGTGGTGTTTTAAGTCCTGGATCAGCTCACTGCATCTCTGGAGCTCAGCTCCTAGGATCTTAGTTGCTTAGAACCATATGCTTGTAATGTGTTCATATAGCCAAGTTGTCTCTTACGTTGTGCATTCCACCTCCCCTGCTAGGTTTAGCAGATGGTGGAAGAGTGCTGTGGGGAAGTGGGGACAGTTGGTGACAATGCCTCTGGCCCTCTGTGGCCTTGTGCTAACTTAGCTGGTCATACTTTCTGGAACTCCTGGACTCCAGCTTGGCTTTTGTCCTCTCTCCAAGGCTCCATGGTTCCTATGAAGCTCTGAAAGGTGGGAACACCACAGAAGCCATGGAAGACTTCACAGGAGGGGTAACAGAGTTTTTTGAGATCAAGGATGCTCCCAGCAACATGTACAAGATCATGAGGAAAGCCATTGAGAGAGGCTCACTCATGGGCTGCTCCATCGATGTGAGTGTGGTTCCTTTTCCTCGGTTAGCAAGAGCCCACAGCTTCCTTCTGAGATGGGGTGAACGCTTTCAGGGGCAAGAGCCAGGTCTGTGAGGTGGATCACTGGTAAGGGCACGTATACTAAACCTGAGGTCCTAAATTGGATCCTTGGGATCCACAAGGTAGAAAGAAACAACTTTCCTTTAACATCTGCATGCACCTCACCCCACAGTAAATAAATAAATGTTAAAAAAAATAAATAAATAGGAACTACCAGTAACTCCAGCAATTTAGGAGTTGAGGCAGGAGGATTATTAGTTCTGGGCCAACCTGGGATGCATAGTGAGATCCTACTTAAAAAAAAAAAAAAAAAAAGAGCATGAATAATTCTTGACTTTAAAATTTGGGGGTTTTTCAATGGAAATTTATTCCTGGGGATGGGGTGGTTCCCAATAAAGAAAACTGAGCAAAGTCCTAGAGTTCTGGTAGAAATAGATCCGGAGGCCCCACTGAGAGGCCTGTGGACCTAAGCCCACCATTTCCCTTAGAAAGAGTCCCAGTGGTGGAGCCGTGACATCACGTCAGTCCTTGCGCTTTGTGCTGCTGACTGGAAGATCTCCCTGAGACCCTCTCTCAGTGTATTGAGGTGATAAGAGCTGAGACAGGAAGGAGGAGAGGACCCACCCTGGCCTGGTTTCCAAGGGCTGGGGAGCTCCATTTCAGAAGAGGGGGCATGGCAAGCTTCCTCCTGTCTCTTTCTCTCCCAGCAGTCGCTGTGGGCAGGAAGGCTCGGTTGTCAGTCAGCATAAGCATACCACCCAGGAGAACTCTCCTTTCACTACTGCTCCTCTGCATCTTTTCTGCATTTGTGCACTGTTGATGTGTCCTCTTTTCCTTTGTCTGCCTCTCCCCTCTTCTGTGTCCTTCCCTTCCCACCCTTCCTTGTTTGCTCTCTTTCCCTTTCCTGGGTTCTCCACTTTCCTTCCCATCCGGCCTCAGGATGGCACGAACATGACTTACGGAACTTCTCCTTCCGGTCTGAACATGAGGGAGTTGATTGCGAGGATGGTGAGAAATATGGATAACGCGCTGCTCCAAGACTCAGACCCGGACCCCAGGGGCTCAGATGACAGGCCATCACGGGTGTGTACACACCTCCAACTGTCCAGACTGACTGGCACCCCCTGATTTACACCCTGCTGGAGTCAACGCTCCAGAGAAGCCAGTGCCAACAGAATAAATTCCCTCTGCTTTGTTAACTCTCCTACAAGGAATGGAGGGCCCCCGGCACTAGAGAGCTTACATCCTCCTGTTTGAAAGGCACTCGTGCTTACCGAAGGACTGAGCCGTACAGAAAAACAGAGAGGAAAATTTAGCCTGTGTTTTCCCATGTAAAGACAACTGCCCAGCATTTAGTATGTTGTTCTTTCTAGCACATGCTTAAACTGTATTTTTGTTTTTAAAATCCTGTCTTATTCTATGTTACATCTTTGCAGCCTGCTTTTTTGTTGTTGTTGTTGTTCAGGCCCATATTTTAAAAATGCAGCTAAGTATTCTTTTATATCATCTTAGTAGCTGCACACTATTCCAATGTGCAAATATGTTATGATTTACTTACCAACGCTCTGTTATTGAATAGTTAGAGGGGTTTTTTTTTTAGTCTGTTTTTCAAAGTGATATAATAAGCATTTCAACAGAGACACCTTTGTATAATAGACCCACAATGGCTTCTGTGGGACAGATTCCCAAGAGTAAAACTTCTGGGTCAAAATGACAGGCTGAAAATCATCTTGTGCAGCCTCTGAGGTATAGGTGTGAAGACCAGGGAGTGTCCTGCCCCATTCTGGGTTAGGAATGATATCTAAGAGACTAAGATGAAGAAAACTTAAAGGCTCATCCACACCTGTCACCCCGAAGGCAGCTTCAGGAATTTACACCCATGTGGTTCCCAGAAGCTCCCCCAAACCTGTTGTTAGCAGGCCAGCTGGTGCTGGGATGCCTGTCAAGCACTCAGTGGGCCTTGCTGATCCACCCTTGTGCCTATGGACCCTCTAGACTACATCTCTGCCCCTGCAACAGCTCTCCCTGCACTCAGGCACAGTCATGTCACAGCAGGGAGCCACCCAGTATTCCCGGTATTGGGAGCAGGGACAGAGTTTTCTTGACTTTCGTGTTCTAGGTTAAAGTGTGAGGGAAATGAGGAGATGCCAAGAGAAAAGTTGAGATGTGTAAGTTTTATTAAACTCCCCTTCTCAATTTCTTCTTTTGGAATACTCAACTCTTGATAGGCTCAGAGAAAGGCACAGACCTCAAATGTCTCCTCTCCTCTCCTCTGCTGAAGGGGCCTAGAAGGGAGGGCCAGATCCTTTGACTCACCGCCTGTTCCAGCACCCACCTTGCTCACTGGCCATCAGGGCAGTATGATCAGCTAGGGGAGCTAGGGCCAAATCGTCCTGTTGTTCTTAAAAAGGCATCAGGTTGGGGGCCTCTGATGCCAGCTATAAGGCATTCTGTCATTCTTAGTCTGAAATAACTCAGAAACAGACCAGTATGAACTCTTGTCTCCAAGCAGCAGAACTGCTGTCCTCAGCTGCCTAATAGGCTGTCTGGTTGTTGCTCTGCAGACGATTGTTCCGGTGCAGTATGAGACGAGGATGGCCTGTGGGCTGGTGAAAGGTCATGCCTATTCAGTCACTGGGCTGGAGGAGGTGAGTCTGGTGGAGCATGGTGGGGCCTGACAACTTTCTGTGCCTCCTTCACCACCCAAAGAGCTTGCCAGTTAGGTCCAAGCTGGGTTCCTGGGGGTAGCGGGGCCTGTGGGACCTAGTAGAGTTAGACCTGGCTGCAGATGTTTCTTGATTCAGCTGTGTGTGTGTGTGTGTGTGTGTGTGGTTTGCCTTGTTTTGAAATGGTGTCTCTCTCTGAGCTGGACCTTACCAGTAGGTTAGATTGGTTGGCCAATGAGCTCGAGGCATCCCTCCCTCCCTGTGCTGGGGTTAAAGACATGCTTGTCTGTGCCATCTTTTTACGTGTGTGCTGGGGAACTGAACCTGGATCTCTATTCTTGATTCGCAGGTATTTTGCCAGCTAAACCATTTCCCTGGCCCTTCTCTTTGCTTTTAATGCTGAAGATGGGAATTTTTCTAGTGTTTCCAAGGAATGATTAGAAATACTGCTTTTGTCCTACAAAATTGGGTTTGTGTGTTGCCATGCTTCCTGTTCTCATGTTCACTTGCAATATTTTGCTGCCTGTGGGGCTTCTGAATTTTCCTGGGTCATTTTCCAAGCAGGAACACTATTGCTATAGCATACAGTTGAGCATGTTAAGCCCTGGAGAAAGGAACGGCCTGAGGGAGGCTGTGTCTGCATCCCCCAGTGCACATAACTAGAGAATGGGGAATCTTTTTCTAATTGGTCCATTGAGAGGAGACATCTGTCTGTAGTTTTGCCAGCAGGAGCCTGTTAGTGTACTTTTTAAAAACTTATTTTTATTTCTTTTATTTTTTCCTCCCTACTCCACCCCAATCCCTTCCAACACCCCAATATCAGGTAAGAGAGAGAAAGGGCTAGTGGGAGTGGGGTCACAGTTCTCTTAGCTGCTTCCTGCTGGTTAGGGTCATCGGGTTCCTTCGAGCCAGTCTAATCCTCAGTTCAGGAGCTCTCCAACTTCTTATCTCACAACAGAAACCAGGAGCAGCCAGGGGGAAGCAGGAGCAGCCTTGTTTTTTCTTGGGGTTCCTCCACACTGGGCTCTGGCATTTATTCTCTCTCCAGAGTCCTCAGATTTAAACTATCTGCAGCTGGCAAAGATTTCCTCTCAGAGCCTGCACAAGGCAAATAGTCTGCTGCTGTGGACCATCTGAATCAGTCCCACATCCCACACCTGGGACCAACAGGAAACCATGCTTATATACACAACAGGAACCTTTTAAAAAAAACTCACGCAGAGGGCCAGTGAGGTGACTTGGTTGGTAAAAGCCCATATTGTGCAAGCCTGCAGCTATTCAAACCTGAAACCCATGGTAGAAGGATGACTGACTCCAGAAAGTTTCCCTCCAATGTCCACACGTGCCCTAAACACATAGGCACCCCCCAACACATACATACTAAAAATAGATGCTAGAGAGGTGACTCTGCAGTTAAGAGCACTTATTGCTCTTCCAGAGGACCTGGGTTTGGTTGTCAATGCTTCAGATGGCTCACAACCACCTGTAGCTCTAGCTAAAGGGAATCTGATAGCCTCTGGCCTTCTTAGGCATGGAGATATGTGGTGCACACAAACTCATGTGGGTAAACATACATCCACATAAATAAAATAATAATAAGCCAGGCATGGTGGCGCATGCCTTTAATCCCAGCACTTGGGAGGCAGAGGCAGATGGATCTCTGTGAGTTTGAGGCCAGCCTGGTCTACAAAGCAAGTCCAGGACAGCCAGGGCTACACAGAGAAACCCTGTCTCAAAAAAACCAATAATAATAATAATAATAATAATAATAATAATATAAAGTAAAGCCCACACAGAAATACTTAATAAATATGTTCTTAGAGCCTCACTGTACATGCTTATCCCCTCCACCAACACATGTAATGGTCAGACTCCTTACCCTGTCAGAGGCTTCTGCTTTGTCCACCTGGCCAGGGCCAGGCAGACAGACTTCATGCTGGATTCTCTCAACTTCTACCCCAGCCCTGACAGCAAGTCAGACGCCCATCTCTCCAGACTTGCTCAAGCTTCAGAGCTGTGTCTCTTTGCCCCAGGCCCTGTTCAAAGGCGAGAAGGTGAAGCTGGTGCGGCTGCGGAACCCCTGGGGCCAGGTGGAGTGGAACGGCTCTTGGAGCGATGGGTAGGTGAGGCAGACAACAGAGCGGTAGAGCCTGGGGTGCCAAACCAGGTACCAAACCAGGAGAGTACTGCTGGCACCGTCCCACATCACCTTCAAAACAATGACCTGCAGAGAAGGATACGGGCTTCCAAAAGGTCTGGGGGTGAAAGCAAGGGAGCCAGGGTCTCGGTGAACACAGTGGTGGCTATAGGTTTGAGAGGAATGAGTCTGGAAGAGTTATCTTCTGTGCTGGGTTCTGGGCTAAGCAGGCATTCCCTTCTTGGTGTCTCTTAGCCTCAGCTGTGAAATGGAAGCAGTGCCAGCGCTCTCTGGGTGTGTGGGGGTGGGGGTGGGGGGGTGTGCATAAATGTGGCGTCTCGGGAAAGTGTGTAACTGAGTCCGAGATAGCTGCTCCTTCGCTGTCCACATACTCAAGACCTGTGAAAGAATTTTACTGCTTATGGCTGGAGAGATGGCTCAGTGGTTAAAAGTACTGTCTGCAATTCCAGAGGTGCTGAGTTCAATTCCCAGCAACCACAGGGTGGCTCACAATCATCTACAATGGGATCTGATGCCCTCTTCTGGCCTGCAGGTGTACATGCAGATAGAGCACTCATACATAAAATAAGTAAATATTTTTTTTAAAAAAAATAATTTAACTGCTTATCTCTGAAAAGAAAAACAAAAACAAAACAAAAAAAAAAAACAGACTAGGACCAATAAGATGACCACCGTGGCGAAGCCATCACAAAGGCTTCCGCACTTTCCAAGCCCCTCTAGAGCTCTCTCAGTCGCTGAGCTAGGTCGTCCCTACTAAATGACAGGCAGCCCCTTGTGCCTGGACAGTGAGACTCAACAGGCCTACTTCCAGGCCCTGTGCTGATCTGCTCTTGGAGACTTCTGCTTGCACTGTAGAAGTGCTTGGTCGCTCCTGGTCCTTTCAGCCACACACTCATTCACTTAGCAAGTGTTCATCGCTCACCTGTTAACTAGGAGGCACAAGGCGGAGCCCTGAGGATAGCCGTCTCTCAGTAGACACACAAGATGCTGATGGTGAGCCTGCCGCTTCCTACAGTCACATGCGTCCCTACCCTTGTCACTCATCCAAGTGACAAACCCTTTCTTGGAGCCGACTCTTTGCCTCTGAGGGTGTAGAGAGGAATGCAAAAACACAGGCTTGTTCTTGTGGGATTCAGGTTCGATGGCGGGATCACAAAGGTACCTGAAGGTAGAGCTGGGCGAAAGGTGCTCTGTGTGATGGGAGGTCCTCACCGCCCCATCATTGCCAATTCTGTAGCCTAAGACACCCGCATTGACCTTGCTGTGCTTCCAGACTGACTCAGAGCCTTGACACCTTTCCTGCTGACCTTTGACTCCAGGGCATCCTTGCTCCCGGCGCACCCTGAACCACAGTTAGCTTAATTCTAACCCAGTGAGCCTGAGACACAATGTGCTTACTTCCTCACTCCGGAGGAGAGAACGTGTAAAAGCATCCAGTTTTAGAAACAGTTCTGGGCTGTTTCCTGGCCAGAAAGGAGAGCCATCTACATGCTTAATCTTTTCTTAGCAACTCAGTGGGAAACAAGCTAACAGTTTCGGTGAGTTATTTGATGAACTCATCATAGTTCCCGGGTAGATGATGTAATTGTTTCCCCTCTGCAGCTGAGGACATCATCAAAGCTGACAGGTCAATCGGCAGGTCTAAAGATACACAGCTGTCTGTTACCACAGGAGAAGCCCAGTTTGCCTATTTGCAGAACCAAACTCTGAATGAGGAGACTATTCAGCCAGAGACAGTCAAGCCCTTGTGACCTGCTAGAGGAGTTTGGTCTTGGTACTAAAGGTGGTGGGAATTGACTACAGGCCTGAGGGTAGCAGGGCAGGGCTGTGTTTTGATGGTGCAAACTGCCTGTGGTCTAGATATGGGCTTCTCTGACTTTGTATTTCTCTGATCCTCTGACACACCCCACATCAGGCCTCCCCTCCTTCCTCCTCCTCCTTCTTCCTTAATCCCTCCATTTTCCTACCAGTTGGAAGGACTGGAGCTTTGTGGACAAAGATGAGAAGGCCCGCCTACAGCACCAGGTCACTGAGGATGGAGAGTTCTGGTAAGTTCATGACCAGGGAGGTGAAGGCAGGGAGGTGAGACCTCAGTCCCCAATCAGAAGCCACCAAGCTTCATCTTTGGCACATCTGGGCCCTATCTTCCCACTGGGGCTCAGAGCCTAGCAAAGATGAGGTTCTGAAAAGAAAGACCTATGTCATGGCAGTGAATGAGCTCAGGCCCAGGCCTGCACATGGCAGCTCTTGTCCCAGCCGCCCTTGCAAACTGGCTCCCTTCTGAGCCAAAGGGATTCTCTTACCTGATGTCCAGTGCCAGCCTTATTCTGGTCATGTCAGCCTTCTGAATCTCAATGGACAGCAGTGTTCCTTGTGTGATGCCTATGGTCCCCTAAGGTCTCAGATGCATTTATTTGTGACACCATTGTCCTTAAAACCATCCTTTCCCAAGTGACATCTCTTTTCCCTGTGCCTAAAATGTGGCTGGCAATGGTGAAACATACAGTAACATTTGGAGAACTGATTTTTCAGCTCTCGCTCATCAAAGACAAATAAGGAGTCATTATTGTAAGGCGTGGTGATAATTTGGGATAGATATGTTAGAAATGGCAGTACCAGGCACACACCTGTAAGTCCATTACTTGGGAGATTGAGGCAGGAGGATCAAAAGGTCAAGACCAACCTAGACTACAGGAAGAAATCCTGTCTCTGCAAAGCAAGCAAACAAGCAAGCTGACAACACCAGGGTCTTCTGGGGACTTTAGTTGGCTGTTTCAGCCCTGGAATCTTCCCTTCGTCAGCCTTGTGTGAGTCTCTCCTCTTTCAACCTCTCAGGATGTCATATGATGACTTCATCTACCATTTCACAAAGCTGGAGATCTGCAACCTCACGGCTGACGCCCTGGAGTCTGATAAGCTTCAGACCTGGACGGTGTCTGTGAACGAGGGCCGCTGGGTGAGGGGCTGTTCTGCCGGAGGCTGCCGCAACTTTCCAGGTAAGGTGAAGGTCTAGGCAGAACTAATTCCAGGCAGAATAACATTAGCTGTCATTTACCGAGTCTGCACTAAGCTTAAAGAAGCACTGCCTTCTTAAAGCCGCCTCATTTAATGAAGGAAACAGTGGATCTCCAATAGGTACCTCTGCCGGCAGCAAAGGTTGAAGCAGGAAACTGTCAGAACACCACGTCAATATACTTGAGGCCCTGGCGGCTACCGCAGTAGTCATGGCGGAGATGCCGAAAGGCTGACCCAGTCAGTGGCTTCAGAGATGGAGGGGAGAATTCAGATTTAGGGAAGGAGTGGTGAATGGTGCCAAGGGTCCCAGTACACTGACCTCGGCGGATGAGTCAATACTGTAACATAGACTGTACGGAACAAAATTGGCGTGTTGTTTTTGAGTGTGGTTGGTTGTGGATTTAGAATAAGAGGACTTTAGTTTATGACATGAAAAGTAAGATTTGTGATAGAGAACTGAAGTCACCTACATTCTAGAGTAGACTTGGCTATATAACAAAAACTCAGTGAGGATGATAAAAGATGGTTCAGTGTATAAAGAGCTTGCCCGATAAACTGAGTCTGGATCCCCAGAACTCCCGTTAGAGTCAGGCACAGTAAGTCATGATCTACAGTTAGATGGGAAGTGGAGACAGGGGGATCTCCAGAAGCTCAGGGGCCGGTTAGCCCAGCATACTCAGCAGCAGACAACAGACACCCTCGAACAAGGTGTAAGAAGAGGACTGATGCGCAAGGCTGCCCTCTGACCTCCAGGCACATGCTGTGTCATGCATGCACCTGCTTTCACACACAAACACACATACATCATATACACACAGAACTCAGTATTCTATGATGAAAAGAAAGAGTAAATAAATGAGAGGAAAAGAGCGGTAGAGAGAAGTTAGACAAGAAACTGAGCTAAGACATGTAGCTCAGGTGTCCTTGGAATGTAAAGGTCAGTTAGGAAGCACAAGTCCTGCCAGGCAGTCGTGGTGCGCACCTCTGATCCCAGCAGAGGCAGGCGGATCTCTGAGTTTGAAGACAGCCTGCTCTATAACCAAGACAACCAGGGATACACAGAGAAACCTTGTCTCAAGAAAAAGAAGGAAAGTAGAAGTCTCTCATCTCTCTCGCTTTCTCTCTCTCTCACACAGAGAGTAGTGTGGGTCAGATGCCTAGGGAAAGGGCATAGGTGGAACCAGAGGAGAGCATAAAGCTAGATCCCAGAGACCAGAGACACTTAAAATGTAGGCTAAAAAATAAAGCTATCAGCAAAGACCATGGAAGTTCAGAAAGGAAGTGGCATGAAGGTCTTGTGTGTCCCTAGTCCATGCAATTCCATCTGTAGAACGACAAGCTTAGTGAGGGCTACCATTGCTGTGGTTAAACACCAAAGCCAAAACAACTTGGGGGAGGAAAGGGTTTATTTGGCCTTTCACATCACTGTTCATCTTAGGAGGAAGTCAGGACTGGAACTCAAACAGGGCAGGAACCTGGAGGCAGGAGCTTATGCGGAGACCGTGGAGGAGTGCTGCTTACTGGCTTGCTCCCCAATGGCTTGCTCAGCCTGCTTTCTTATAGAACACAGGACTATGGACTTACAGCCTGATCTTATGCAAGCATTAGCTCAATGAAGGCGCCCTCCTCTCTGATGACTGTAGCTGTGTCAAGTTGACATAATATTAGCCAACACACAGGTAGGGGTTCCACTCAGAAATAATTAGACAAATGCTTGAATCATGCTTTCGATAAATATTTGTCAAGCCCCTAGCCCAGGGCATCTTATCTGGAGCAGGGAGCTGGCCTCTTAAGCTTTTAACATGTAACTTCTTTTCGACGAGGGATTTTTACACAACCCTGCGTATATAGATATAAAATAGGTATGCAAATCAAACACTTACTGATAGTAAGTCATTAAGAAGTTTACTTGTTTGGAGAAACAGTCTCAGAAAAGACCCCTGGGCCCAGGTATATTTGGTCCTTGTGGAGTTCCTGTCCTCTCCAGGTCATACTAACTCTCCCTTCTTTCATATGATTCCCTGTACTCTGCCAAAGATTTGGTTATGAGTCACAGCATCTGTTTTGATACACTGCTAGATAGAGTCTTTCAGGGGCCCTCTGCAGTAGGCTCCTGTCCTGTCACTTGTTTTCTCCTATTTCCAATGTCCATCCCATTTGTCTTTCTAACTGAGGATTGATCATCTTATCCCATCTTATCTTGTTTATCTTCTGTAGGTGTACAGATTTTAATATGCTTATCTTATCTTATAGGTCTAGTATCCATTTATAAGTGAGTATATACCATGGGTGTCTTTCTGCTTCTGGGATACCTCACTCAGGATGATCTTTTCTAGTTCCCACCATTTGCCTGCAAAGTTCATGATTTCCTTGTTTTTAATTGCTGAGTAGTATTCCATTGTGTAAAAGTATCGCAATTTCTGTCTCCATTCCATGAATTTATATAACCTAGAACCCCTGGCCAGATGTAGCCCATCGCAGCTCAGTATCCAAGTGGGTTCCCTAGTTAGGAGAACAGGGACTGTCTCCAACATGAACTCAATGGCTAGCTCTTTGACCTCCCCCCTCCCCCCCAAGGAAGGAGCACTCTTGCTAGACCACAGAGAAGGACATTGTAGCCAGTCCTGAAGAGACCTGATAAGCTAGGATCAGATGGAAGGGGAGGAGGACCTCCCCCATCAGTGGACTTAGAGAGGGGCAGGAAGGAGATGAGGGAGAGAGGGTGGGATTGGAAGGGAATGAGGGAGAGGGCTACAGCTGGGATACAAAGTAAATAAACTGTAATTAATATATAAAAAAGAAGTTCACTTGTGGTACTGGAGAAGTGGCTCAGTGGCTAGGAGCACTGGGAGTTTCTTTAAAGGATTGGAGTTCAATTCCAAGCACCCACATGGCAGCTTACAACTGTCTGTAGCTCCAGTTAAACTGTCTGTAGCTCTAGTTCCAGGGGATCCATGGTACCAGGCATGCACCTGTGCCCGTGTGTGTGTGTGTGTGTGTGTGTGTGTGTGTGTGTGTGTGTTAAAAATACTCATAATAATACACATAAAATAAATATTTAAAATCAAAGTTTACTTGTGAGCCTGAGCATGTAACACAGTTGATAGTCTTCTTGCCTAGCATGCATGAAGTCTTGAGTTAAATCCCCACACATAGAATAAAGCGTGCATGATGGCACATGCCTCTAATCCCAGCACTCAGGAGGTAGAGTCAGAAGAACTGTCTCAAAAAGTTAAAAGAAAATAAATGTAATTTTAAAACAGTTCATTAGTACACGTGTAAGTTAACCAATGTACTTGTATAGTAACAAGATAGATGTGCTTGTTTACTTTTACACAGTAATTCAAATCTTGTTGAATATCAGACACTGCAGGACACAGAGCATCTTCAACATTTTTGGGGGTTGATGGATATTTTGATGCTATAATTGTCAATTATAGACATGAGAATTCCATTTATATAAATAAGTAGTGCAATTTGCTAGCAGTAACTTAGGGCCATTTCAGAAATTTCTAGGAATTCTGTCCTAATTCTAAGTAAAAATCCATTTAACGGGGACTGGAAAGATGGCTTAGTGGTAAAGAGCATTTATTCCTCTTGCAGAGACCCAGGTGTGGTTCCCAGCACCCACATGGTGGCCCTTTTCTGACCTCCCTGGGTAGCAGGCATGCATGTGGTACACAGACATACACACAGGCAAAACACCGTATTAAAAAAAAATCTGAAGTTGCCCCTCACCTTATGGAAAAGAGGTGACAGGTTCCCTGTGTCACTTTCCTGCCCTTCCCCCAAGAGGCATATCTGAATGCGCGCTTCTTTTCTCCGGGGCACAGACACTTTCTGGACCAACCCGCAGTACCGTCTGAAGCTCCTGGAGGAGGATGATGACCCTGATGACTCTGAGGTGATCTGCAGCTTCCTGGTGGCCCTGATGCAGAAGAATCGGCGCAAGGACCGGAAGCTGGGGGCCAACCTCTTCACCATTGGCTTTGCCATCTACGAGGTGTGAAGACCCCCCTTGCCCCGTTCCAGGCCCCGCACAGGAAACACACCTTTCCAGTGGGGAGGACTGGGAGTTTTCAGCAGGGCCCTCTGGCTTTCCAGGTCCTCGGTTACCTCCGGGGCTCCTGCTCTCCGGCCCACACACGTTTGTAACCAGCACTGGGGCTGGCAGGGTGGGAGCAGTGGTTAAGAGTCTACAGTCACTCTCTAGTTGCTGCCGTTTCCCTTCCGCCAACTCTGTACCCTCATTCACACCAAAGGTATTGTTTTTCTTTTCTTTTTTTTTCTTCCAGGTTCCCAAAGAGGTATAGCAGTGGCAGCGGCCAGCCGTGGCATACAGCATTCCTTGGGGGCCCTAAGTCTGTCTGTGGCTCCCTGAGAAGCTTCCTGGTAGGGTTGGTGAGCAAGGCTGATAGGAGGGTACCATACCCCATTTTGCTCATTTCCTCCCTTCCACCAGGATGCCCTGCCCATCAAACACACAGACCTTCACTCTCATTCTTCCACGCTCAGGCAAGTGCACGCTCGCAGAGACACGCTTGAAGGGTAGGAGAATTACCTCCTTCCCTCAGAATCCAGTCAGATTTCTTCCCAATCTCTGGGGCATTTGTCAGCCTGAGGGATTTGGATTTGGGGATCACCAGTTCTGGTGAGTGGCCCTGTCTAGGGAGAGCACAGACCTCCTGACCTTCATTTCTGAAACACACACACACACACACACACACACACACACACACACACACACACACGACTAAGTAAGATATGGAACTCCCGTGACATTGAACAATTTGAGGCCTTAGGAATTGGAAGTAGGTAGGTAGAGTCCGTAAAATGGATGTCCAAAGAGTTAGGAAGGGGCCCTTGAAGGGGGCTGTGGGTAGGTCCAGGCAACCCGTCCAAGGGGCCCGGTTCTCTTGGGCTCTCGTCCTCAGATGCACGGCAACAAGCAGCACCTGCAGAAAGACTTCTTCCTGTACAACGCCTCCAAGGCCAGAAGCAGGACCTACACCAACATGCGGGAGGTGTCCCAGCGCTTCCGGCTGCCCCCCAGCGAGTACGTCATTGTGCCCTCCACCTACGAGCCCCACCAGGAGGGGGAGTTCATCCTCCGGGTCTTCTCAGAGAAGAGGAATCTCTCGGAGTGAGTACCAGCCTGGCTTTCCCCAGCTGTCCCCAAGAGGTCACTCGCGAGGCCGACCCAGCCTACAGCCAGGAGGCAGCTGGACCAAGTTCCTTCAAGGCGCTTGGGATATATCCACTGGCCTTTCACCACCCTGGAGCCATCACTCCACTTCCCTCACTTTCTTGATTACTTTTGTAGTCCTGGAGAGTAAACCCAGGGCCTCGTGCGTGCCAGGCAAAGCACTCTGCTGTGGCTTTTCTCTCGCTTTCTCTCTCTTTTTTGAGACAGCATTTAACTAAGTTTCCCAGGCTGGCCTTGAAATCGCCCAGATTGGTGTTAAACCTTTGATCCTCCTGTCCCAGCCTTCTGAGGAGTTATAATTATAGCCCCGTGACACTAGAGCAGCCCACAACAATTTATTCACTCCGTTCATCCTGCAGATATTTGTTGAGCACCCATTCTGTCCAAGTACTCTTGTAGGCACTGGGGACAGCGGAGTGAATTAAACAGAAGGCTCTCGCTGTCTTCATGGAGCTTAGCCCTCTAGGAACAAGGGACAAAGAAGCATACCGTGACATTTTAGATTCACAGAAATGATAAGCAGCCAAAACACAGCACAGGATGGGTTTGCCGGCAGTGAGGATGGTTGAAATGCATGGGAAGCCAGCAAGCCTCCATCCCTGCCTTGGGCCATAGATGCCCTGATGAACCCTGCCTCTCTGAGTTCTGTCCCTGGAAGAGGCGCAAGGTCTGTGGCTAAGTAGCTGGGCTAAGTTTTGTGGAAGCTCTGGCGACCCCAACAGGTAGCTGTGCCCTGGGGCTCTCTGGGAGTGGGGCCTACGTAAGGCTGGCTCCTGGAATGAGTGTTTGGTCCCAGGGTTCTTTCAGATCAAGTCTCCACTTGACCACAAAGAAGCTGTGCGACCTGAAAATTTCACGGAGTGATTCCTACTTGGTCCAGGGGATACTGAGACACCCTATGTTTGTGTTTTTCACAGGGAAGCTGAAAACACGATCTCTGTGGATCGGCCAGTGGTAAGTGGGTAGGCCCGTAGATATGAAAAGATATGGAGGGTCACATTCCCAGCCCAGGCAGGGGCAGAAGGAATGATTCTTCCACTGTAGAACCATTTAGCTGGTCAGAAGCCCAGGAGCGTGGAAGAGGAGAAAGTATGTTATCAGTTTAGAGGATGGCAGCTAGACTTAACCAAGCAACGACAAGGGCGGCTAACATTAGATTATCTGATTTCTCACATCTGATTTCTCACCCAGAGAGAAGGAAATACACTAGGTTCAGGACCCAGGGTCAGAACCTGGATCATTCACCTCTTACCTCGGCGACCTGGACAAGTTACAGAGCCTCTCTGACTCAGTTTTCTACTCTGCAAAATGGGGATAATAATAATGTCCCGGCTGGGCTTGTGGGGTTTAAATCAGTAAACTCACACGTGCGCAGTGCCTGGGGTAGCATGTGTGCCATAAGGGTGTTTCCAGGCATCCTTCACATGTGTGGCTTACACCATTTTTTTTTTTTTAACATTCTGAGAAGCGCATGAGGCTGTCATCTCAGCTTTTCACTTGAGAAGGTGGTGGCTCAGTAGGGTTAAATGGCTTCCTTGCCTTCCTAGAGGCAGGAAGTGGTGGGCAGGGCAGCCAAGAACTCAAGTTCAGATTCTCCCAACTTCAGGCCTACGGAAGCAGTGTGGGTGCGTGCGTGTGTTGTGTTGTGAGGGGTGTGTGTAGGGGGGTTGAGGAGCATCAGGTCTGCCACTGTATACCTCATTTTAGAGGTGCAGCTGGCTCTTTCTCATCCCATGGATGCTGTGGCAGTGTAGAGTATGTATCGGGAGTCGCACACTTAAGACCTCACGGACTGGGGGCGTGGCTGAGTTTAGAAAGTCTGCCCGGCATCCGCAAGGCCCTGGACTCCGCTGTAGCACCGCTTAAAAAGGGGAGGAGGGTGGCTTGTGGCATGTCACCCGGGTAAGTCGGGTCAACGTAGGGTTTCTAGTGTCCCCACATAACTGTTTGTCAACAGCTTTCAAAGGACGCATGGCGGCCTAGGTGGATTTCTGTGAGTTTGAGGCCAGCCTGTGTACAGAGCAAGTTCCAGGACAGCCACAGCTAAACAGAGAAACCTGTCGGGGGGGGGGGGGGAGATACTCAGCTTCAGTTTTCGAGGGACAGTGTTGGTGGCTCAGCTGACTTGCCTCAGGGAGTAGCAGGCCCGGTGCCTCGGCTAAACCTTCACAAAAGAAGCCCCAGACGTGGAAACCCATATTACATCTCCCTGTTAAGCTTTTGCCTAAATGTTAAAAGCAAAATCTCCTCCGGCAAAGTCATTTTTCACACAGGTTTGACTGAGCCACATTTTAGTAACAAATTTCACATTGAAAGACTGGCAAGGTGTCCCTCCCCAGCTGGGGAGTAGCAAAACCAAGTTTAGCAGCTGTCAATCTCTTGACATGGCGGGAGAATGCTCTTCTCCTTTCGCCCTCCGTGCCCTTTAAAAATCAGATTTATTTATTTATTTATCCGTCTATGTGTTTGCACCAGGCACACACACGGAGGTCAGAGGACAACCTGTGGCAGTCAGCTCTCTTATTTTACCACGTGGTTCCCAGAAGACAGATTTGGGTGACAAACACTTTTACCCATGGAGCCATCTCATTGGCCTTCATACCCTTTTACGCTCCAATTGATCACAATATCTGGACACCAGAACCTTGAGACACGGGCTATCCTAAGAACTTGACTATTCCTCACTTACTGGTTTGTTTTCTTGTTTTTGTTTTTTTTTCCTACGCAGAAAAAGAAAAAGAACAAGGTGGGTGTAAGAGGGTGAGTGGGCAGGGCCTTGTTCATGTGTATGTACAGATACGTGCACGTGTGTGTAGGCATTTCTAACACGTATGTGTATGTAAGACTTCTCTGTCTTCTCCTCGGAGCCCCTGCTGGCTTGGGTGCTCTTCCAGGGGCTTGCCATGTTTTTTCCCCGATCTCACAGCGATCCTGGGACAGTGATTCCACTATCAGTCCTGGTTTTAGAGGAAGAAAAGGAGGACAAATTAGCCTTGCTGAGACCACACAGCCAGAAAGGGACATAGTGGTGCAGGAGCCAGGCGGTTGCCCAGAGCCTGTGCTCTGAGACACCACAGCCCTCAGACATGGTGTAGGTGCTTATGGTGGTCCCGGGGATGTGTCACAGAGCTTGGGTGCTTATGGTGGTCCCGGGGATGTGTCATAGAGCTTGGGTGCTGGTCCATCTACCATGTGGTATTCACCCTCCTCTCCCCGTGTAACAGCATCTGTAAGTAGGTACTGGTTATGCTTTCTAAAAGTGAGGGTTCACATTGAGAGAAGCAAAGCCAAGCGCCAAGGGCACACGGCTAGCAAGTGGGGACATTGGAACCAGTGCCATATATACCTCCCCTGGGATCTGTCTCTCGTCCTCACCTCTCTGGTGTCCCTTACACCCCAGTGCCTGTGTTGTCAAGACCTGCATGTGTGTCTCTAAATGCATGGCTGGTAGAGAGGCCCCATGGCCGTACCTTGCCCATGGTCCCCTCAGATCACCACCTCTGCTGGTGCTGAGGTGCCCACGAGCTTGATTTGCTTGGGCAAGAGCTGTTGTTTAGAGGAGCAAGCTGGGCTCTAGGGGCCTCCTGGAGCCCAACCTGGCTGAGCTGCTCTCCCACGTGCCCTCCTGGGTGACAAATAGCACGGAAGGAGAGTGGGTCCCCCTGTTCGTTTGGCTGAGACTGCTAAGACTGACTGTACTTGGCCCCAAGGCCTCCCCCCCCCCCACTGCCTTCCACCACACCAACACAGGTAGGGCCTGTAGCCTCTGCGTTTCCATGGATATAACCAGCACCTTCGGGGTTTGCACATACAGTTTTACATTCCCTCATTCATCTGGCCCTGTTTGCAGGAAGTCAGGTTTCACCAGCTCTAGTACATTGCCAGTGAAGGTATTTCTTACATGAGGGGAGGGCTGGTCAGGGCAGACATGACACCAAACAGCAGATGCTGAGAGGTTCCTTGGTAGGAGGGAGCAGAGCCCTGCTCTCTGCTCAGACAACCTTGAACTTGTGATTGTTTCCTGCCACCAGGATGAACCTGAAAAGCCTCATTTTTAATGGGTTTTACACTGAGTTTCTGGGAGACTTCAGTGTTTTTCCAGTTGAAAAACAAATCTACAAAAATACTTGAAACTCGCCAATCACATCATATGCTTTCAGCACTCTTGGCATTTTTAGATGTACTACTTTGGTCTATCATGAGGAGGAATTGGGTGGGTGTGATGAACTAGCGGATCCACTAACTTATACAACACTTAGTTATTGTTAAAAATATGAATAAAACCGAGAAAGAAATAAGGTTCAAGCCACACATGGTGGTGCACTCAGTGGGCTACATAGACTCAGCCCGAAACAGAACAACCCACGCACACACGCACACACTCACACACGCGCACACACACACACACACACACACACACACACACACACACACACACACACTGAGCGCCAAAGTCCAGAAGGTCACACAGCTTCTCAGTGCAGAGATGGGACTCGAACTGCCACTGATGCGCCTCAGTGACCATTTCCTCCTCACTGGACAAAACTGCTCCAGGGGGAGACTGCCTCTTCTGCCTGTCAGCCTGTAATCCTTGCTTCCTTCCTGCCCCCCCTTCTCTCCCCTCCCCAGCCCATCATCTTCGTTTCAGACAGAGCAAACAGCAACAAGGAGCTGGGTGTGGACCAGGAGGCAGAGGAGGGCAAAGACAAAGCAGGGCCCGATAAACAAGGGAAAAGCCCACAGGTTTCTGAGCATGTGGCATGGATGGGGACGTTTAGCTTGCCGTGGACGCTCTGCTATTCTCTGGGGGTTCAGGGGGGCTATGGTGGCTCCCAGGGGAGGGTCTCCTCAACACCAAGGAGTTTAGAGTCATCTCACTGACTTTTTCTCCCAGCAAGTTCTTCTGAACTTTTGGGGGTACATGTGTTGGGGTTGACTGCTACAGCGAGCCAGTCCTGGGATGGGACCGGCTGAGCGCAGCCCGCTGGATCTTTTCCAGCCAGGACGATAGAGAACCGGCAGACAAAGGCTGAGACAAGCCTGCTGGGGAGAGCGAAGCTGAACCCTGTCTCCATTCAGAGTTGTTGGCAAGGGAGGAAAAAGGGCGGCAGCAGAAAGTGGGGTCCCCCGGCAGCCGTGCAGTCCTGCAGAACTCCGGGGCCATGTCCTCCTCCCAGGAGTACCCATGAAGTGGGGACTTAGCCACAAAGACAGAGGTGGCTGGAGGACCGGGCTGGAAGTCAAGCTCAAAAGAGTAGAGGAAGTTCTATCTGGAGGAGAGTAGGGGAATGGAGGGGGCCGTCTGCACGTTGGGGTGGCAAATGTGTCCTCTGGCCTGAGGCGCCCGGGCTAGCAAGGCAGGCAGTAGAGAGCTGCGGAGCCTCGAGGATCCCCACTCAAGCTCAGCAGGAAGACCGAGAACACGAGCCCCGTGCCAGCCGGTGCCGCTTTGTGGGGCTGTTTGGGGCACTGCGGCCTGGGTTCCCATGAACCAGTCTCCTTTGTGTCCCCACAGACAGGACCTGGCCACACAGACCAGGAGAGCGAGGAGCAGCAGCAGTTCCGGAACATCTTCAGGCAGATCGCGGGTGACGTACGTCTTTCTGTCCTTGCCCAGGACCCCCACCTCCTCAAGCGGCTCATTGTTGTAACAGAGGTCATTTTGGTTTAGGAGAACCAGAAGAGGTGTGCCGCACACAAGCCTGTGCCTTTGGGCTTGGGACTAACACAACCCCCCGGGGGGCTCCCAGCCTTCTGGCTAGGAGTTGCTTGCTGCAGTCTGGATGGCTGATGGGCAGACACTAGTCCACCTAGCTCAGGGGACCTCCCACATTTGGACATGTCTTACGAAGCCTCGGCCCCACTGGTCGCTCTCCTCTCCCTCAGGACATGGAGATCTGTGCAGACGAACTCAAGAATGTCCTTAACACAGTGGTGAACAAACGTGAGGGACTCGCGCCAGATGTGGGTGATGGGCAGGGCCCCCAGCTGTCTGAAAGCAGCTCCTCACCCTTCTCCATCCCCCCAGACAAGGACCTGAAGACACAAGGGTTCACGCTGGAGTCTTGCCGAAGCATGATAGCTCTCATGGATGTATCCTTCCAGCCACCAGCTCCAACCCTCTGACATCTGCTCATAGGGTCAGGGCAACAGTTAAGGGTGTCCATGCCCAGGGAAAGGCTTAAGGGGAATCCCGACTCAGTCCTGCACGCTGGCCTGGCAGAGGAGGTCAGGGAAGGATACTGAGTGGCGATTGGTCCTCGCCTCCAGCTCTTAACACCGGCTTGAAATCCTGTTTGGGGTGCTGCCCGAACAAGGATTGTTCTTAAGAGGACAGGCTCTGTGAGCTATAGAGATGGTAGGAACTCTGGTTAAGGGAGGATATGGACAGAACCTGGGTCAGGAGCCCTGGGTGGGGCTGCTGGTTTAACCACCTTCCCTGCACAGTACCCTAGACGCCCCTCCTAGTTCAGGGGATTTTACTATGTGCCTGTGGCCCTGACATCCATCCTCCAGACAGATGGCTCTGGGAGACTCAATCTTCAAGAGTTCTATCACCTCTGGAAAAAGATCAAGGCCTGGCAGGTAGGAGGAGGGAAGTGATGGACAGGGTTGCCAAGCCTGGCAGGTAGGATGAAAGCCTAATGAGGGAGTGATGGACAGGGTTAACTGGGGATTAAGTGTGTGATTGGTGTCTTCAAACTTTGTGTTTTCAGAAAATCTTCAAACACTATGACACAGACCATTCCGGTACCATCAATAGCTACGAAATGCGAAATGCTGTCAATGAAGCAGGTGCTGAGGGGAGAGAGGGTGACAACCTGAGAGCTGGGAAAAGCAGGATGGGGTGGGAGACTAGACTCCAAGGACCCTGTTAGTGTTCATTTCCCAGGCCAGCATGGCCAAGGGGCAGGGAAAGGAGACTACAAGCCTGAGGACTTCATTCTCTTTTCTACTCCTTGCCCTTCCAAGGCTTCCACCTCAACAGCCAACTCTATGACATCATCACCATGCGCTACGCAGATAAACACATGAACATCGACTTTGACAGCTTCATCTGCTGCTTCGTCAGGCTGGAAGGAATGTTCAGTAAGCGAGGGGTTCCCCTTCAGCTCTCTCAAGGCCCTCCAGTCCCCTTCCCTAGGATACAGCCGTTACTCTCTGAAGACCAAGAAAAGGATGACAAGGGCAGAGATGCTGGTTATGCTCTGCATGGGTTTGTGTGGAGGGACAGCACTCAGCGGAGGCGTAAATGACAGGTCTGAGCACTCAGGTGATGCTCTCTTGTGATCCCAGAAGTTAGGTAGGAGGATCATGAATTCTAGGCCAGCCTGGGCTACATGGAGAGACCTTGTTTTGATATTAAAACAAGGGCTGGCAAGATGACTCAGCTGTGTGGGTCTGGTGGCTGAAAGCGATGAGGTGGAAGTTGCCCTCTGACTCCTACATGTGTTCTATGGTACACCCAAGAATGGGTGTACCCAAGAATAAATTCTTTAAAAAGCAAACACAAGTAAACTAAGGCATCCCCCCCCACTCAAAAAAAAAGGTGGGAAGTGACCAAAAAAGGGCATCTGTGACTGGCTTTTGGCCTATGCTTTCTTTCCCACAGGAGCTTTTAATGCATTTGACAAGGATGGAGATGGTATCATCAAACTGAATGTTCTTGAGGTAAGAAACAGCACATCCTCTGACCATAGAACCCAAGATGGAGTCAATGAGGTAGACTGGAACCCATGTGCTCCTCACACCCAGGATGGGAACTTAAGAGGGAGCCAAGTGAAGGTTGTGATTCCTGGGGTGTGTGTACTACAAGAGCCTTCGCCCCCAAGTTGCACTGTGCTGAGAAACACTTTCCTACAAAAGATCTAAGGAGAAGCAGGCCGCTCCTTTAAGAATCTTTTCTTGTCTCGTTCCCTAGAGACGATGGGCACCTCTTTGCTAGCTTTTGTACTGATCTCGGGGCTTCTCTTGCAGTGGCTGCAACTTACCATGTATGCCTGAACCAGACAGGCCTCATGCAAGACCAACCAGAATTCCAACTCAGCCCAACACAGCTAGAGCCATTTACCACAAAGAACCCAGTGGCTGCACAGCCTGGCTGCCACCTGAAGGCTAGTATCTCCCTTGCTGGGAGGTCTGCCGATTCTAAACTGCCTACTTAGCTTGCCCCGGGCTGTCCACAGCACCCACCAGTGGCCACAGGAGCCCAGTCACCAAGTCTGCACTTAGGATGGGTCTACTCTGGAGTAAACAGGGCTGGTACTCTGGGCTGACAGAAATATGGCTGCATTCTGAAAAACGCTATCTGAATAAAGGTACACATATGGCTGGTTCGGGGCTGAATGTCTTCCTGGCATACTCACATGTGTCACCTCCAGAAAGATCTGGTTTGGGGCTAGGGAGATGGCTCGGCAGATACAGGGCCACTCAAACATGAGGACCCCAATACAGATCCCTAAAAGCAAAACGAGCTGGCTTACACCTTTAATTCCAGTACTGGAGAGCAAAGACAGGTATTCTGCAGGCATGCTGGCCAGACAGCCAAGCCAGAGGCATAAGGTTTGGTGAGAGCCTGTAATAAGGTAGAAGAATTAGGGCAATGGCTCACTGGGTAAAAAGGTTGGACTGGAGCCCAGAAATGCAAATGCCTGCTGGAATTTCATCCGAAGGGAGACACAGAAGGGAGACACAGAAGGGAGATCATTAGCACAAACTGATTAGCTAGACTACCTGAACCAGCAAGCTTTGGGTTCAAGTGGAGTGACCAAGGAAGACGGTCGCTATCAACCTGACCTCCACAAGCACGCACGCACACACACACAAGCATAGGGGACAGAGAGGAAGATGCCCACTGAACTTATCTCCACCCCTGCACACAACACAAAGAAACCCTCTGTAGTCTATGGGCACACCCCATCCTGTTGGGTTTTGGAAGGGTTGGGTCTGGTTAGTGTGTTAATGGGAAAAGTCCTAATTTCAGGGTAGAATAATGGGAATACATATGAAATCAAAGGTATGAGTCCCGCTGAAAGCACACTGATTGCCTTTTCTTCTGCTTTTCATTTTGTTTCATGTGTATGGGTGTTTTGCCTGCAAGCCTGGTGCCCATGGAGGCCAGAAGAGGGCTTCACATTCCGTACACCTGGGTTTGTGGGTGCTGGGATCTACACCCATATGCTCTGGAAGTGCTCTAACCCCTGAGCACTTCTAACCTCAGTCTCTAACCCCTGAGCCATCTGTCTAGTCCCACGACTGCTAACTCTTGAGCATAGGGACCATCCAGATCTCTTCCAAGAGATGAAAAAAGGTGGGGATGCATTCAGTCAAAGTATATTGAATGTATGAAATAGCGAACTAAACAAATTTAAAACAGAAGAAATGACCAATGGAAGGTCTAGAGGGCAATGCAGGAGAAGTGTGATTTTTTTTCATCCTAGCTTCTCTGCTCACTGGCCTATCTGACATTAGGGTGAGCCTATGGCACAAACACCATGCTTCCTGCCCACTGTCCTGTTCTCTATGCCCAATAAAAAGAGGCGAATCATGATTACGCAAAATAACAAAATGAACACTTAGTAGTAAAAGTACTTTTATTTTCCTCTTGTATTTGTTTTATATCTCACTTACAAAGTTATGAAGTTCACAGCTTTTATACCAAAAGTAAGAAGGCTGTTTAGAAACATCTTTGCAGTCAAATGTCACCTGACATTTTTTTCTAATTCATATTTAATATTGAAAAACAATAAGAAACCAAGGTTCAGGGCAGCTCTGGGCGTCTACTTCTCCCAACAGGCTTTCCTTCTCCACTCTCTGCCCACATTAGCCTACTTCTGGTCTGGTCTGGGCCATGTCCTTGGGGTTGGAGGTGAAGAGGAGGTTATTGTGCAGTAAGTGGTATGTTTAAGTTGCACAAAGTTTCACACCCATCTGCATATGGAACCGGGGGAGACCCATTATATTTCCACCACAGCTTCCTCTCAGGCCACTACCCTCAAATCCAGTGACAGGACAGGGATGAAGCCACCAGTATAAGCACGGCAAGAGCGGTCTTCACAGTAATTCTAGAACGCTCCTTGAAGCAACAGGAACAAATTTGCTAAGAATATGCAAATTAATTAAGCAAACCACAAAATGCGTGTTCAGTTTCCTCCTCAATGAATTATCTTCCATAAAACAATGCTGTGCCGTTCCTGTAAGTGTGCCCTACATTCAGCAACTCAGCCACATGTCCATGGCAATCTGCCAGAAAAAAACAAAACCGTCCTCGGCAACAATCACTTCAACCATGAAAGTACTGCCTTGGATTCCATGCAGTTCATCAGCTAAAACTTTCACCTGAAAGCAAAGAGTAATGCTGACTAATGACTTCCCAAACTTATGTCAGAATGACATTTTTTGCTCTTTTTAAAAAATTTGCATTGTTTATAGTCTAGCAGAATATGCTAAAATGTGTTTTGAACCTAAGTAAAAACTTTCAAGAAAATTTGAAAGTGGCTGGTAATTTATTAGAACCATCACTGAAAACACACAGAAAAGATTTTGTAAAATTTTCCTTCGCTTTTAGCTGTTGGACTAGGCATAAAAGAACAACATTAAAAATGACCATCAAGTAACTCATAAAGAAATGTCTTGGTTTTGGCAGGTTATTAGTCACTTTCCTTCCTTCAACAAATCAAACAAAAGTCAGCACAGCCCCGAGCTGCCCCTTCTGAGGGGAACTGGAGGGTGCTGACGAGCGACACCCTTCTACTGAGGAGCCAGGACACTCATTCTCAGCACACTAGACTGCTCACCCTGGGGAACACTGATCCAATGCCAGAAACAGTTCCACCTGTGCTTGACCTCAGCAACCACTTCCAAGAAACCCGTGAGTGACGACACAGTGCAGGTGCCCTCTCGCGTACCAGTGAGCAGCCGGACTCGTGCCCACAATGCTTCCGAGGGGGGTTCAGATCCCAGCTCACTAATCCTGCCAGTCTGCCCGCCCTCAAACGGTCCTCCCACGCTCAGCCCCTCACATTCTTCTTCCCTGCTGCTCCCCGGGCCCCCTACTCTCAACCCTCTACACATCCGTGGGGGTGGCCAGGGAACCTGAGCCTCCTTAGCACACTGCCCTGCCAATGTGGGAACTGGGGGAGCTGAAGCTTGGAGGGTGAGGCAGGGTTAGCAAGAAACTCAAGGGAACTTTCCTAGGAAATCACTTCCAAGACCTGAAGAACTGTGGCTCCTCTGATCACCCTTATAGGAAGTGGAGGTGAGAGGTGGGAAGGGGCTCTTAGTCTCACAGAAATAGCATAAAGATGCACTGTCAGGAATAAGTCCTCCACATCACACCTCAGTCATGTGGTCAGCAAAAGTTCCCCCACACAGTAGGCCACAGGTGAACAGCCTGTGGTGTTCCTGAGCTAGTCTTAGCTCCTAGATCAGCTCTCAACATCTTCTGGATCCAGTTAGAATTACTGGAACCTTTCTCGAGGGGTGCAGGGATGAAAAGACTTATTTAGTCCTCCATGCAACTTCAGGAGCCACAGACCCTTCTGGTGAAGCCACCCTGCCCTAGGGCCTATGGGGATGTTTGATCAGGCAAAGGTCAAAAACAAAGGCCGCAATCTTAGTACTAGAAAGCATGGCATCCTGAAGCGAGGGTATGTGGCACAAGGGTCCTCTCCTTCTGAAGAATCTCAGTTTTGAGATCCAGAAACAAAGGGCTAGAGAAAATACTTGTTCAGTTTTACACACAGGGCTTCAAAAAATCCAAGATCAAAGCAATTTCACGAAGGCCTGTGATATGGGTATTCCCAGTGGCAGCTTTCCCCTTACCACACTCCACAGCTGGCATGAACATGAAGGCAGGCACTGGCTGCAGACGTTATGTCTCAGAGGCCTGCCTGATGCCCTATCAACGGATTCCAGATGCTTCTTCCCAGCTGTCCTATAAGTGTGCTGACGGTAGGCTGAAGGCACCCTGTGAGCCTCACGTGCCATTGCCCTCGGCACAGCAAGACAGCGGGAAATATGGCTGTTGGCAATGGAGCAACCCAAAAGACGTCAAGGCTCCATGAGACTCCGAGGCCAGAAGCTAAGAAAGGGAATAAAGGTAGGAGCCTTCAGTTGAAGCAGCCGGTGAGTGCAGAAGTGAAGGGAGGCACCACACCGAGCACACTGAAGTGGCTTACTGGGAAATGCCGTCTCTAGGGACTTCCCATCATGGAAACTTGCTAATGGCAGGTCTGAATTCTAAAACAGAGCAAGCAGAGCAGGCAGGCTGTTTCTCAGGATGCTGCCACGTTTCCCTTCACACCTATAGCCAGCTTTGTCCATCTATACTAATAGTGAAACACGCTGCACATAATTATTAAAACACAATTTGCTTCAAATTTAATGACCCAGTTATTGCAAAAGGAGAAATTAAAACTGATCCTGAAAGCTCTATCATAAGCCATCATAAGAACATAAAACAGAAATCACAAAACAAATCAATAAAATATATGATTAGGGTCAAACTGGGTAACCAATTAAAATCTGCATCTCTAATAGACACCTATAGCATAAATCACTGTCGTTTGTCCCAGAGAGTAGTTTCCTTAGAGCCTACTTAAACATCACTTAGACACTCCAGAGCGGGCCTGAACTGTATGTGACCTATCGTCCCTCAGGCTGCCCAGGCTTGCCTAGCGGTAGGTCTGGCTGTGAACCACTTTCTCCTTCCCAGTATCACTGGAGAAGGACAGACAGTAGCCCGTGAGAAAGGCCAATGTGAAAATAGTTTACTAATAACTTCCCAACGTGGGAGGCAAACAACTTCACGCATCTATTTTGCTGTCATCTTCGGCATGTCGTTCGATATGTCCTGCAGCATCCTGAGGAAAAAAAACAAGACAAGGACTGTGAGAATGAAATGGTAGTGGAGCAGGAGGAAGTTACCTGAGGCGGGAGGCTCCACCCTGTAACCACGGGCAACTACCACTTAAAGACACCGTCTCACCTTAGCACAAGAGCACAAACCTAAGGACTCTGCTTAAGCGCTTTATTAAAAAACAGCCCATTTTGTGTGTGTGTGTATGAAAATCTTGTTTAATTAACCCCTAAGTTACAGAGTAATAAAAGAAACATTCCTACTAATTATTACAATTCTGAACACTTTAAAAAGCAAAGGGCTTGCTGGTCTTTGCTCTAAGTCAGCATTTCTCTATGTAGCCTTGTCTGTCCTGGACTCATTTTGTAGACCGGGCTGGCTCTAACTCCTGCTTCGCTGGGATTACAGGCACGCATCATCACACTGGCCTAAGTCAGCTAAGCATTTTTTTTTTAACTCTTTGGGGGTTAAACAACCTTTCATAGGGACTGAATATCAGATATTTACTTTAAGATTCTTTTTTGTTTGTTTGTTTTGGTTTTTGAGAAAGAGTTTCTCTGTGTAGCCCTGGCTGTCCTCAAACTCACAGAGATCCGCCATGTCCCTGCTTCCCCGGGTACTGGAATAACAGGTGTGCACTACCACACCCAATTTAGGATTCTTAACCGTAGCTAAATTACAGTTCTGAAGTAGCAATGAAGTAATTTTATGATAATCATGTTGTGTGTGGGGTCACACAACATGAGGCACTGTAACAGAGGGTCGCAGCATTAGGAAGGCTGAGAACCACGGCTTTTCTGCTGAGCCTCAGATGATCTGATCCCACCGAAATACCTGCTTGGATCCTTTCCTGGCTGTGAAAAAAGCATCACAGTTCTTCCAGCGACACTTCAGCGTCTGGAAGTTGGGATTGGTGTGGTCAGTCAGCAAGTGTTGTTTTAAGTGATCCATAACGCCAAATATCAGAGTACAGCCATGCCACTGTGGGAAAAGGCGCGGGTAGTGAACAAGAGCACAACAAACGTGTCCACATGCAAACACACACACTCTCTCCCCCTCACCATGTAGCTCTCTGGCCAGCCTAGACTTGCTAAGTAGACTAGGCTGGCCTTGAACTCTCGGAATCCAGATGCCTCTGTGGAGGGATCAAAGGTATGTGCTACCACGCCCAACTAAGGCATATTCTTTATCTTACATTGTAAAATAAAATGCTACATTTATTTTGTAATAATTTTTTACAAAAGGCCACAGCTTTCCCTTAAGACTGAAAATGATATACGCAACAGCTTAAGAATGATGGAAATAAACTACAAAAACAACATAAGCTGTGGTTAGTGCCTTGCATCCAGAATCCCAGCATTTGGGAGGTAGAAGCAAGAGGATCACAAGTTCAACACCAGCTTTGGCTACGTAGCGAGTGGGAAGCCAAGCAGTCTGGGCTACACTAGATCTGTCTCAAAGCAAAAAGCTACCTGCTGTGGAAGTCCTGACATTTAAAACTCACAACTTGTATCACTTGAATCACAATCTTGTACTTACCTACTTAAAACAAGATGTAACTTTCCATAATATTTCTTGTGGCTCAATCTCATATACTATTCATGAAACATAACGGCCCTTCTCTTGCTCTTAAACCTGTAGTCTTATAACAGATGCTATGATTTCTAATTCCAGGATGTTCATGCAAGTTTTTAATTAGCATGTACTAATTATGCACAATGGGCTTTATTAGGCTATTGTCACACGTACAGTACACAATGTAATGGATCACACTCCCCCCACCCTCGCTTGTGCCCTCCACTCCCGCTGATCTCCCAGTCAGTCTCCCTCGTTTCATGTTTCCTCCTCCTCTCTTCTCACTAACACTGATGCTGAGCTCCACTGGGGTTGCTTACAGAAGTTCTGCCCGGAGGTTATTCATAAACCACATGGTACAGCCGCCTTACCAGCGGCCACACCACCAAAGAAAGTACCTCCTCTTAGCAATCACTAACTGCCTAGAGATGCCCTGGGAAGGGTGCGGCCTTGAGAGCCCTTCTCTCTGCGTGTTCATTACTAAATAGTAATGAAAACCTGAGTTTTTCCCCCAGTCAGGTCTAGTATTTATTGTAGGTCTAGCCCTCTATTTTGATTACTTTCCCTGAGAAGATTAACAAGCAAAGGCAGTGACATATATCAAAGCAAAAAAGTAATAGGCTACAGACAATCAAATGTGAAAAAATAAATCTAACATTCCATTAATTCTAAGGAGGTCAGGGTTTGAGGAAAAGAAACCTAGGGCCACCATCTCACTAATCACTCTTAGTACTAGAACCAACTAAAAACAAGGCCTACATGGACGGTGCTCAGGCTTCGTGGGATGATTGTTAGCTTTTGTTCTTTAAAAACCATACAGTTTAGCCAGTGGCCTAAGTTAAGACTAAAAACCTAAAATTGCAAAGTTTTTCTTTGCCTATTCACCAGAGTCCAACAAGGAAATAAGTTAAACCATAAACACTGTGACACCCAAGGAAGGCGTGCAGAGGGAGAGGCTTCAGAAATAGGCACCACTGTGCACTTCATGTGCCGAGCTAAGAACAAAGCAGAATCCACCTAGGAGGGGAGAGGCTTCAGTGACAAAGGACTTGCCAATCACATGTACAGTACTGCAAACACGACAAAACAACTAGGAGAGAAAGTGAGAAGACGACATTCACACATCTCATATCTAATGAGATTTATCAACAAAGAAGCCAAAAAGCATCGTATGTATTCTTCCAAAACAAACTTCTCTCTCATACAGTAAGGGAATACAGCCAAGCATAAAACACAAAAGCTACACCGATGATCAGGAAGATCTAGAAACCAGCCCAGGATGGAGCGTCGCTGGCTCAAGTCTGGTGATAACAGTCTCTGCTTACCCAACAGCGGTAATTCTGCATCAGATTCAGCCTCACAGCTTGGATGCTGCCATCGTAACAGCCAGTGTAAATCTGGAGAAAGAGGTTTAGGGTATCAGAGTGAATATACATGAAGAAAAGCTACAAAACGCCCTTCATACAAGTTACATAGACACATAAACCTTAAATAAAACCAGGGCTGCAACACCAAAGTGGAACAGCGATTTCTATATCTCTGGTCAGAGGGCCTTGGAACTGTGTCCCTTAGAGGGTCATCCTTGACCTGTGGCTTACAGCAAGGATAGCAGGGGTCCAAGGTTCCCACTCACTCTATACTGAGACAGTGCTGATAACTAACTGATAACTGATAACTATTAACTACAAGAAAGGGCTTTATTACTCAAGATCTTGAAAACAACCATTTTAGTTCAACCTTACAATTAAAAATAAAGCCCTCCAAGTTAAGCAGGGAACCAGGTGTGGTGGCACCTTCAATCCTAGCAGAGGAGGCAGAGGTAGAGGCAGGTTGATCTCTCTGAGTTCCAGGCTAGCCTGGTCTACATAGTAAGTTCTAGGCCCCTTACCACATAGTAAAAGCCTGTCTAAAAACTAAGATAAAGCCAGGCAGTGGTGGCACACACCTTCACTTCCAGCCCTGGGGAGGCAGAGGCAGAGGTAGGTAGATCTCTGTGCCCTTGAGACCAGCCTGGTCTATAGAGCAAGTTTCAGGGCAGCCATGGCCTGCCCTGTCTCGAAAAGCCAAAAACAAAACAAAACAAAACAAAAAACCCAACCCAACCCAAAAAACAATATAGAAAGAGATAGAAAGGAAGTTAAGTAGGGTTAGGTGAGCTGCCTGTAACTATGCCATACTGGCCAAATAGCCTAACAGTTTTCAGTGTCCTGTTTAGAGCATGTTGGCAAAAGCACTGCTCTTTTTTTTTTTTAAAGCATCTAATTTCATCTTCCATTTAATAGTGGTAATAGATTTTACTGCACTAATTTTAGCTATTCCTAGAAACAGAATGGTCAACAACATTGTTGGGTTCTGCCAAGAAGGAAGGCGGTAACGGGGCCCATCACAGTCAAGCTGGGAAGATGTAACTTTGGAGTAGTGGTAGTCGATACATCATTATTAGCAAAGGGAGTTTTAAGTAAACACATCAAAGGCAAGCATCCGTCAAAACAAGCAATACCCACCACACTCTTATGGATGGTCATACACATAATCATGTCTTTGTGCCCTCCATAAACTTGCAGGCGATCATGGGACTTAAGCAGAAGAAAAAAAAAATTAAGAGAATTATGTCAACAGAGAACTTGATATATTACACACAGACACCAATGTCTTCACAATCAAAGTCTCAAACCTGAAGCCACCGTGAGGAGGACTAGACAGGTTTTAAGAGGCTGTGGATGCTCTCGAGAAAGCATGCAAGTTTGTCGATGATGACGTTAAGCCCAGCACTGGGAAGAGGAAGCTCAGAGACAGTGGTTTCTGAATGCAGTCTCTGGTCTGGCTGCTTCCTAACCACTTTAACAAGGCTTCTGAAAGTGCGATTCACAGGCGCCAATCCAACCTTCCTCCAGCACAATCCCCTCAAAAGAGTCACACAAAGCGTGTGGACCTAGTCCTACCTGTAACTCATAGACACGAACAAACTTGTCCAGGCAAGCAGTCACCATCACTTTCCCCAGGATGTTCACCACAGTCACTGCGTGATTGTGGCCTTTATAGATGCGCACAAGCTCACCAGTCTGCACCGGAAAAGAGGGGACAGTCACCACACTAGTTTTAGGACCCCAGCTATATTTTATGGTTGTGAAGTTCTAAGGGGAAATTCCGAGGCTCCTGTAAACAAGTGCAGCTGTTCTAGTGCGAACACTTCAAGCTCTTACTCTCCCGGCAGCATTCTTTACAGAAAACATCACACAAACCTCAGACTTTAACATTTATTGACAAGGTGGGTGTTGGCTCTCCCCTTTAATCCCAACACTCAGAGGGCAGAGGGCAGGTGAATCTCTGAGTCTGAGGCCAGCCTGGTCTATAGAGGGAGTTTCCAGGACAGCCCAGGGCCACACAGAGAAACCCTGTCTCAAGAAAACAAAACACAACGGTTGTTGACTTGGTGTATTTGTGCTGGAAAACATGCCACGCGCACATGTTGGAGGTCAGAGGACAACTCTGGATAGTCAGTTCTCTCCCCCTCCCACGTGGGTTAAGACAGCACCTTTACCAGCTGAGCCATTCACCAGCCCCTCTATTTTTATTTTTTAGGTTTTTTTTTTGGGGGGGGGGAGGGGCGGGGAGGTTGAAACAGGGTTTCTTTGTGTGACCTCGGCTCTCCTCCTGCCTCTGCCTCCTGAGTGCTGAGATTAAAGGCGTGCACCACCACTGCCCAGCATCCCCTCTATTTTTGAAGTATGAGTATCTCTGACTCAGATAGTAGAAATGCTCCAAAATCTACGATGTTAAAGAATACACCTCAAATCACAAGTGACAACCTCTACCCCTCATCCCATGCGTCAGGTCACAGTCAAAACTCAGATATACTAAAAACAAAATTAACTAAGGTACAATTAAAAACAGTGTATATGAAACAAAATTTGTATTTATACCCAAGGTATCTATTTTATATATGCAAGTACAATATATAAACATACAAATCTGTAATAAATAATACCCAAGCTGTGCTGTTGGTATAATGTTCTTTTGGAATGTATACAATTTACCCTAGTTCATTCAAATGCTGATTTCTCTGCCCCAGTTTCAATCCTGACATTGCATTGTGATGCTTATTCTTTTTTTTTTTTTTTTTTTTTTTTATTTTATTTTTCTTTTTAGTTACATTTTGTTAACTCTGTGTCCCAGCTGTATCCCGCTCCCTCATTCCCTCCCCAACCCCACACTCCCTCCCTGGTCTCCTCCCTGCCCCTTTCCAAGTCCCCTGATAGGGGAGGACCTCCTCCCCTTTCATCTGACCCTGTTTTATCAGGTATCTTCAGGGCTGGCTGCAAAGTCCTCCTCTGTGGCCTAACAGACTGCTCCTCCCCTGGGGTGGGGGTCAAACAGCCTGCCCTTGAGATCCTATTAGAAATAGTCCGTGTTCCCCTTACTTTGGAAAACTACTTGGTTACTGAGCTACCACAGGCCACATCCGAGCAGAAGTTCTAGGTTATATCCATAGATGGTCCTTGGTTGAGTGTCAGTCTCAGAAAAGACAGGGTCTTTTCTGTGATGCTTATTCTAAGCATTACCTGCCTCAAGTTTGTGTAAACATGCCACCATTTGTTTTTTAAATTGTCAATTAAAACAAGCAGCCACTATGCTTGAACAATGGAGAGGACAGGGTGGGACATCCTGGTGCGGAGTGGGAGAAGAAGGAAAGAAGCAGGAGGGAGGAGAGGAGGAAAATCTGGAAGGAAGGTCTTAAAACTATGTGGGGAAATGAACTGGACCTAAGATATCACTAAAAGCAAGTATAATGGGTAAATCTGAATGGTAGGAAACTCTGCAGGCTTGGAGGTTTAGGATGGAGTAACTATTGCCCAGCATTGTGCTCTAGGTTAACTAAATAAATCCTAGTCTCTGTGTGGTGATTTGGATATACAGCTGTTTAGGAATAACTGCTGCTTAAATAAAGGAGATATCAACAGTAAGTATTATAACTAACAACACTGTACTCTCACTTTTATCATTTCACGGATCCCAAGCAACATGTCAGGATGGGCCAGCTCCACCTGCAGACCAGGAACAGCTGTTCACCTCTGAGATCTGAGGAAAGTCTTTCAGCTGTCTGTATCTGTTCTACTTTAAACCTAACAGCCCTCACCCTCAAGTTTAAAAGAGGCATTCAAACAGAACCTTCCATAAACTTTCTCTGATTGATCATTTTTGATAAGGTCAGGATTTCCAGGTGGTGTGAAATTACCTAAGCGCACACACATGCTTATGGGGTTATTATTACTTCTTTTTCCTAGATAATGGGCCAGATTTAAAAATCAGGAGGGCTGCGGAAGCCTTCAAGCCTTAGCACCCCATCTTCCCAGCCTTCCACCACACGAGCACAGCTTACATGGATGTTGTGAGCATGCACAGACTGGTCACTGGAGCCACTGAACACAAGGTCGTTCACCACCTTAAAGAGAAAGCCAACCAATTAGCTTCTGGGCAAGGTTCTCTTTCCAGTAACACACTGGTGAATGTGAATTTCCATCTTATTTTGAGAATGAACATATAAAATAATGTTTCCCAAACAAATTTCCTAACTGGAAATGCATGCCTTCCCACCAGACACTACGAGGAACTTGCCGGCGCATCACCGGCTCCTGACTTCCTCAGGATGACTAGGAACTATCCTAGAAGGGCACACAGTGTGCCCACAGTGCAATGAGGTACATGTGTTTCTTGCTAGCGTCATTGAAAGTAGCTGGTCTCTTTGTGACCCAGCACAGAGGACTCTACTCTCTTGGACTATGGTCATCAAAAGGTGCTGTGCTCTGAACCCCACTGCAGAGTGGTGGACTTGTTATTCACACCTAACCATGCACTTGCCTTCATGCAAAGAATGGTCTTGCTGTGGCCCTCCAGGGTTCTGAGCAGTAGTCCATTCCGGGCATCACGGACACTAATGGTACAGTCATATGACCCTACGACCAGCAGTTTTCGGGCACCTTCCTGAGCTGTGGCGAGACAGCTGACGGCCCTAGGGCCATGGCATTCAAAGACATCCTGTCGCTTGTTGTTCTGGAAAACAGGTCACCATTCTATAAAAGCAACTTAGCAAGAACACTTCAAAACCAGCCAACCAAAACTGCTACAAACCCTCCCATCTACTGACCACCCCAAATCCTGAATGTTCCAACCCCTGGCCTGTCAGCTCCAGCCTTCTTTGCTGGACCTCCCTGTCCTGATCGAACAGGGCAAACTCACACATAGCAAATTATTTACACCCTCAACCTGGACTGTCCTGACCGCAGTACAAACCAGCTCCAGCGCACTTTCTGCCACACTGTGCACTCTTCCACTGTTACTTTTCTGAAACAGGCTCTGGCTATGCAGCCCAAGCAAGCCTTGAACTCACTATGCAGCCAGCCCAGATTACTCTCAAACTCACAGAAATTCAAAAGCCTTCCTAGTACTGGGATTACAAGCATGAACCACCCATGCCAATATTCCCATTGTGTTTTGTCCCCCAAAAGATAAGCTATATATATATATCTCATGACGTTAAAAAAAAATCTCTACTGAGGATTACTCATCTTCTTCAACAATTTTAGGTTTATTTCTATTTGTGTGTGTGGTGAATGGTGCAGCTTCTGCGTTCCAGTCCCCATGGATGCCACAGGGTTGCACCGGCTCCCTTGGATCTAGTTACTAGTATTGTGAGCACTGTGATGGGGGTGCTTAGAATCGAGCTCATCATCTTGACCAGCGAGCCCTGTCTGCAATGTAATGAAGATTCTAAACTCTCGGGGACGGACCTGACCTGTTAGCACGTGTTGCACACACATACGCAGGCGAGACACTCTTACACACAAAATAAGAGAAATAAATCTAAAACAAAACGAGTAAGTAAACTTGCGTTTTTCACATTCATGTTACTCTGATCTTCTGGCGTTTTGTACCTGGCCCCCAACATGAGGACACTGAACAGAAAATAGCAGCCTTCATATCAAAATGGCACCATAAACTCTAAAATATGCATTTTTACCTCACACTTCATGCGTGCATGGTTTCCCTTATTTCTTCTCCCCTGCTTGCCAATCTTGCTCATAAAGCTTCACATCTCCTCAAACATATTTTTAGAAGATACTTTAGGTACATTCACGAATTAACACTCCCAGAACCCAAGCAGAGAGCAGCAGCTTACAGCTGAGCAATGACTTCTAGCTATCTTGACATGCTAAGAAAATAGACTGGAGCTCAGGGTCGAGTGATGCACAGACCTTTCAAGGTAAACAGCTCTGCATCCTGGGAGAAGAGCCAAAAAGAAAAAAGAGCCAGCCCTGATGTTCAAAATTCATGCCTATGCAACAATTTTCAAAACTGCCATCTACCTTTCCAGACTTTCAACCAATCTAAAACCTTTTCCAGCTGACATCATCAAACTCTCCCTTTGTAATGTTGATCTCTTACAATAAAAACTAACTGTACAAAAGAGAAAAATATTTTATAACTATTGATTATAAACACGCTAGAGTCTTCAAATTTTATTTTAAATGTTTCTAAAAGGCCAAAACCATGTTCTATCATATTCGTTATACAGCCCAGCCAGCGCTGCAGCAGACAACACTGGGGCTGACATGGGGCATGGCGCTATAACCAGCTGCACTTATAAATTTGCTTCCATTACATCGCTCCCATTTCCTTTCCTTCACCTTCAGCCTATCCTGTCATGTCAGCTACCCAGGAAGCCTCCCACAAGACCTCCCTGATTCTACCAGTGAGTCCTTTTTCTCCGAGCTTGTCAATGGACACTTTTCAAATAGAAATGGGAACAAGTCTCTTGAGGTGTAAGCTTACTACTTAGCAGATAAGGCCACCAAGAACTTCTGACCCTCCCTCTTTGTGATGGTGGTTTTAATTATCACCTAGACACAATCTAGGGTCATCTGAGAAGAGTCTTAATGAGGGTTGCCAGTATGGTTTGTGGTTAAGAATGTGGGAGACTGTTTTGAATGCACTAACTGGGGCAGGGAGAAGGATGAGAGGAGAACATGGACTACTCAATGTGGTGGAACCATTCTCTGGGTTTGGGCTCTGACTCCGTAAGTGCAGTGAGGGAATCAAATAAAAAAACGCTCTTGGCTCTGGATATAACTAACTGTTTCAAGTTCTTGCCTTGACTTCTACTCTGGTCTAACATGGAACTCTCAGTCAAATAAACTCCTTTTTCAGTTGCTTTTGGCTGGGGTATTTTTTCACAGCAACAAAACTAGGATCCCCTGGGGCCCAGCATGGGAAGATGGTGAAGTCTGCTCACCAAACGCATTTATCCTTGGGGTGAGAAAGAACGAGGCTGCACAGCTGTTAAAGGAAACCTCAAACTTACTTCACCTTACAGAACAGGCCTTTCCCATGAACCCTTAACCAGACGCTGGCTACATGAATGTCATACATACGTCAGGGATTTCAGATTCATTTTCCATGGTGTCACTCTTAAAATGAGATAGACTGGCTTAACCTATGACTCATTGTTTGGCCCAAGTATCCAGGCTTGGTTTAATTTAGTAGAGCCACATTTTGGTCCTGGCACATGTGAGTCTGCGCAGACAGAGTGGAGGATTGATTTCACTTGCACTAGAAGAAAACTGTTTTGAATAAAGGCTAGTTCTGTTGTTTCCTCAAACAAGAAGAGAAAAATGGCTGCATGCTATTTTCCACCATACGTAGCCTTTCTTCTTAAAAAGGGCAGGGAAATCCGGCTTACGGCCCCAGCCACTAACCTTTACATTGAAGGTGACCACAGTGCCATTTGCCAGTCCTGCATAAAGGATTCGCCATCTATTATGAAGGCAGAGAACCCGATCTTCCAGCTGTAACTGTTCCATACATTCTCGAGTCTGAAAAACAAAACAAAACCCAAAAAAACAATCCCTCACCAACAGAGAATAGTGTCCAATGAGATGTGTGAATAATTGTTCCTCAAAACACTTTCAAATGATGCTGAAAAGTACATAGAAGACTATCTTAGGTATTTTCCCTCTTTAAAATTAAGGCCAAGATCTCAGGGTGTGAGTACTGTCCAAAAAAAAAAAAAAATTCTAATGACACTGGTATTTCTAATTTAAAAAAAAAAAAAAAGTATAAATTCTTAAAAGGGTGGACTTGAGTCTTAAGCTTCTTTAAACACACAAAGGTAAATAACAAAGTTACATCTGGTGGGCTGGTGATGTAGCTCAGTGTGCTGAGTACTCGCCTAGCAGGCATGGAGCCCTGGGTCCAGACCCCAGCACATCATTCATAAACAGGGTGTGATGACACACACCTGTTTCCCAGTACTTGGGAGGATCAGAGGTTTATGTAGTTAACTTGATGGGCGGCCTGGATTACACGAGACACTGGTTGGAGGTGAGAGGACAGCTTGCAGAGGCTGTCCTTCCTTAAGGGATCCTTCCTTAAGGATCCCATGGATCTGAACTTTCGTCATCGAGCTTGATAGCAAGAGACTTTCCCACTGGGCCACTTTGCAGGCCCCATGCTCGGCTTTTTACAAGTGGGTTTTAGGAAACAGAATTCAGGTCTTTAAGGCAAGTACTTTACCAACTGACTTATTTCCCCAGCACCCATAAAATTTAACTTTTAAAGAAATTAACAGGCACCAGCGAGATGGCGCAGCTGAAGGTGCCTGGGGCCAAGCTTGATGACCTCAGTGTGGTCTCTTGGACCACAAGTGGAGAAAACTCTGTAAGTCGTCCTCTGACCTCCACACACATGACATGGCACACATGCATAAAGATTACAAACACACAAAATAAGCTAATAAATGTAATTTTAAAATATTGTAACTAGGATTAATTCTGGCATATGATATGAAAGTAAGACCAAGGGAGCCGCACTGTTAGAGTACAGAATTAACAGATACTGATGAAGAAACAGGAAATGTGGTTTATGCTAAATATCCATCTACCTAAGGTGGTACCAGCATGCTGAAATATGTTCAGAAACAAAAATTAGAAAGTGCAACAAGTAGAAGGTGGTAAATACAATTCAAAGTTCTGTACTACTACTTTGATTTCTCCAGAGCTACCTACCTTAACATTATAGCAGCGAATGGTGTGGTCACTGGAACCAGTGTAGAGGACTGAATTCTTCCCAGAGGTGTGAGTGACAAGGAGGCAGTTCACTTTGGAAATGTGTCCCTCAAAGACACCAATACACTTCCGACTCTAAAGTCAAGCATAGGTCAGATTATTACTCACAGGCTGTAGAAGGTATGGCAGTTTACAGTAGAAATGTCCACCACAGTCTTTGGTATTTGAACACTCTGTCCCCTATTGATGGTGCTGTCTGGGGGTACAGTCTTGCTGACAAAGTATGTCAGCCAGGGCAGCCTGGAGAGCTTAAGATTCTCGGCACTTCCAGTTCACTCTCTCCGCTCCACTCCTGAGGTTCAAGACGGGAGTTTTCTAATCCTGCTACCCTGCCTGCTGCCACACTGTTCCACCCATATGGACTACAACCCTCTCGAACCGTAAGCCAAAAAACATGTTCTTCTAGAAGATGCCTTGGTCATGGTGTTTCGTCACAGCAATAGAAAAGTAACTAATACAGAGAAATTAGACAATGCCTTTTGTTAATACTGACAATGCTATTACGGTCCTAGTGGCTTAGGAATGTTTTCCTAAGAGCTACTTTAAATGTTATGTCTGTGCATATACCAGATCTATTTAGAATGTACACACATACATATATCTCACAACTTGCAAATTAGACCTGATTTCCTAGATTTTTAAAAAATTTCTTGAGACAGAGTCTCATGTAGCTTAAGCTCATTTCAAGCATTTGTACCAGAGGCTGGCTTTGAACTGTTGGGGGTGTGTGTGTGTGTGTGTGTGTGCACTGTGTATTCAGATGCTGATTTCTGTGCCCAGAGATCTGGTTGCAGTCTGGATATGGGCGTTGTCATTTTTATGAAGACTCTCCTGTCTCATGCTGTGTAAAAATTGTTCTCCATCATCTCTGACTAGTCAGCAGAGGAGAGGCAGCAGGACCTTCAATCCCAGGCAGGTAGTCTCGGGTGGGGGACAAAAAAGAAGCTTGAAGAGAAACAGCCCAAGAGGAGGTCGCCATGAGGGAGTCACTCACCGTAAGGACAAAGATGGAGCAGGAGCAGCCAGGGCAAGACTAAATGGCAGGTTAAAGGGCACGTGGCTGGGAAATAGTCCAGACCAACAAAGACAGGCTAGAATAAAGGAGTATCTGTCCAGCTTAATGCTTTAAAGCTTATTATTAAGTGTAATAGGCCTCTCTGTCATTTTGAGGAGCAAGAATGAGAGTAGAAAAAACTAAACAAATATTTCTACATTGAATTCCTGATTTTCCTGCCTCCACCTCCCAAATGATGGGATTACAAGCATATGTGGCCTATGCGGCTACATCCAGCTCTATTCCCATAGAGCACACACTCAGACCACTTTCTTCCTGAGGACATTTCCAATACTTGTCATGGCCCTAGATTATACACCTGTTACCTATAACTTTCAAGTTTTCATACTTTCATGGTGTTGGTTTGGAAAACATGCAAATATTACTAAAGTGTCTTGGTCATCATTGTGGAAGACAAAGTTAGTTTTAACAGAAGTTTAAACCTTAAAAGTGTTTTTTTGGCACATGATGAGCATCAGTGACACTGAGGTAAGGCATGGGAAGGTGCTACTTTCTGTAAGAACCTGGATTCTATAATTAATCACCAGAGAGAAAGTCTTTCTCAAACATGTTGTAGTAATAATTTCATCCTTCCTGGGTTATGCAGCAGCTTTATGACTGACCCCATCACTAACTTCAAGGCTGTGGCCTCAATGCCTCCTGGTAGGCTCCTATCCCTTTTGTCATGGATGATGATTCTTTGAACCAAGTGCGGGACCTTTTCTAGTGAAGAGACCCTACAGGTTCCTTTCTGAACCACATCTTAGGGAAGTGTGATAGAGAAGACAGAGCTGAGAAACAGGAGCCCACTGCCCCTGCCGATTAGATGACTCATGGCATCTGGTCAGCCTGAACCCCAGGAAAGCTAGGATGTTCCCTTTACGTATGCTAAAGACAACATAAGCGAGTTCTAGAGACCTGCAGCCAAAGGTACTCAGAACGCTATACTCACCACCAGATTGTAAACTCTGACAGTTGTGTCTGCTGAACACGTATACAGTAAGTTTCCAAATATCTGAATTGCATTCACTGCAGCTTGGTGTCCTTCAAAGCTTCCTTCTGTAGGCTCATCATCATCTCCTGGCTCGGAAGATATTTCTAGAGAACATAAATAGGTTTCAGAGACATGTCTGCTGCAGTCTGAAAAGATACTAAATCAAAACCATCACAAACCAAGGGAGGACTTGAATTAAATCACCAAAAGACCCTCTTAAATTCTAATACCCCAAGCAGGATGTCACAATTTTCAAAGCTCCTCATTGGGAAGATTCCACCAAAACCAAAACAACAACCTTAAAACTAATGAGGTCAGAAAAGGGAGGCAGCTGAGAGAGATGGGGGTTCGCCACAAACAGGGTGCAGAACCACACACCTGGCTGAGCCAGGCAACCCTCCTGGTGTAACCTCCCATTTTATCTCTTACACTAAATTCTAAAACTCCCTTCCCTGTGGGAACTTAGAAAAGAACAATTACCTGAAGAGTTCTTAGATGCTTTGATGGAGGAGATCACTGTCTGTGTTTCTGCAACACTGAAAAACAGTAAAATTTTCTTGGCATTTGGGAGACCAGGATAGGTGGCAAAACTAAAAATTTTCTAACTCAAAACAAAACACAAATTTTCTACTTGAAATTTCCTTAAAATTTACAACACAGTCAAAAGAGAAAGCAAAAAAACAAACAAAAAAAACAACAACAACAACAAAAAAAAACGAACTCCAATACCCAAGATTTGATTTTCCCTATTCATAACCGCTTTCACATAAATTTTGATTTATAAATAAATTCTACAATTCTACTTAACAGAATAAATGAGCTGGGCAGTGGTGGTGTACGCCTTTAATCCCAGCACTTGGGAGGCAGAGGCAGGCAGAGCTCTGTGAGTTCAAGGCCAGCCTGGTCTACAGAGAGAGTTCCAGGACAGCCATGGCTACACAGAGAATCCCTGTCTCAAAAAACAAAACAAAACAAAAAAACCCAAAAAAAACAAAACAACAACAACAACAACAAAAAAAAAAACAAACGCCAACCAACCAAATGAAGAAACAGTTGGAAAGCTGTGACAGAATGCCACTCCTACCTTACAGGAATGCCATCCTTGTAGCGGGTGCCAAGCTCACTGGTAGAGCTAACTTCATCGCAGCCAGAACGAGCAGTTTCTATTGTGTTTTGTTCTGCAGAGTTCCAGGCATCTTTCTTCGATGGGCTGTCTGGTTTCTCATCTCCCGATTCAGAAGAATCAATGGCAACTACATCTAACTGAGGATTTGGGACTTCTAGGACTTCCAGGGAGGATTCGCTGTCTGGCTCGTCTCTGGCAGTTTCTTGCTCCCGCCCGGTTCTGCTGTCTTCCCAGGAGGAGGTTGTCACTTTCCCCCCTTTAGCTGGCTTTCCAGTTTTTACCTTTCTTGCGGGCTTAGCAGTGAACATGTCCTGCTCGGTGTCACTGTTGTCAGGAGCGTGGGCAGCCCGCAGTGTTTTCCTCTTCCGAAGTTTCTTCTTCTTCTTGCTCCCTCTAGTTTCAACTGATGGCAGTATGGATTCTGCCCTTTGCTCAGGCTGGTCAGCTGGAGAGTGAGTTTCCTTCTCCGCAGGAGTTTCCGGAGTAAAAGACAATCTTAGAAAGGAACTGCTACCCTCTTCAGAACCACTGCTGCCTTTGGCTGACTCTTCACCTCTGTTTATGCCGGGAAGATCAGGAGACTGGCAAGAGGGAGAGTTTCCTCTGCTTCTGGGATTTCCTTGCTCCACAGAAAAATTCAGATCTTGGTTAGCCCCCTGGCAACTTTCTGTTGATGCTGATGTTATCGCTGCAGGGATGGCCAGGTAAACTGGACAGCTGTCACTGACCACTCCTGAATCAGGAAATCAAACAGAAAATCAGCTTCCATAGGCAGAGACTTTGTCTGATTCTTCTTCTATTTTGAATGTTCATGTATTTAGTGGTATATGGATTTTGCTGTGTGTGTGTGTGCGCGCGCGCGCGCGCATGCGCGCGCACGCACTTACGCTCAGATGCACATGTGCCAGGGAACCTGTCTGGAGGTCAGAGGACAAATTTTGGGAGACACTCTTGTGGTCTACCTTGCATGGAGGCAGGGCATCTTTTACTGCTTCTGCTCATACACTGTGTGCTCCAAGCTGGGCTGCCGAGCGGGTTCCTGGGGACTGTACCTCGGCTTTTTTTATCTTACTGTAGGGGTGCTGTGTCCTCACTGCTTAGGAGAGTAAGGATCCACTGAGCCTACTCCCCAGCTCCCAGAGAGGAATTAGTGATACAGGAATACCACGTAAGGCCAGGCTATGGTAAACTATGCCCTTCATATAGTCTACATGTAAACAAACATATACTTATGGTTTAAGACAGATTGAAATACAGCTCAGGAATTGTAGTTTGTAGTTCAGTGGTAGTACTGGGCTTGCCTAACATGCAATCTCCAGCAGCCTTCCCCCCTAAAAAAAGATAGTAAATATGTAACAATATATCCACACTTTTAATTGTTATTAGATAATCTTTTCAGAAGCCAGTATAATTATTATATCAATTAATTTTTTACTATGTTTTATTAATTATAGGCATTTGTGAAGGTAAGGTCAAAAGACAAGTTGCAGAAGTCAATTTTGTCTTTCTACAGTATAGACCCTGGGGATCAAGCTCAGGTTTTCAGGCTTAGTGATACGTGCATTTACTCTGAGTCATGTCACCAGCACAAACGCATTATAGTTTTAAAAACCTAAATATTAACCACATAAAGTAACTTAACATTCAATATGACAGATTATAGACATCCATCTAGTGTCTACATAATAAGCCCCGAAAAAGGGCAAGAGTAGCAGAAGCTGAAGATATTTTTCAAACTGTTTTAGCCTAAGAAACCACGCTCTTTTTTTTTTTTTGTGGGTTGTGTGTATACATACCATGGCACAAGCATGGAGGTCAAAGGACAAGGTTTGGGTGTCAGTTCTTGCCTTCTAGCCTACTGAGGCAGGCTCTCTCTTGCTGGTTTCTGTTGCTGTGCTGATACTCCAGGCTAGCTGGCCTGCAAGCTTCCAGGCAATTCTCCTGCCTTGTCCCCCCACCCCAAGGAGTGCTGAGAGCACAGATTTTAGCTACTGCATCCAGAAACTTGAGTCGTTAGGCTTACTTGGCTAGTTTCTTTCTGCTGAGCCATTTCGTTTGGAATGTGTTTTTGGCTTTTTTGACTGAGTTTTTAACATGACACCATTTGTAATTATGAAAATAGCTAAGAAGTTATCCTCAATTGTTAAATTGTTAAATCGGTCAAGTGTTAAGATCCCTGGCTATTTCTTATCCCACACACGTTTCTGTTAATACCAGTAAACACCAGAACCCTGTGGCCAACATGACCACTTGCCGCTCAGGTTTTTATTATTCTTGGCTTACTTTTGAGGTATTCAGAGAGGACACCCCTTACAGAAGAAGAGTAAACAGGCTGGCCAATCATAACCCACATATCACAAAGACAAACGAAACCTTTCAGAAGTGTCAAATCAATGTCAAGTCATTAAGCTCTGAGAAAAATCAGGGAACAGTGAAACTTAAATTACAGTCTCTGAAATATTTTATTAGTTTTTGAAAAGCATTCACATTTATTTTTATGTGCGCATGTCAGCACATTTGGGGCTCCAGGTTCTCTTCTTCCATGTGCAGTCTAGGGATTTAACTCAGGTCATCAGGCTTGGTGACAAACACCTTCACCTGCTGAGCCATCTCTCTGGCTCCACATTCCCTGAAGTATTTGTAAACATCCTCCTATATGAAATATCTGTCAATAAAAAACTAACTATAATAACTAGTTATCTTTATGAGAAGGTCTCATTATATAGCCAGAGCTGGCCCAAAACTTGCTATGTAGATCAACTTGATCTCTAACTCAGAGATCCACCTGACTCCGAGGTGTGTGCCACTGTGTGTGGCTTTGTTTTAATAGGCTTTACACAGTGGTATATAACTGTCCTTCAGGGAGGCCCTGAACTCAGAGAAAAGCTTACTTACTATTAGTCTGTAGGAATTCCTTGGACACATTGGAAGCAGAGCCTTGCGGCATAGCGTTCATATTCCCCTCTTGTTCAGGAGACATGGGCTCTTGTTTAATCTGAACCGATGAGTCAGGGACAGTACCATGGGCTTGGAGGGTAGATGTGGTTATTTGGAGAGGGGTTCCAGTGGACGGTGGAGGCACATGGGAAGGAGGGGGCTCCAGAAACCCTGGGGAAAAGGGAACAGGCAGCAATGTGCTCTCAAGAGATGCCTGAGATCGACTGCTCCTTTGTTCTCGTACTGTGAGGCTACAGGGAGCTTGGTCTGGGTGCTCAGAAGGTTCGTATGTTTCTAGAACAGAAAACATAGACACACATACAAATGCAAGCATGTTATTTGGAAAGTCATTTGTGTCTTAGCCAATTTTTTACTTGTTTTGTTTGGCTGCCTTGGAATGCACGGAGAGCCACCTGCCTCAATTCCCGGAGCTGGGATTAAAGGCGTGTGCCACCACACCTGTATTCTTTAAGATTTGGAAATAATTTCCAGTTGGGCATGGTGGTGCACACTTGTGATCACAGCACCTGGAAGGTGGGCACCAGAGGATTCAGATTCCCAGCAGCATCTGGCCACCTACTAAGTTTGAGGGAACATTGGCCACATGAGAGCCCCCGCCACCCCGCAAAAGCCAGACATGGTTGCATACGCCATTACTCCCAGCACTCAGCGGCAGATCTCTGTGAGTTTGAGGCCAGCCTGATCTACAGAGTTAGTTCCAGGACAGCCAGAGCTACAGTGAAAGAACCTGCCTGAAAAAAAACTACAACAAAAAAATTAAAAACAAACAAAATCAATAATGTGTACAAAGACCTTTCTTTAAGTCTAATGCAATCACAATGTGCTGAGGAGGCATTTCCTTGCTCTGCTACTGGCATCACAGTTCTCTAATATGTCCAAAAAACAGTCTAACCCGTACAACTATCAAGGATACAGAGAAGAGAAGAGGCTTTAACATTTAAATTTCTCAAAGTACAAGGATGGCTCACACCTGTATCCTAACATTCATTAGTCTGAGAAAGGTAGATTGCTAAGAGTTCTAGGTCATGCTAGCTAGATAACCTGGGCTCCTGAGCAAGGCCTTGCCAAGAAGAATAAAAATAAAGAAAGAAAAGAAAAGAAAAGAAAAGAAAGAAAAAATCTAAATCTAAATGGCTTATTCAAGTCATACAGTTACTAATGGAAGCCAAGATTTGAACTCAGTCCTGATTCCTAACTAGAGTGGATGTCCCAGCTCTTCTTCCTCCTTCCACTACTTACACTTCCATTATGTCGTAATCCCACACTATAAACTGAAGCAGCGCCCGCCCACAGGGAGACCAAGCACTCAACAGCTCCGCCCTGTCATTCTGAGATGCAGGTGTGCCTTGAACTCACTCTGTAACCAGATAATCCTGGCCCTCATAACTCTCCTGTGCCAGCCTCCTGAGCATCAGGGGTCATGGCCGGGACACCCAGGCCAGCTCTGTTGAGCATTTTGAGATGGCCAAGTCTCTGGGTATTTTACAGGAAGAAAGCACAAAGATATGCAGGGAAATGTATGACACTCCCACAGCAGACAACAAAAAGCAACAGTTCACCAGGCATGCTCTAAATACCTTGCAATCCTTGTAGAATCTGTATTCTGTGGGTCCGCAGCGCACTCATCTCCATAGTTATCTGAAAGTGAAATACTTTACTAAGCATTTTAAAACCCACTCGCCACGCTCGCCAGTGTCCCGAGGGCTCCTTACCTGCTGCTTGAGCATGAGCAGCCTCTGAACCTCCACGTAGGCCGTCTGCAGAGCGGCGCGCGCCTGCAGGAGGTTGTTATCCATGCACTGCAGCGACTTGCTCAGTTCTTCCTCTCTCAACGAAATGCTTAGTAGCTGGTCAACCTGAGAACGTTCTGTCAGAACAAAAGGCCCAGCTTAAGTTTCTTCAAAGACAGAAACACACATGCTTAGCACAAACCTGTTTTTTTTCTCTTAACAGGTGAACGGGACCCATAGATCTTATAAAATACGATATAAAATATCATCATCAGGCCTAAAAACAAGTAGGGGTCCTACAGCTCCCCCCTCCCACAGCCTTTAGGAAAACCTCTGTCCTAGAACTGCTTTGGTTTCGACCCTTCTTTAGCGGTTGTCTATCTGCTCTTCACTCAGGCTTTGGTTGAGACTGAGCTTCAGACTTACAGCACTTGAACTCTTCTTCTGAAGCCATGTTCTTCTAGTCTGTTTCTCAGTTCAAATAGTTCCCAATAAAGCTCTTGCTTGTTTATTCATTTATTTGTTTCTTTTGTTTCTGAGACAGGGACTATATAGTTCTGGTTGACCTGGAACTTTCAGGGATCCACTTGCCTCTGTCTCTGGAGTGCTGGGATTAAGGGCATGCATCACCCCGACCGGTCTGTTTATTGTGTTTTTTAAACAGAACCAGGGTCTCATATATAATCCATTTTGGCCTTAAACTATCTATTGATCCTCCTGCCTCCACATCCCCAGTGTACCACATTTACCCCAGACGTTTCTCTTGATGTACAGAGACTTAAGTCTGATGCAACTGCAATGTGCCGAGGCATTTCTTTGCTGTGCTACTGGTATTGTAGTTCTCTTTATTAAAGCTTTTCCAAAGAAAATCTAGTTTTAAAACTGAATAGAAACCTAAACAGACCTGAATGAGAGCCTGTTCTTTCTACTAAGCACACTTCTCAATTCCCATGAGCAAAGCAAGCAAGGTTGCCTCAAAAATAAAAAGTGAAGCTGGTGCGGTGGTTCATAGGCTGTAATCCCAGCACTTGGGATACGGAGGTGGCACCGCCCCGAGTTCAGAGCTGGTCTGGGTCACAGGTAAGAAACCTCAGAACAAAAAAAGAGAACATGAGAGGGACATTTTAATTAAATGACCTGTTCTTTCTCATTCCAACTGGAAAATCCCAGTGAGATTTCCTGCCTATGTTGCCTACAATATAAGCTAGCCTTCAGGCCTACAAGACATCATGTATTTCTTAGCTGCAACTAGAGGTAGCAAGCAAAAAAACTCTGCTTTTGAACAAAACGGCAATGTGAGAAAAACCAAGCATAAACAACTATGGTGACGTAAATTCGCCAACTAGCTTTCCAGAGGCCCAACTATGGTGACGTAAATTCGCCAACTAGCTTTCCAGAGGCTAAAGCAGGATTGCAGCCCAGGCCAGCCTGGTTTTACAGACAGATCCTGCCCCAGTGCAGAGGACTGAACCAGGGGTCTCACAGCATCTAGGTAAGTACTTTTCCACTGAGCCACAACCCAGCTCCTTTCAATTAAAAACAACAACACAGCAAGCCTTGTGGTATGATGCTACATGCTTGTAACCCAGAAGGCGAGACAGGAGGATTACTGCAAGTTTCAGGCCAGTCTCGACTATACAGCAATATCCTGTCTCAAAGCAAACTCTGAAGAGGATGGCAAGTATCTGATGATTAGAAATGGACACACCAAATTATAAAGAGGCTGAAGTGCTATCAGGGCAATTTCTAGTCAGAGACAAAGGTAGAGCACCTGCCTAGCATGTATGAAGCCCTGGGTTCAACCCTCAGCACTGTAAAACTAATGTTTTGCTACAGGATTCTGTAGCCGTCCGTACCTTTCTTTCCTTTAATTTTCCTTCTTTTATTTTTTCTCTCAAGACTTGGTAGTTCAGGGGATGATCCATCCTAAAGAGAAAGAAAATTGAATATTGAATATATAAATGCCATTATATAAGAGAGGAAGCAAAAGACAGTCATACATTGCCTTTTGCTATTGCTACCATTTCTAAGAGGACAAGAGGCCTTGTGCATAATTCAACCATTAGCTACCTTAATGTTTCTAATAAAAAGAGTTCAAGGTCAAGTGCTTTCTAATGTCTTATATGCACTAAAGCCCATTGTGCTCAGCACTGAGGTGAAGTGACACACAGATGGGAGAGGTGCACTTTAGTGATTTCATCTCGGCATAGGTTCCACTCTAAATATCCAAGGAAACCTTTCCAATGAGAAGCTAAACCAGTCACACGACAAACCTCAAAACAATGGCTTTTCAAAAGGGTAAATCTCAAGCTTCAAGTGTATTTAAAAATCACCTAACAGTATCTCCTCTGGCTTAGACAATCAGAATCAGGCTTCAGCTTAAAGGGGGGAGGGGCTACCAGAATACAGCCGGTATAACCACCAGCAACTTTCTTTTCAGCAAGGGACCTTGGGACAGGGATCTCATCTTCCTGTTATCAGGGAGCCCAAGGAGCACAGGTGGTTAATGAAGGAAAACTGCCTCACAGGATCGGGCAGAGTAACTACGGACAAAAGACAATCACAAAGATGAAGAAAGCGCTGCAGTGTTTATGAAGATGCATTCTAATACTATTAAGTCTCTCCATTGTTATACCTTCCAGCTGAACCAAGAATCCAACATTCACACGTGCCCCGCTGTTAAGAGACAGTCATCCAAGTGCAGCCATTTCAGAACTGTTGGAGGTGCCCTGCTGGTTGAGGTTGCAGTTTTTGCCTGGATAGTCATTAGGAGCCCGGTAATCCCCTTGATGGGGTCCCCTGCCCTCTGCCTAACTTCATCTGGAGAGTGTCTTTAGACACAGACTCCCCACTTGATATTCGGCCTCTGACACAGCTCCCTGCTAGTTCTCCCCTCCCAGAGCCGATATGTTAATTAAGCACTGACAGTCTACTCTTACAACAGGAGTGTACTGTATAATACAAATCAAACATCCTTAAGTGCCTAATTCCAACCAATTATGTACGTCTATTCTTGGAGGACTCCCCTCTTTCTCCCAGGGGCATATAACCTCTGTTCTCTGGAATTAAAGTTGAATTAGCCATTAGCTGTCCCCGGGGTGTGAGATTCCCCGTAAGGTTCTATCCAGGTATGCCTCTAGTCTCCTGCCCCTCCTGACTTTGTGGGTTCCTGGGAGGCAGCCCCCAGGCAGGAGGAGAATCAACAAAGAACAACCTTCATATTGCTGGCAAGGTCAAAACTGAGTTCAGGTTCCCATCCTGCTTCTTCAGGTGTTTCATATTTGTTTGTAACCAGTAAAGAATGTGAAGAGGGAAACTGCCATTATCTAAACTAAGGCACATAATGTGTTGCTGTCAAGACTTAACTGACGACATTTAAGCTTGCCTACTCCTTTGTTCCCTTATCATTCTGAATTCTGGACCAGAAGTCCAGGAGAGGTCCTGATTGCAAAAGCCAAGTTGAGGACCCTGAAACCAAGTGACCCAGATAAGGCTCAGTCATCAATGTTTACTTCCTTGCTCAACCCGTGTCAAAATATGATTGAACAATACTCTAGCCTGCCCTGCTCCCTTTCACTTTGGGGTTCGTCTTTTAAAAATGCTGTCCAATTTTTCCTCAGGGTCACAGTTTAGCTACAGAGTCTGTCCTGTGACCCTGGCTGGCCCTGAGTACAATAAGATTTAGTCATCTGCTTAAATACTAGATGAGCACTCAAAGGCAGAGTCAGGGCCCCAACTTTCCACCCCCACCCCAACTCTGTGCTGTTGTCCCTGCTGCCTAATTCAAATAAAGATCTTGCTTTGCTGGACTCTGGTGACTGCTTGGGTTGTTCTGTGTTTTCGGACCCCAATGCTACAATCCCAGCAGTACCGAGCGCCTCTATGAAAACAGATTAAGTTACATCTGAAGACATGACCTATCCTTAGTGTGGGCAATCACGGCTGGGAGCCTGGTTTTAGAGATGACTTCATATTTTCCTGGTACTGTACATTTGTATCATGTTGCACCTGGTTTAGTGGAGCTACTCAGGTGAGAGAAAACCAGAGGACGAAAGTTAGAGCAATTCTGTGCCAGAGCAAAGGAAGCCGCATCCCAGACACACAAGAAAAGACAGTTAAGCCTTTCCCATCAACATCCAAGCCCTCCCATGAGACACTCTTCAAAACCGGGGAACCATGCTCACCCCGGTGGCTCTTCGCTTCTTTCTAACGCTGTGGCTGTCGTTTTGCTCAGCGCCAGAGGTGCAGCTGCTGTCAGTGGCTGCATCTGCTAAGCTGGAGACGGCGCGACCTGAAGACGCATTTGATGAGAGCGAGTTTCCCTCTCCAGTGCTCTCCTGGGCACGGTGCTCTGACAGTGGTGTAGACCTCTCCTGGCTATGCAGGTCTCTGGCTGAATGCATGAAAGGTATTAAGTGATCAGATGGTAGCTGTGCACTGTGTCGCCTTTGGGTAGGAATGCTGCCGACCTTTTCACCCATTCTGACAGAGGCAGTCAGAGGGGCTACATCCTGCTCAAGACACAGGGCTGCCTTTTGACCCTGCGCAGCACTTAGTGCAGTACTAGGTGTAGCTCTCTGCTGGGGTTCATTTTCTTTGCCAGTACTTTCCTCACCAAAGAAGCTGTACACAGGAGTCCTGTCCACGATCACGCTGCTTTCAGAAAGGCTTCGCTTTCTTGCCAAACCAGAGGATGAGGAAATGGAAACACCTTCCCACTGGAATCCTTCTAGACTGGACAGATCAGGCTCCTCATCTAGATCCAAGACTTCCTGTTCACTTTGAACCAAAGGTACCATTTCTATGCCAAACCTTAAAAAAACAAGAAGAAAAAGGAACAAATGAGGTATGATTGGGCAAGGAGTAACGTTTGATGAGCCAGGCTCCAAAATGCAGAGGTAACAGGACAGTTCCTGCTGTCAAGGAGCACAACCTCTGACATGGAATCCAGAATGACATGAACACTGTCGCAGGCAGGAAATCCGAACTGTATACAGCCACAGTATATAGAATGCAGGGTTTCCCCCTCTCAAACAGAGCTCTTTGTCTACAATAAACAGTTCAAGAGCAAATAACCAGTTTACGGAACATTCACAGCCACTGAGCATGACTCTTAAGTTTCCTAGTGTACCATACCATGCACTTTTCAAAAGGACTAAGAAAGGAAAACAAGACAAAGAAATCAACAGACGCTGAGCCTGGAGGTTAAAATTACACTGTTACAAAAAATTATGGTTTTCAAAGTAGCAAACCTATGCTGGCTATTTCTTGACCACTCACAACAGCACCTCAAAATGTTTCCAGAGCTTAAGAGAAAGCATTCTATGATCCTCACTGAACAACCAGAGTGCATATAGGAAGGTATCCACAAGCTGAGTCAAAGACAGTAAGAACAGTTAAACATTTACCACTGCTTCCAAACATTAAGATTTAGAGAAAGATAGAACATTCTAGTCCATCTAAACCAAAGCAACAGATTTCTGATGATGTTTTCCTAGGTCCAGTTAGTTTCTTAGGTGTGCCTCTATTTTAACAGCATCCTTTGTCAGGAGAGACTATCACACATCATGCAGGAACAGCCACTGCTTAATAATGAATTAAAGCAGACATTTACAATGGATATTTTCGGCAAACTTTTAATTAAGCAGAACATGAACTTGATTTTAATCAAGGCCAAAGGGTGTTAACCTTTAAACGAAAGCAAGGACAGGTACTGAAAGAGGCACACACCTGGGTAAACCTTTGCCCAGCTCTTGCTTTTTCTTGGTTACTTGTTGAATGACCTGTTCCCAGTTGACATTTCTCCGAGATGGATTCAGAATCTGCCGCAGGGTTGGCTTAAGGCCAGACTCCTTCTCTGCTTCACTTTTTCGATGCCCACTAACATTGCGAATACGTCGAGCACTATTGAGGTTTGGCTCTGGGAGATGTGTTCCAGTTTTGCTTTTCAAACTGATGTGCCGGCTTAGATCTCTCTGGAGTGAGGCAGGAAAACCAAGTTTACTTAGTTCCGGCAGGAGTGTGCCTGGGGGCTGATTACTGATATCGTTTTTTTGAAGCTCTGCATCCAAGCTAGTGCCCTCAAAGCTTTCTGTTTCAAAAGGTCCATCAGATTTAACAAGGCTGCTAGCCTGTGCCTCTTCTAGAGAGGTCTTCAGGTCTAGCAGTGAGCCAGACTGTGGACTGGCTGCTGCTGTCACCTGTAACTCAGCCTCTTTCTGGTGAACTGTGGTATTATTTGGGGAGGTGGAGAGGTTTCCAGATGGTCCCAGGATCTGGTTCCCTTGCTCCTTATCCTCACTGTGAGTGCAGCAGGACTCAACCTCTGTAGTTACTGAAGCTACACCTTCGTTTTTCAGGCCATGCTTTTCTGGACTGGCTGCTGCTCCATCATTTTCAGCTGAGCGTACCTGAAACTCAGTGCTCACAGAGTCTTTTGGAGACTCTTCTACATTCCTACTTTCTCTGGCATGGTTCTCAGTATTTCTGGGCATGCTGAGGGGTGGGTTTTGCAGTGTTCTGGGACACTGTCGCACCTCTTGGGCTTTCTGTGATGAATCATTTAACTTTTCATCTGGTTCTTTCTGAGTGCCTGATACAGTTTTATTCCCCTTTAAAACATTAGGACATAAACCATGTGATTTGGATGTGTAGGAAGAACCATGGCTACCTTCTAAGGTGGATTTGTTCAGGAGCTGTGAACAATCTCCAGGAGAAAAGGATTTTGTTTCACTGTTTTTTGAGTGGTTCTTTAAATTATGCTTATGAGAAGCCAATTTAGGGGTTGGAAGTGGAAGGAGTGGGGATTTCAATAATGGAATCTTATTTGACTTCCGAAGTGGCTCAGACTGTTCGGCAGTGGGGCAGGCTCTCACCACCTCATAGGAAGCAGTGCTGTCAGAAATCGCTTTCTGACTGGGAGAACCAGGACGTACTTCTTTTTGCATTTTAGGCACTTCAGCATTACTTGTTTTATCATCTGGTTCTTGTAGTCCTGCAGTGATTAAGCTAAAATTGAAGAGAGGCTTATCCACCGTTTCTGACTTGTTGCCAATGATTTCTTTCAGGGCTGACTGTAAATCCGGGGTCTTCTGGGAAGGGTAGGGTTTCCAGCGGCGGAACCTTTCCCTTGCTATGCCGCCATTCTTCCCATTCATTTTTGAGGCTGCTGTGTCTGTTTGTTTAGGGGTTTGACTTTCTCGCTGCTCAAAACTGAACTCAAGTAAACCTTCCGAAGGAAATGTGTCACTTGCAAATCCCTCAGAAGGACCTCTATACTTGCCAGCTTTGTCACTGTCTTGCCATTGCCACTTATATCTCTCCTGATTGTACTTGCTTGGCTTATTAGATTTCTTGTTCCACATCTTGGTCATGTCTTCCATTTGGTAGTTAGAATTTCTGTTTCTGCCTTGTTGAAATTTGTCTCCAGGGCTATTGTAATTCCAACTATTTGTACCCCGCACACTGGACTTCCAGTTTCCGTTACTGTTGTTCATGTGCCAGCTGGAAAAGCCACCTGTTCCTTCAGAATGCCAACCGGAATTCCTTCCTATACCATTATAATTCCAATCCACCATCCCATTGTTTGGATGCCAACCTCCTCCAGAGTTACTGTGACTGTGGAACCAGGTCGAAGTGCCTCTTGCAGCACCTTTATGCCACCCAGAACTTCCTCGTGGCCCACCACTGTTCCTCAGAGAATGTGGAAAGCTATTTTTCCTAGCATTATTGAAGCCATCCTTCTCCCATTTCCAGTCCCTTTGTGCAGGCCCACGATGGTGCCTTGCCGGTTGATTATAGCTCTCTCTGTCTTGGTAAGGGATTCGCTCTTCTCGTCTCCACTGGGGTTGCCTGTCATCTGAATTTATTTCTTGGCTGTTACCGGAAGGTTCATCTTGTCTGAAAGAGAAACAGTTTGTCGTTAATGGATTTAATGAAATTTAATGTATGCTTCTTTTAAAGGCATAAGCCATCAAAACTTTCCCTCTCCTTTTCTTACTTAAGATTACAGAATGGGGTCCATTTTGATTTCTGGTGGTTGTTTTTATACCTGTAACATAAAAGACTATCTTCCCCTTCATACCAGAAATATTAAAAATTGGACACATTTATGCTAACTTTCCTTATACTTCTCCTAGCCTTTCTTGATTCTGGGTTTTTTTTTTTGGGGGGGGGGAGTTACTGTTCTAGAATTTTATTCCTATTATCTTTTACATTATGAAGCTCTTTTCAAAATAAAGACAGTTATATTTTGTGGGTAGGGTTATTGTTAATTTAACTCCATGCTCAGACAGCAGTCATGCTTCAGTTCTCCAGATGCAGGTTCTTGCTGAAAAATCTACTTTTTAACCCACTTCGAGTGAATACCTTCATTACTGAACACTTTATCAAGCATCCATCCACGGGGCTGTTAATAGTGAAAGGAAACTTTTATGTACAGTTCCTGTTTGGAACAGGCTTAAAACTGAGCTGATGCAGTAAGTTAGGTCCCAAGCAGAGTAAAACAGAGCATAGGCCAAATAAGGGATCCCATAAGAAGCTACAAAGAGCTTATGAGCTGGAGGCTTTTTATAGAGAAGCCACAGCTGCTCAAGCTATTTATGTTGCATAAGGTGCCCACAAGATAGGAATAAATTTACATATCACAGAAATGTGTAAAACCGTTTTTCTTTACAAATTGGGTGTCTAACATTCCCAGCATGTGATAGGCGCTGAAAACACCAGAAAATAAAGTGACCTAAAATTCACTTTGTTTCTGCTAAGGACTTCATTAACGCTAAGTACATTTTTAAAGATTACCTCATTCAACTTTTATAATCCAAAGGCATATATTTACTATTTTTAAATGAAGAGGCTCAAGTTTAGAGAGCCTAAGTAACATGAATGGAGTCACACAAACACAAGGGGCAAAGATCTGAACTTTGGCTGCAGATTCTACACTACCTGTAGGCCCTGATGGAATAAAAACGCCCTAACAGTTTGCAGCTGGAATTTCTTTCTGGAGAGATGGCTTGGCAGTTAAGAACACTGGCTCTTCCAGAGGACCTGAGTTTAATTCCCAGCACCCACACGGCAGTTTATCACCATCTGGAACTCTTGTTCCCAGGGACCTGACACCCTCTTCTGGTCTCTGTGCACGCCAGGCATGAGCGTGGTGCATAGACACCTACACATATAAAATAATAAAATCCTGGGCTGCGTGTGGTGATAATACACCTCTAATCATAGCATTGGGAGGAAGATGTGGGTGAATCTCCGTGAGTTTGAGGCCAGACTGGTCTATGTAGTAAGCTGCAGGCTAGCCAAGGCTACACAGCAAGACCCAGCACTTGGGCCAGGGCTAAGAAGAATTTGAGCTGACTACATAAAGACACCCTGCTTCAATCAATCAACAAAGATCTAAGTGCACGATTTTATATAACCATGTCATCACAGAAACATACAGGACTCAAAGAACAGTAACTATGATATCAGTGTCTAATCTTAACCTATGATAATGCTTAATTATTTACACAGCTAAGCTATAATAGTTCTGTTGTGGAAGAACCAAACAGAAATTAGTGCCCTACTCACTTAACTTCCTAAAACAGAAGCTCAGACTATAGCTGTACTATAGTCATGACAATGGCATCAGAAGGACTAAACAGCCCAAGGAGCCAACAATCACGTTGCTATAGGCATTTTAAGACGAAGAAAGTCTTCTTAAAGACTTAATCTTTAAAAATTTATTTTAGAGTTTGAAAATTTCTCATCATAGAGTCAGACTTTAAAAACTACTGCACTTCATTAATTATTCTCTCCTGTCTTCTGTCTCATTAAGTTCCTAGGTCAAAGCCGGGTGTGGCAGCACACACTTGTAATCGAAACACTTTGGGAGATAAGAGCCATAAGTTCAGAATCATCTTTGGCCATGAGCAAGCTGGAGACTAGCTGTGGCTACATGACTGCCTGGCTCACTTAAAAATTAATAAGCAAGCAAAAAACTTCAGGCCATAAAATCAGGTAAGTAAAACTATATAAGCCTAACATACAAATACATAAACACAGGTATAAAATTAGGAAGTACAATTAGGAAACTTACATTGCTCAAATAATCTTTATATTGTCAAATTAAAAAATATTAATATTTACAGAAATACCCAGAGTGAACCAGGCACTGTACAGTTATGAGGAATTCAAATTTGGCAGAAGCACCTTGCTAATTTATAAAGGTAATCCTTTCCCCCAGGATATTATTTGGGCAATAAAAATATCTAATGAATAATAATACAAATGAATAAAGAATGTCTATTCAATGATGCTTATCTTATCCTCTATAGCTTTCTAATAGAAAAGACAGATACTAGTAAAAGCAGTTCAAGACACAGTGACCAAGACCATAGTTTTTACTTCAAAGACAAGACTAAGTTTAAGGACAGATAATACAGCAACTCAAGAAAGCACTTCATAGTTCTTAGTCCCCAGATAGCAAACTCAAACAAAAAATTTATATTTAAGGCAGCTTAAGCTTTAGGCTCTTTCAAACTTCAAATCATGGGCTGGGAATGTAGCTCAGTTAGTAGAGTGTGCTCCTAGCTCCACAAAGCCCTAAGGCTCATCCTCCAGGTCAGATACACTGTCTACATGAAACTCTATCTCAAAAAAGCCAAAACTAAAACAAAAAGGACTTACCGACTTTGTTCTTTTCTTTCTTGTATTAACTGAATGAGTTCCTTGTCAAAATAATCTTCCTCTTCCTCTTCCTTTCCGTCATCTTCTCTTTCCTGGGCATCAACATTATCTTTGTGCAACTGGCCAGAAATGTGCTTTGCATATGCAGAGAGACCCACTTCTGTGACCCGGCACACTCGGCACTCATGACTACTGTCCCTAGGAAAAGAGGGAGATGAAGGACATTCAATTCTCCCCACTGGCATGGTACACTCACCAGATCGCTAGTTTCCTCTGAAAGACACTGACAATTGGGCACAGTGAAAAATTAGTGTTAATAAATGCCAATGTTCCTTTCATCACTTTTTAGCAAGTTTGTTGACAGGTTATTTTGGAATAAATTTTGGATTCTTTTCCAGCAATCAAGAGGCAACACACTTCAGACTAATGGTATTTATAGGAGAAATCTTCTTGAATTGCTGTACTTAAATTCTTGCCAGAGGAAACATGGTGAAAGGGGAGGCAGGGCAGGGGGCTCAGAGCAACCAGAAGCTGCTCTGGGGCACACCCATGGTGCCAGCTGCACTCAGAATGGCTGGTAACAGCACATCCATTTAATCTCCAGGGAAGGCTGAGGGTGGAGCAAGGAGGAGGGGAAACAGCCAATCTGAAGGCACTAACTAAACTGGAACAGCTGGCACTCCGCCTGGAATGTGAAGATTCCGGACTCTGGCAAGGACAGCAGCAGTCCCAGCAAATGTTCTTCATCTGGAAGATCCATGTGACACATTCTGCTTCAGCAGAGCTTATTTTAAAGGGAATGGAAACCGTATCAATTGTAGGAAGTTAACAGCTGTGTTAGGCAAGTGTTTTCTCTCAAGTTTCAGAAAATGATGTAGTCCAGATACAAGCAAAACCGGCCTGTCCCTAAACTGGTGACTGGCTTGCTTCTGTTTGCTTTTTCTTTAATATTTAACACAACGGCAAATCTCACATTTGGTCAGTCTTAACAAGCAAAATCTTAAAACCTCTTCAGATCTGTAGCAGATCAATAATTTAACTGCTTTTAAGCTTCCTGCTGCAATCCTTTGATTCTGTCAGCTGTCTATGCAGCTGTCTATGAGAAATGTGAAACTGTGGCCGTTCAATAATTCAGCTTGCATTGTGGGTTTACAGCAGTGCTATTTCTTTCTGTACGTCCTACACCAATTTGTGTGTCCACATCTATCTACCTATATAAATCACCACAGACACATGCCATGAGACACACAGCTACCTACTCCCTCCTTTACAAATACCCAACTAAAATAAGCAGAATTGATATGAATTAACAGAAGTCCTTGAAATTGAGCTCTTCGTTTACTAGAAGACAGTTTCTGCTGCAGGTCACCTGGATGGCCATTTAAAGCAAAGCAAAACAAAACCAAACCAACACCTCACCAAGCAACTGCTAAATATCAAGCGCAACGCCATGTTACTTAAGAGTTACAAACTATAAAAACTCAAACAGTGCCTGGTACATTTTAAAATGAAATGCTGGGGTTGGGGAGATGGCTCAGTAATTAAGAACACTTTCTGACACACTTTTCTGGCCTCTGGGGGCACCTGTTCTCACGTGGCATATATTTACATAATATCCATTTGCATACAGATAAAAAATAAATCCCAGAGGGGAGAAAAGCAACACAGTTGGGCAGGAAATGTAACACAGTGGAAGGTAGCATCCAGCTCGCATCAAATACAAGGCACAGCATTGTACGAAGAGGCAGAAACAAGCCCGAGAGTGACTGCATATGCCTTCAACTGCGGAGCTCAGGAGGGAGTGGCAGGAGGATCTAGCCTGGTCTACACAGCAAGTTGTAGACCAGCCAGGGCAACATAGGAAGACTGTTGAAAGAAAGAAAGGAAAGAAGGAAGAAAGGAAAAGGGAAGAGCCAGGGAAGAGGCAGAGAAGAAATTTCAGAAACATCCCCCCCAATACTGTTTCTTATATTGGAAGAATCTTTGAAAATTTTTAAAAATGTAAAAATTTACACTTCTTTTGTACTTTGCAGCACAAAATGCTTATATTAAAATTTTTTTAAAGAATTTTTTTTAAGATTTATTTATTTTATGAGCGCTCTGTCTGCATGTACACCTGCACGCCAGAAGGGGGTATCAGAACCCTGTATAGATAGATGGTTGTGAGCCACCATGTGGTTGCTGGGAATTGAACTCAGGACCTTTGGAAGAGCAGCCTGTGCTCTTAACCACTGAGCCATCTCTCCAGCCTCTTATATTTTAAAAATTTTTAAGTGAGAGTTCTGACCAGGTTTCCAAAAAATATAAATTGGTTACCCTGAATTCAATATTCTAATTCCATGTCATCCCATAATACTTCAATGCATTATTTTCTAACTGTGTCTATATCTTTAAAGATTGATTAATCACCATTAGGCATGGTGGCACACACCTTTAATCCTAGCATTCTGGAGGCAGAGGCAGGCAGACCTCTATGAGTCCCAGGACAGCCAAGGTTACACAGCGAGACCCTGTCTCAAACAACAACAAAATCAGTATTTATTTTTTCCATCTTATCCAGAATAAAGTTCTCCAGGTTCAACTAGATTGAGCCAGCTCAGTCTGGGTGTGCGCTAACTTGTAACAGCAAGCATCTCACAGCAGCACAGCAAGTTTAGGGTGTGATCAAGAATCTGGAGACCACGTGACAAACACTGCACATAACTGTAGCTGAGATCCCAACCAACCTCATTTTCCGTCAGAAAATCATTCTCTCCAATGTTGTCATCCACATTTCTACTCTGTGTAAAAAAAGGTTGAGTTGGTGTTGCCATACCAGTAGTCTCATTCTATTGGGGCTTCTGTACAATCTCTAAATTTTTTCAAAATTGTTGATTATGACTTTATTTACAGGAAAATTTTTCTTATATTCAAGCCACCAACAAACCTCTTTTGAAATTTTTATTAATGACTTGCTTACATACTTTGTATAAACATATAAATATGGATATAACGTACTGCTTTTGTGTCACAGCTAATAAAGGCAATCCTTTTCCTTAGGTTGTTTGAAGGGCCCAAATTAGCTCCATCCTGTCACCACACAATTTCCCCTCATGTACAAAAGGCAGCCTTAAGATACTCTATGCATAATCCTCTCTTTATTAAGCTTGCTCTAACTAAACCGCAACAGCTGCTTGATAAATAAAGGCTTGAATCTTTGATAGCTTCTATTTGGAAAAGGGCTTATATCACACAGCTACCCTATGTCCCTTATTAGAAAATAAAGAAAACTTACCAATATGGCCAAGTTTGCCTTCAAAACTGAATATAAAAACTTAATAAAGTAGCCAGGCATGGTGGTACATGCCTGTAAACCCAGCACTTGGGAGGCAGAGGCAGGTGGATCTCTGTGAGTTTGAGTCCAGCCTGGTCTACAGAGTGAGTTCCAGGACAGCCAGGGCTACACAGAGAAACCCTTGTCAGGGGTGGGAGGTGTGGGGGAAGCCCACACACACACAAAAATTATAACTCTTTACAAGATCATAACTAAAAAGTAAGGTTCAGCTATAAGCATAGTAATTAAACAGGAAATCCAGAAATGATCACATATTGAGGTTAAGAGGGAAAAGGAATAAGGATTGGTGAGTATTTATCTCTAAGTACAAACTAGTTATGCCTGTCCTTAAAATAATGCTCCAAGTCAATATTTGAGATTTTATGTGGCTTTTCAAAAATTGTCTTATCAGCTGGTTTTTCATGTGATTTGTTATGAACTAGAAAATTATATAAAACTTGTTATGACTGCAGCTAGCACATGAGGAAAGCTGCACTAATGTGTGCTTCTCTGAAAATGAGGTAGAGTGCCCAAGATGGTATTTACAAGGAAAAGCAGTTAAAGAGCTACACATAATCAGTAAGAGGTCAATTACTCAAGACAGAACAAAGCATGTGCATAGACCTCAAACGGTGAATGCATATAAACTTCGAATAAATAGGCTGGACAAGATGGAAAGGGATTTTATTAACGAGGAACAATGTGAACACTTTCCTTTTTTTTTTTTTTTACTTTGAGACTGGGTCTCTCTATGTAGTCTTGGCTGTCCTGGAGCTCCCTATAGAGACCAGGCAGGCCTTGAACTCAGAGATCCTGCTGCATTTGCCTGAGTGCTGAGAGTGGGGAAGATGGAGAGAGCTCAGCAGTTAGGAGTGCTTACTGATCTTACAGAGAATGAACATCCACCTCGGGTTGCTCATGGACACCTGTAACTCCACCTCCAGGGGCTTTCCACACCTTTGGCTACCACAGGCCCTGCCCCTATGTGCACATATCCACATGCAGATGAACACACACTTGAAAAGAATACAAATAAATATTTTAAAAATAACAGTTTTATGGAGCTGGAGAAATGGCTCAACTGTCAGGAGCACTGGCTGGGGCGCTCCCTGGAACCCTCCTGTCCTCCAATCTGAACCCTCCAGCCTTTATCCTCAGCTCTGTAGCCGCTCACCTGCCGTGGCCTCTTTGCTTCCATTCCCAGGAGTCTACACAGATCCTGTAGGCGCACCCAGCTCTCCCCTCTCCTGATGGCAAAGCACAAACTTTGAGGCCCTAATCAGCAGGAAGTAGTCTAAAGGTATCATCACCCCCTTTCTTCTGTATGCTTTTTTCCCCTAACTAGTGTTAGGGGGTTGAAAGAGAGGAAGAAAAGGGCGTGGATATGGGTGAAAAAAAGAAAAAAAAAAAAAAAAACAAAAACATAAAGTAGCAAATGCTGATTACAAGAGCTGACTTCTCAATGAAAATTCTTTAATTTTTATTATTTATTTATTTATTTAGGGTTTTTGAAGCAGGGTTTCTCTGTGTAGCCTTGGCTGTTCTGGATCTCACTCTGTAGACCAGTCTGGCCTTGAACTCAGAGATATCCTCCTGCCTATGCCCCTCTTCCTCCCTGAGTGCTGGGATTAAAGGTGTACATGACCACCACCCGGCGGCTCAATGGAGATTCTGAAAGCCAGAAGGGCCCAGACAGATGTTCTATAAACTCTAAGAGACTACAGATGCCAGCCCAAACTCTCATATCCAGCAAAATTTTCAATCACAACAGATAAGAAAAAAGCCTCTCAACTATAAAACCATATTTAAGCAGTATCTACCTACAAATCCAGCTCTACTATAATCTGAAGAGGTTAACCACACCCAAGAAAACACAAGGAATAAATAAAATATCAAAAGGGGGGTGTTGGTATAGTGTTATGTATTCTAATGCTAATTACTGCCCCCCCCAAGATCTGGTTACTCCCCAGATGATCACATTCTCATGTACACCAAGTGATAATATGCACACACACGCACCCCAATTATTCCTGATTGGCTTACAAAATTGCTGACAGCCTGGCTGTGCAGAAGACAGGTACAGTTTAAGTTCCCAGGTTGGGGGGGGGGGGGGTTGGAGACCAACAGGAGGAGAGAGGAAGGAGGGAGAAAGCACAGCCTGTCACCATGGGTTAGTGTGAACGAGAAGCACGTGTCAGAGCTTGCTCTGAGGAATGGCATGATGGAGAGAAGCAGCTGAAATGAAATATGTGCAAGTATTGAGGGGGATTTTGGCTGAGGACAGACAAGATAGTTTAGAGGATTAATATCTGTCCAGCCCAGGTGCATTAAGGCTTATTAAAATATCTGACATGTTTCTGTGTCTTTTATTTATGAAACAGCAGGTTAAGAAATAAACTACGGCTGGACAGAGGGCTCAGAGGTTAAGAGCATTGCTTAACCTGAGGTCCTGAGTTCAATTCCCCAGCAACTACATGGTGGCTCACAACCACTCATAATGAGATCTGGTGCCCTTTTCTGGCATTCAGGTGTACATGCAGGCAGAACATTGTATACATAATAAATAAATCTTTAAAAAAAGGAAATAACTACCACTGAATTAATAACCAGCAATAATTAATATTACTAAAATATTAATAATCACATAAGCCAATATTTAAGAATTAATAATCATTCAATGGGTGGGACATACAACAACAAAATAGTCTTAATTTACCAATAAAAAGACACAGAGTAGGCAGGCATGGTGGTGCATGCCTTTAATCCCAGCACTCAGGGAGGCAGAGGCAGGTGGATCTCTGGGAGTTCAAGGCGAACCTGGTCTATAAAGTGAGTCCAAGAGAGCTAAGGTTATACAAGGAAACCCTGTCTTGAAGGAAACAAGAGACACAGACTAATAGACTGGATTCAAAGTCTACCATGCTGCTGTATCTAAGAAACACACTTTAACATCAAGCATACATATCACCTCAGGGTAAAACGATTGAAAATAATATTCCAAGCAATGGACTAAAAAACAAAATTGGTGTAGCCGTTCTAGTATCTGACAAAGACTTCAAGCCAAAACTAATCAGAAGAGACAGGAAGGGTACTACAAACTCATTAAAGAAAATAGCCACCAAGAGGACACTGCAATTCTAAATTCTAAGCATCTATGCACCAAACATAAGGGTACCCAAGTTTATAAAAGAAACACTGCCACAGCTTAAACCACGTGGTGATCCTCACACAGTGATGCCGGTGACTTTAACACCTCACTCTTGCCAAAAGACAAACAGAAATGCTGAAGCTACATGAGATGTAATAAGCCCAATGACTGAACCGTTATTTACAGAACATTTTACTCAAACACAAAGTAACACACCCTTTTCTCAGCATGTCATGGAACTTCTTCCAAAAATGACCATATACAATAGATCCCCTTTGTATAAGTATATATTTTAGGAAGCTTCTACTACTGTATTAGACTTCCATGACCCCTCAAATGGCCCTCAGTTTCAGCTGTCCCTTTCTCATCCCCTTCTCCCTTCTCCCCCTACCCTATTTCTGTCTCCCTCCTGTCCACCCACAGCTACTTCTTCTATTCTCTCAGGCTTCCTCTCCCCCACCTAGCCCCTTACTCTATGCCTAACTTCTGCGGTTATATGAGTTGCAGCTTGCTTATCAAAGACTTAACAGTTAACATCCACATCTAAGTGGCTACGTAACATAGTTGCCTTTCTAAGTGAAACCTTCTTTTGGTTGCCACTAAGCATAACCATTACACATAATAGGACCCAGGCACGAAAGAAATCCATTTATATGCCAATGAGATGCTGAAGTCTATTAATAGCACATCAATTTACAGATACAAGATAAACCTGTATGACTTACAATAAAGTTAACACATTAATATCCAACAACAGGGTGGTAGTTTCACAGAAACTTTTATTCACAAAATAAAATATAATTCATAGTTCTGAATTTACCAATGTTACCTTCATCCAATCTCTACACTTCAGATCCACATTAGCCAAGAAGACACACAGAAAAAAGGACATGGAGTATACACACACACCACATTTTCTTTTAAACCTCTTTTAAACATCTTAAGCTTTACATCATCATCAACAGAACATTTTTAAATACACTTAAGACCTCTTAGTTTTGCAGACACGAATAAGCTTCAGTACAGCTTAGCAACTTGTGGATTTCCCAAGATATTTCAGTAAGACTAGAAGTTTACAACATACAATAATCTTGCTAAAGCAGAAACACGGAAAGCACCAGCTGCATGGCCACTATGCAGGAGTAGGTCAGGTTATGAGCCAGCTCATTCCAACTCAGCTTGTTATAGTCTGCTTGCCTGAGTTGCTAGGAATTCTCCCCATGTGCAGATTGAAATGCACAAAGGTACCAGGGCTTATCTTTGAGTGCCCCAAATCTATTGCTATTAATTCTGAGCAATGAATCAGTGCCATAAGACAACAGTTATCATGACGGATTATTACAAAATAAGTCAACAGGCAGCATCAGCACCTAAACCCCACGTTAACAGATTTATAAGAGAGCGTCCCCATTACCTGCCCTTCAGGTTCTCGAGCTCCCTGTGATGCAGCATGCTCCTCATGTGTTCGTCCATCTCCTTCAAAACAAAACAAAGCAGAGTAAACCCAGGGGACTGCTGGGGCTGTGGGGTCTGTCTGGGGGTAGGGAGGGTGGGTGGAGTTTCTCTGTAGATACTCAATAGTTTGGGTTACAGGGCTGGAAAATGGCTCAGTGGTTAAGAGCATCTGCTGCTCTTCCAAAGAACTTGAGTTCAGGTTCCAGCATGACAGGTGGCTGGTTCATTTCTACCTGTAATCCTGTGGGAGGCCAAGAGGGGATCCCACGCCCTTCTGGCATCACATATACAGTGCATACACACTTAAGACACATATATGGTCTGGGTTAAGAGTTAAAAACACTATTCTAAGAAAATTTGGATCCGAGGCTGGAGAGATGACTCAGCAGTTCACTGGCTGCTCTTCCGGAGGACCTGGGTTCAATTCCCGGCACCCACATCGCAGCTCACAACTGTCAGTAAATCCAATTCCAGGGGACTGACTCCCTCACACAGACATCATGTAGGCCAAACACCAAATGCACATATAATTAATTAATTAATTAAAAAATCAGATTCAAATTTCTTATATCAAACAATTTTTGTGATTACTCTTTTCAATTTAAAGCCAACATTGGGTCCACATTAAATAATTCTCTGGCTATACTTCATGCTTATTTTTATTTTGCGAGGTAGAGTCTCAGCCCAGGAAGGCCTTGAACTCCTTATGTAGCTGAGAATGACCTTGAATTTCTGGTTCTCTGACCTCCATCTCCAGTGCTAGGATTATAGGTGAACACCACCACAGCGGGCTCTGATTTTTTCAAAAGAAACTTTTGGTTATTTTCAGTAGATTAGGCTGGCCTCCAACTTGCATGTCTTGGGACTGATAACCCCTGGTGGTATGGTGGGTGGGATCTGGGGGCTCTGACCAAGCACTGAGATTGCAGCATGAACTCCACAGCCTAATCTACACAGGGAATTCTAGTTCATCCAGGACTACATAGAAAAACCTAAGGAGGGCTAGAGATGGCTCAGCAGTTAAGGGCACTGGCTGCTCTTCAGAGGTCCTGAGCTCAGTCCAGAACCACAGGGTGACTCACAGTCATCTATAATGAGATCTGCTGCCCTCTGCTGGTGTGCAGATGTTCATGCAGACAGAACACTGTAGACATAATAATCTTTTTTTTTTTAAGGAAAGCTGAAGGAGCCAGAAAAACAATGGCGGCCGTGCCTGATGACCTGAGTCTGACTGTGGAGGGCACGTGTGCACTGTGGTGCACGGTGCCTCAGTGCGCAATGCAGGTGTGTGGACACACACATAAAATATTTTTTAAAGGCTTTGAGATCACTTACCCTTTAAAACTATTCATGTTGGTGTGCATACATGCATGTAGACACATACAAACATAGGTGTGTGAGTGACTGTGGAGGTCAGAGGCCAATCAATGTTGGAAATCTTTCTCAATTGCTTTCTATCTCATTTTTAATTTTTAAAAAACTGTGTGTATATGAGTGTGCATGCACGTGAATGCAGGCGACCGCAGAGGCCAGAGGATCCCTTGAGCTGGACTTAAGATGCTTGTGAGCTGCCCAACATGGGTGCCAGAAACTGATCTTGGGTTCTCTGCAAGAACAGTATGTCCGTCCTTCCTTCCTTCCTATTTGTTCTGAGACAGGGTTTCTCTGTGTAGCCTTGGCTGTCCTGGACTTGCTTTGTAGACAAGGCTGGGCTCAGACTCAAAGATCCACCTGCCTCTACCTCCCCGAGTGCTGGCAGGACAGGCGTGTGCCACCATGCCCAGCCAGTATGCGCTCTGACCCGCTAAGCCATCTCTTCAGCCCCTCCCCTCACTGAAACAGTCTCTTGGTAAACTGGAAGCTTACCAGCTCAGCTCAGCCGGCTGGCCAGTGAGCAGAGCCCTGCCTGTTACGTGCCTATGCTGCACTTAGAGGTGTGTGTGCTGCTGCCGCTGGCCTTTCTTCCCTCATGTTTGCATGGAAACACTCTCCTGATGAGGCCATCTCAGTCCCTGCCTATACTTTACCCACATTCTTTCCCCAGTCAACCGCAGGTGTCCCAAGAATATACTACAACTCTTACTAAGGTTTGGCAGACCCTGACATGGAAACTGTTAACAAACATTTGTTGAGCAAATATGGCTGGCTACACTGATCATAGATAGGTATTAAAAACAAAGTCTCTCGCCAGGCAATGGTAGCATATGCCTTTAATCCCAGCACTTGGGAGGTAAAGGCAAATGGATCTCTGTGAATTCAAGGCCAGCCAGGACTTTAGAGCAAGTTCCAGGACAGCGAAGGCAGAGAAATCCTGTCTTGAGAAACCAAAAATAAAGTCTCTATCTTCCATTTGGACAGATAGCTCAGTGGTTTAAAAACAAAACAAAACAAAAAACTGGCTACTTTTCTAGACTCAGGTTCAATTGCCAGCAGCCATATGGCCACTCGCAACCATCTGTAACTGCAGTCCCCGAGGCTCTGATGCCATCTTCTGGCATCCTCGGGCACTGCGTGCACATGATATACATTCAGGTAGAACACGTAAATAAAATCTCAAAATTTTAAGAAGCAAACAAAGCCATCTCTATGGCAGTATAAGAAACCCTCACAGTGTAAGGGGCTGGAGGCAGCTCAGAGCACTGGCTGCTCTTGCAGAGGAGCCAGGTGTATTCCCAGCACCCACAGAGGAGCTCACAATTCTCCACAACTCCAGTTCTAGGAGATCTAGCTCTACCTTAATTACGTTTTTAATAAACAACAGAAACCCCATCACTGAGATGTAGCTGGGCACAAGGGCACACCTGTGGTTCTAGCCCACAGGAGGCCAACGCAGGTAGACTGGAGTTCAAGACTGCTTTGGTTATATCCCAGACTGAGACAAATGAGACCAAGACAAAGCAATTCAATCACTGTTCTACTTTGACTATCCACTTTTCAACTTCCCCAATGAATTTATTTGAGGAATAAACAAACAGCAAGACCCAAAGAAGAGAAAGGGCACATACATTTTTAAAGAGCTGTAAAGATCTTTACATAATTAGAGAATGGCTGTTTAAATATAAACAACTACAACTCAATTGCTATATACCACAGCCTGTGTTGACTCAAACACTTCTGCACTTAAATCACAAAATATCACTGAGTATTAACTTCATAAAGCTTGAAGGATGTAGAAAAGTTAACTCCTTCATTCACTGGGGATTTTTCAAGTGCTTATTATACCATACATACAGAGCTAGGCACTGAAGAAATAAATCTGAAAGATGCCTCTCTGATAATCAGTGGTCAAACTGGATCTCAAACCATGTTTGAGGAAACATGTTATACTGTCAGGACTCAATGCATTCCTTCATCATATATAGTCCACTGCTGCTTTATCTTCTACAGTGTGATGAAGGGGACAGCTGTTTCAAAACACTTCCTTTAAATGGTGATTTTACTGTCTATCTCTATAACAGCTTCATCTGGACAGAGCTTTACAAGTGACCCTTTCTAGCTGTAAGTGATTGCCATCAACTAGAACAACACATATCTGAAACTGAGTCAAGTTAAAGACAGAATATAGAATTTGAAACTCCATCCAAACCAGGCAAGGTAACACCCTATAATCTCAGTTCTCAAGAAAGAGGTAGGAGAAGCCCTGCAGATAAGTTTAAGGCCAGCCTGGTCTACACAGGAAGTTCCAAGCCAGCCAGTTACATAGTGAAATGCTCCAGAAAAAAAAAAAAAAAAATCAAATCAAATGAATAAATAAAAACTTGAAACAACTTCTGTTTTCAAAGCAAAATATAAAGGCAAGAAAGGGCCAAAAGTGAAAAATTGTAACCAATTTTCCTGAGCCACAAGTAAATCCTTTTAGTTTACCAAAGCTTGTTTTGAAGGTGGGCATGGATCCCGGCGCTCAGAGAGGGGGAGGCACAGACAGGTGGATCTGTGAGTTGGAGGGCAGCCTCGTCTACAAAGTGAGTTCCAGGACAGCCAGGGTGGTTATACAGAGAAACCCTATCTCAAAAACAAAAACAAAAAAAAAATCTTGTTTTGGGGGCCAGAAAGATGGCTCAGCAGTCAAGATCTCTGATTGCTCTTCCAGAAAACCCAAGTTCAGCTCCCAGCTACATGGCCACTTAGCGCTGCCTAAGTAACTCCAGTTCCAGAGGACTCAACACTCTCTTCTGACCTCACTGGTCACCAGGCATGTACGTCATGCATACACATACATGTAGGCAAAACACTCAAACACATAAAGTAAGCAAATAAAAAAATATAAGGGTTGCTTTTAAAGCTTATTTTAGGGGGGACTAGGAAGATGTCTAATTAAACAGGAGTACTTATTGCCCAAGAATGATGACCTGAACTTGAATTCCTGGCATCCACAGAAAAAAGCTCAGCCAGGGCGCATGAACCCTCACCTCCACTTGCACACGTAATGCATACAGTCCTCCTCTTCCCCACACGTGGTTTTCTTTTTTCCTCTGCACTACATGCTTGTAGATACTCAGAATACTGTCAACATTACCTGTGCTATACTACACCTTGTCTGCTGACAGTGTCCCTATCTAGAGCAGGCTGGCCTCAAACTCAAGATCCTCCTCGTCTGCTCTCAAGTGCTACGGCACACCTGGCTGCACTGTGCTTTTCTTGAGCTTGGACTCACACAAAAAGGAAGCGCACATGATACATGCAGTATCTATGGAACATCTGTGAATCTAAAAGCATATAATCTGGGACGGAGGATGTAACTCAGCATGGAGCCCCTGAGGTAGACGCCACAAAGCAAAGTTTCACAGGCTCATAAAATCGCAATTAACCTGAGCTGTAAGATATTTTCTCCTTAACTAGTTGCTAACTGAAGTTCTCTATATCGTGTACCCTTGAATACTGCAAATTCTGGGTAGATAATAATGCTATAGTTACTGGCCTTTTGAGACAGTAATGAAAAATCACTCATGGAATGAGACTGATTTAGACATTAAAAAAGAAAGAAAAAAAAAGCATAAATAAGATACTGTTAAGATGTTGCCCAGGGCTGGAGAGATGCTCAGAGGTTAAGAGCATTGGCCGCTCTTCCACAAGTCCCGAGTTCAATTCCCAGCACCCACACGGTGGCTCACAACCATCTAGAATGAGATCTCTTCTAGCGTGTAGTGTACATGCAGACAGAACATCGTATACATAATGAATAAATAAATAAATGGTGGGGATGAACTGCAGCTTACTTGGTAAGCTTGCCTAACATGCAGACTGTGGGTGTGTTCGCCAGCCCTGTATGAGCAGTGGAGCAGTGAAAGTCTTTAATCCTAGAGTTTGAGAGGAGAGGCAGGTAGCCTGCCAGCTGGAGGTCAGCGCACACAGAGAGTGACCTAGGGTTGCACAGCAGAACAAAAATGACATTTTAACAGTTAAAATCTCTAAATATCAAGTTTTAGCAATTTTTAAGACTTCTTCGGAAACCGGCCTTGAACCGTCAGATGCTCCCCCTCCACCGTTACCTTTTTTGAGCCATACACAATGTGGCACAATATGCATTTTCGTTCTCGTACCATAGTGACCAGATCCGAAGCAATCAATGTCAACCTGCAGAGAGGAAGTAACATTTAGTAACCTTTCCAGATATTGCCTTTGATTCACTTTTCACTCTGTCCCTCCCTCAATCTTCCTATCTCGGGAAGTATAAATTCCAGCTTTCCAGGTTCCAAGGTTAAAACTAACAAACTTTTGAATGTTATCCATTATTCCCCTATTATCCCACCCGGCAGATCCTGTCAATCATGCTGAAATATTTTCAACTCTCACCATTTGTCACTGCTGAGGCACCTATCTATCCTGGCACAGCCTCCTGTAAGTCCCCACTGCCATTATTACTCTCTTGTGGCTGTTTTTTGTTTGTTTTGTTTTTTCCCATCAAAACCATAGGGAAAGATTCTCAGAATAGGACTGGTTTAAAATTTAAGTTAGGCTAAGCATGGTGATACTTAATCTTAAACCTTTAATCCCAGCATTTGGGAGGCAGAGACAGGTGAGTTCCAGGCCAGCCAAGGTTACATAATCAGATCCTATGTCAAGTAAAAAATAAATAAATAAACTTTAGGTTATGTTACTTCTTTGCTTAGATAATTTTCTGTGCCTTCCCACATCAGAGAAAATTCTAGGTCCTTGCCATGCCAACTGAGCTGTTTCTTCTCTTTAGGTAATGACAACCATTTCCTGCTCTCAGTACTTGGACAAGTTCTGAAGCCAAGCTAGTAACTTAGAATCATCCATATAGCTTATTAATAAAAAGAGGGGGCTGGAGAGATGGCTCAGCGGTTAAGAGTAATGTCTGCTTTTCCAGAGGTCCCCAGTTCAATTCCCAGCAACCACAGGGTGGCTTACAATCATCTACACTGGCATCTGAAGCCCTTTTCCAGCATGCAGGTGTACATGCAGTCAGAGCACTCCTACATAAAATAAATCTTAAAAAAAAAAAAAAAAAAAAAAGAGGTAGCTATGTGCACAAAGAATAGATCTGCTCTAAGAATCTTCAGAGATCCCAGAACAAGTCATAGATAGATACATGTATCTAAAGATCTTAGGTCAAGTTCAAGGACAACTTGAGCTACCTAACATTGGAATCCACTTCAAATACCAACGGCAAAATATTCATTCCCCAAACATTCATCTTGTAGCACAAGTTAAAAACACTTGTTGGTGTCAGGAACTAATGGGTGGTGGTAGCGGGGCATGGCTTTAATCTCAGCACTTGGGAGGCAAAGGCAGATGGATCTCTGAGTTTCAGGCCAATCTGGTCTACAGAGCAAATTCCAGAACAGCCAGGGCTACACAGAGAAACCCTGTCTTAACAACAACAAAAACCAAACCAACAAACAAAAAAGACCAATTCTTGCAGGGGTGATGGTGAACTCCTTTAATCCCAGCACTTGGGACAGAATCAGGAAGATCTCTTTGAGTTCGAAGCCAATCTGATTGGTCTACAGAGTGTGAGTTTCAGGCAGCCAGGGCTGCATGAAAAACCCTGTCTCGAAAACCAAACCAAACTGTTCTCCAATTTTATTGTTAAGATAGCCTGAGAAGAAAACCCAGGTTGTCTAATGGTAGACCTCCTTAACCTCACCAAAGAGAGATCCTTATACACTGTACTCTCAGACATTCTGAACAATAAGCTTGGTAGAAATGAAGAAATTTTTATAAGTGAACTTTTATAAGTGAATGCAGATTCCCAGTGACAACATTATGCTGTAAAACACTGAAGATTTTAACTTTTTTGTGGGGTGACAATGACAAGAGGAGTAGTAATTAGGTTAAAATCCCTTTCTTGAATCCCACAGGCAATAAATTCCTGTCCTCTGACAGAAACCCTGACAGAAATGGATGGATTTCTAGTAAGCCACAGGACAATTTCTACCTCCACTCCTGGGCTGCCTGGATTGACCGACACTTCTGGGAGGGCCTCACTTTTGCAGAGTGAGTCTCACTAATAAGTCGCGGCCTCTAGCTAAGGAAGATGTTTTTCCTACACAGGGTGCCCATACAGGAGGGACACAGCTGGGAAGCCGAGACAGGACAGTCTCTAGAAGTCTGTGGGCCAGATAGTCTGGCTTATACAGCAAAGAGAACCTGTCTCAAACAGGAGGAAAGACAAGATCAATGTGGACAAGATGCCCTCAGACCTCCACATAAATGATGCCCACGCCACCACTCATGAGCAAGCACTCACACACAAATACCCTTTCTGAAAAAAGAACTTAAAGTCTTTCATGGATATTTATTTCTTCTACCTTACTTTAATGTAATTTTAATTTAAAATAAATTTAAATTCACTTTTAATTTCTGCTTCAAGTATTATAAAGCTAACAACACGGACAAACACATTTATGACTGTCTGCCTCTGATCTTTTGAAAGATGTTTAATTACATGTATTTGCGTGTCTGCTTGGGAGTATGTACATGTGAGTGCAAATGCCGGAAGAGGTTGTCAGTCTTTAGAGCTGGAGTTACATCTGATATGGGTGCTGGAAACCATATGTGGGTCTTCTGTAACAATCTTTGAAAACTGTTGGCCAATGTCAGCTCAACCACTCAGGATGTGAAATGCCAGCATGACTTTTAGCTGAGCAACCTTGGCCTAGCAGCACTTGGGATAGGAGTGGAAATGGGGTCCGCTGCAGATCTCAACATTCAGGTTAGCTCAGGTGGAGTCTTATCACCACCAGGCTGGCTGAGGTCTCTCTACACAGAGGGTTTTTGTCTTTCTGATCCCTGCCTCCCACCTCCCAAATGTTGGGATCACAGGAGTAATACCATGGTTGGCTTTAGACTTAATCTCTCTCTCTCTCTCTTTTTTTTTTTTTTTTAAGTGCTAGTTATGGTACCCAGGGCCACATGAATGCCAGGCACACATTCCACATTCTGCCGCTGGACTCTATCTCCAAAGATTAACGTGTAAACAGTTTCCCAAAAGGGCTTGAAAACATACAAACTGTGGGTGGCTTTTGTTTGTCTGCATTTTCTTTTTTGAGATAGAGTCTCAACATAGCCCAAACTGGCCTGGAACTCCCAATCCTCCTGCCCCTTACCTAAAATTACAGATGTGTGCCACCACATCTGGCTCCCTTAACCTCTGGCCAACAAATTTTAGGATGCATCCTGGGGCCATGGGAACCACTGGAAAATTTACAAGTAGATTTTTCCCTGGTCCTTGCAGGCAGGCTGAGGTCTAACCTAATCTAGTGGGTTCGGGAGGGAGGGGCTGGAGCAAATTTCACAAAGACAGCTATTTTATCAAAATGCCTTGGAATGTGGAAGAGAAATAAAGGAACCAAAGCTGACAGCAAGCAGCTCCTGAAGCATTGGTTATTGACCAAAAGCGCTCAGTGGTTATGAGCACTTACTATTCTAGCAGAGGACCCCAAAACCTGCAATTCCAGTTCCATGGGTATCCAACACCTCTGGCCTCCATAGGCACCTGTATTCATGTGTACATATCCATACTCAAATAAACTAAAAAAAAATAAAAGGTCCCAGGGCTGGCCCGAGAGATGGTTCAGGAGTTAAGAGGGTTAAAAGTACCAACTGTTGCTCCAGAGGACACGGGTTCAACTCCCAGCATCCACAAGACAGCTCACAAGTGGCTGTAACTCCAGTTCTAGGGATCTGATGGCCTCCTCTAGCATCTGTGGTGCCAGGCATGCATGTGGTACACAGACATACATGAAGGCAAAATACCCATAAGCTTAAAATTAAAGAAAATAAAGATTAAAAAAAGGTTCCAAGGGGCTGGAGAGATGGCTCAGCGGTTAAGAGCACTGACGGCTGTTCCAGAGGACCCGGGTTCAATTCTCAGCACCCACAGGTCAGCTCACAGACATAAATTCAGGCAACACACATAAAATAAAATTTAGAAAGCTTCCAACGTTTGTATTTTACACGGAGATGAAGTAGCTTTGACAGATATGCTACTCACTCTGTCATTAGGATTGAAACATTTGTCTTGATATCACTGGGAAAACTGGCCTTTTCCTCCTTCAACCTTATACGTATTTTCCACAACAATGCTCTCTGGTTGCTCACCTAATAGGGATAAACAGATATCTTGTCTGCTTCTCTACTTTATCATGTAATTTGGGTCAGAAAAAAACATTTTTGAGGTTATGAATATAGCTTCTGTCAAGTGCCTGCTTGTCGACTCTGCACCAAATTCTGGTTTTGATTCCTAGCACTACAAAACTATAGTGTGGGCTGAGGAAGCAGCTCAGTAGTAAAGGGTTTATCTAGTTAGTCGGCCACTTTTATTGCAAATATTCCCATGCCCCCTCATTCTTCCAAAAATGAAATGCAAACTATATTTCTGCCTTAGTCAGAATTCTATTATTGTGAAGAGACCAAAGCAGCTCTTACAAAAGAAAGCATGTAATTGAGAGGGTTTTGTTTACAGTTTAGAGTTAGTCCATCATCATCATTGCAGAAAGCATGGCGATAGGCAGGTGTGGTGCTGGAGAAGTAGCTAACAGCCAAACCTTGATCCACAAGCAAAAACAGAGATGGATGAGTGGAGCAGGGAGGAGGCCTCACCTGGTCTTTTGGAACCTCAAAGCCCACCCCCAAAGAGACACACTTCCTCCAACAACACCCCCTAATCCTGTTAAAAGTTCCATCCTCTGGTGACTAGGCATTCAAATGGCTCTGATAGGGCTATTCTAATTCAACCAGAACTTCCTACTTGCAAATTAAAATTTAAAACATCAGCAGGGCTGTTACAGAGAGAAACCTTGCCTGGGGGCGGGAAAGACCAAAACACATACACAAGCAAATACATGAATAGATAAAAAGTTTGAGGTGTTTGATCATAAATCAGGCATGGTAGCACACACTGGTAATCTCAGCAGCAGGGAACCTGAGGAAAGGGTCACAGGTGTGAGCTAGCTGTGTTACATAGTAAGACACTGTGTCCAAAAACAAACAATAGCACTCATATCCCAGTTTACAAAGTATGGTAGAAAAAGGACTGGCTAGAGAGACGGCTCAGAGGTTGGGAGCACTGGCTGCTCTTCTAGAGGTCCTGAGTTCAATTCCCAGCAACCACATGGTGGCTCATAACATTCTGTATTGAAATCTGATGCCCTCCTCTGAAGTGCAGGTGTGCATGACGGCAGAATACCATATACATGATAAATAAATCTTTTTTTTTTTTTTATAAAGCACAGCTTGATGACTCACACAAAACTTCATGGGTTTAGTCTAAGTAACGTTAATCTCAAGCTTCAATTTTCTTCTTTATACAGTAGTCCAGAATGAGGGAGGCAGAGGCAGGTGGATCTCTGTGAGTTCATCATCAGCTTGTCTAGACAGTAAATTTCAGGCCAACATGAGATACATAGTGAGACCCCACCAGATAGATAGATAGATAGATAGATAGATAGATAGATAGATAGATAGAAAGAAAGAAAGAAAGAAAGAAAGAAAGAAAGAAAGAAAGAAAGAAAGAAATAATATGGACGGGGGGGTGGACCTCAGTGATATAAAAAATTCTTGGGGCTGGAGAGATGGCTAGAAGTTAAGAACACTGACTGCTCTTCCAAATGTCCCGAGTTCAATTCCTAGCAACCACATAGTGGCTCATAACCATCTATAGTGATAAATGGTGCCCTCTTCTGGTGCCCAGGCAGAATATTGTATAAATAATAAATAAATCTTAAAAATAAACAAACCAAAAACAATGGAGACAGTGCCGCACAGAGATAGTAAAAGAACAACAAAACAATGACTGACTACGTTGGAGGCTAAATTCACCACTAAACCCACTAGTCAATCTCACTATCAGTGGGAACTACAGCAGACAGCATATGACATCACCAAAGTGTGTAGCTTGAATCCAGTAAGCACTGAACTCTAGTATCTAGTTGGTTGTAACCAGCTTAGTAATGTTCATCACAAGCCTGAGTCATCAGTTTTATCTACACAACTATCCAGGTCTCTTCAACAGATCAAAGGTGAAAAAGCAAGATAGGAAATTGCTTTATGTTAAAATAGACCTTAAGCTATACACTAGCCAAATGCAACACATAACCTCTGGAGACTGGATTAAACAAACACTGTTGGCTGGTGGCAAGCTCCCACGGTCCTAGTTACTCCCGAGGCACAGAATGAAAACAAATTCAAGGCCTGCCTGAGAAAGGCAGAGAGAACTACCCATCTCTCCAAAGGAGGAGGAAGGGGAGAAATGGAGAAAGTAGCTTGGGAAACTACATGTGTGCATACTCATGAACATGCAAAAACACACATGAACAAATGAACACACACAGTATTTTAAAAACAAAACAAAAGGACAAGCTGGGCATAGTGGTGTTGTTCATTTATAATTCCAGCACTTGGGAAGTGTAAAGACTGGAGAATGAAGACTGCGTTACTACACAGAGTTAGAGACCAGCCTTAGCTTCATGAACCCCTACTGGGACTGGGAATACAGCTCACTGGTAGCACGCTTGCTGAGCAAGGCGGGCCCTACATTTGGTTCCCAGCACCGCAAAACAAACAACAGTATAGCCAATTTTAGTAATATGTTAAAATTCAAGTGACAGGCTAGAGAGGTTAAGAGCGCTTCCTGCCCTTGCAAAGGACCTAGGACCTGTTCCCAACACCCATATGGTGCTCACAACCATCTGTAACTACAGTTCCAGGGCATCTGATGCCCTCTTCTGACCTCTGCAGGCACCAGGCACAAGTGTGGTACACAGACACACAAGCAGGCTAAACACCAATAAACAGAAAAAATACAAATTAAAAAACCTGCAACCAAACAAACAAAAAAACCTAATCAGACTGAGTTTATATTTTTCTGCTTGTTTATAACATTTTGTAATAAAAACATTAGGGTTAAACTGGGCATGGTGCATACGCCCTCAATCCCAAGATGGAGGCAATGGAATCTCTGTTAGCTGAAGCCAACCTGGTCTACAAAGCAAGTTCAAGGACAACCAGGGTGGTTACACAGAGAAGCCCTGCCTCAAAAAACAAACAGTTTAGGGCTGAAGGATGTAACTCAAGAGAATGCTTGTTTAGCTTGCAAAAAAACAGAAACAAACAAAACCCTCACAGACTGTGAAACCGAAATTCTAGAACCACTGAACAATAAACCCTCACTTGTATCTTCCATGCCCTACAAACATTCTCCACTTTCAGCTGATTCTGACTGCCTTCCACAGATACCGTCTCTATGTGCAAAACATGCATGTATACACGCACATACGCATGTACTCAAAGCTGCCACTACTACAGTAGGCACACCTTCTTGACACCATTACTTTCACACTGTATCTTGGAAGTCATTCAGTATTAGTACAGAGAGTTCGCTCGTTCTAATAAACGCAGATTTAACGCGTCCTCTGACGTACACCTGGGAGCTCGCGTTTCTTAATCTCTTTTGCATCACAACAACAAGAATAGACAGCAAGCTTTTAATGGTTAACTCTGCATCCTAGATGAACAGTCAGAATCAGGTAACTTGTCTGTTTAGGGCTCTTAGGCATTGGCACACATAAACTTCCCTTTCCGTAAGCTAGTTACAAAACACAAAGTATGTATGTATACGTCTCACTGAGTGATACCGAGTTTCAGAACCAAAGAGTCTGCCCCAAAACACTCAATGTTTCTTGCTTTTCCCATAGACTTGAATTTGTTCTAATCTAGATGAACAGTAACTATGTCCTTTTTCTTTTAAAAACACCTTCCTTTCTATCAAAGCAATTGGTTCTGAACTAGCTTGATGAAATTCCTTCACCCCTTTCCTCTCTTGGCTGTTTCGAAGCTCTCTTCAAAAATCTAACTCGACACTTTCTCTAGTTAAAAACTAAGGGCACATACCTGTAATCCCAGCACTGTGACCGAACTCAGGACCTCAAGTTTGAAGCCAGTCTGTGCTAGATTCCGTGTCAAAAATAAGAATCAAAACAAACTCTGTTTTCTAGACCAGAAGGGTTAACTTCAATTGGATTTCCAAAAGTAAGTGCTTACAATGTCTAACTTGGCAAAACAGAAAAAGTTTTGCTATCACCTTAGATGATGTTCAGAAAGTCCACAGCATGTAAACTTCAGTAAATCAACAGCAGCATCTCAGAACCTCATGTGAAAAGTGCTGCCAAAAAACATCTTATGTCTGTGACACACGCACTTGGTGCAAGCACAGTGTGCGAACTAGGCAAATCCTAGATGAATCTGATCATCCACTCTTTCATTTGGGCCAAACTCGAGAACAAAGTTACACTTCGAGATTTCCCCCATTGGGTTTTAGAACAGGATAGGACTCTTATTTAGTATTAAAAGGCATCTGTGACTCGAATCACCTCAATATAAACCCGTTATGGTGACTATCGCTCTAACTGCTAAGAGGAAAACTGTCTTATCTGGTTTCAAGTTGTTAAAACACACACACACACACACACACACACACACACACACACACACACACACTGAAATCTCTAACTTCCCCCAACAAGACGGCTTATTTCACTCTCAAAGATGACTACACCGAACAGACTTCGGTGGGAGGTGGGTACAAGAGTCTCCTCGCCACAATCACGCACTGAGATCGCGCTAAATACTAATCGTTCCACTAGTTGCTAGCACATAATAAGACTCGTCCCAAAAGCAGGAAAAAGAGGCGAGACGGCACTGGCCTGCAACCTGCAGCCTTTAAACCCCAGCCCAAGGCTGAGAGTCCTCCTAGACTCCAGGCCGACAGAGGTCAGGGCCTGGCCCGGAGGTCAAAGACTTAGAGCCACGCGTTCAGCCTGAGGGGCTTCGGGCAGAATCGGACCGCCCCTGCCAGAATCTGTGCCCAAGCCTGACGCACCGCTCGCCCATAAACCCCCAATCTACGCGGGTCAGAAGGGGCATCGTGGCTCGGACTGCGTGCAGGGGCAGCTCCACTACCTGCCCAAGGGGCAAACCATCCGACCCTCTGGCTCCGGTAAGCCCAACCATGCGGGGCCCTCCGTAGTACTCACACTCCCAGCCTGTCCTTCCTACGCCATCAGGCCGCCGAGGGCCGGGCGAGGGAGCTCCCAGACGCCCCCTTAGCCTCCGGTCCGGCGGCGGCCTGGGACCCGCTCCCCGCCGGGCACTGACGCCGCCGCCGCCGCCGCCGCCAGCGCGCAAGCGCACGCAGCCCGGCGCGCTCCCTCTCCCCCCTCCCCACCCTACCCAATCCGCCCCTTTCAACCATCTAGCTTTATTTGAACACAAGGAGTGAACAACGGACACCCAGGCAAGAGCTCTTACTCAAAACGCATGAAGAATCGAGGTAGGTCCCTGTGCACAAGCGGTGGGCTGCACCTCCCTTTCCATTCAGTATTTTTTTTTTTTTAAATAATCCTCCTAGCTCTTTCTGAATTTACCCTCACCCTACTTTCTAAATCCTCCACCGTAATCCGTGACACTGTCTTTACTAAATTTAAAGACTGTTCCTTCCTTTTGAAACTTTTGAACAGATAGTTCCCAAGTTAGGAATGGTAGCTCTGCTCATATTCTGGAGGTGGAGAGAGGAGGGTTAATTGGAGTTCAAAGCCACATAGTTCCTGGGCTCCAAGGTGAAACTGTTTCAACAAAAGACAGAACTAAATTTAAATCTTAGCCTAACTAGTAATAATTTATTTTTGTTTTGTTTTTCGAGACAAAGTTTCTCTGTGTAGCTCTGGCTATCCTTGAATTCACCAGGCTGCCCTCAAACTCAGAGATCTACCTTCCTCTGCCTCCAGAATGCTGGGATTAAATATGTGTGCCACCACTGCCCAGCAATAATGCTTTACTTTAGGTAAAGTGATGTTTTCTTGGAATGTCAGTTTTTAAAGTTAAAATTAGGATGTTTGATTTATTATTAAATTTGGAGCATTCCTGTTCTTCTGAGATCCTGTTATAGTGGCTATAATAAACAATTACATTACAGTTGATAAGTAGATGCTTCTCTATGTTTGAAACCGTTATAACAACTCCATTTAAGAAAACTATCAAAGCCTCAAATTAAAATAAATGGCTGCCTTAATTTATGTGTAAATTCAGATTCCTTCTAAAGGTTTAGGGAATGCTTCCTATTGTGTATTTGTGACATCACAAGACCTTGAATCATTCAAGATCTGCTAGGCTCATTCTACCTTCCTTTATAGTCAGGTTTGGAAGTGGTTTGCTCTGTAAGTTCAGAGCCATAGTCCAAGAGAAAGCCAATATAGGTAAGGACCGAAATAACCCCAGGTCAGGATCTCACAACTTTGAAACATTGACATTTTGGAGCAGATCACTGCTACCAGTTGCTGTCTAGCGCATTCCAACATAATGCTCCCCAAACTTGCCAGACCCTGCCCAGTGTTCCCTGGTTGAGAACTACAGTATTACATCCATCATCATCCCAACCCTAACTGAATTCAGCCGTGTATTTTCTTCCCCCCTGCCCTCAAGAAGTGATCTGAGAAAGAGTAAAAACAGGAACTGCCGAGATCTTTACTTCAGGTCTTAAACCGGCAGCTTATAATGCGTATCAGTCCTCCTCTTCCGTGGTCAGTTTAGTTTATCACATTCTACAAGAATACCCCAAAGCCTCTCAGCTTCCTTAAACTTGTATCCACCTTCCTAATCAGCAAAGGATCTGTCTCTGACTTCTCAAGAAAGTTAACTTCCTATTTCTAAACATACAGGCTTACAAATAAATTTTGTCATTATAATTGAGTGTATTCCTCTTTCCTCCAACTCTGTGTGGGTCGGTCTCTCTTCCATGAATGTTCTTTTTATCTCAGTGTTTTGAGTTATTTATTTTTACATATATATATATATATATATATATATATATATATATATAAAAATAAATCGGAGGACCTGCAACGGTGTGGACTTCAGGGATCAAAATTAGGTCCTCAGGCTTGATGGCAGGTCCTTTACTTGCTGAACCATCTTGCCAGCTTCAGTCCTATGCATTTTACTGTTTGTTTGTTTCTTTGTTTGTTTGAGGCAGAGTCTCAGGTAGTTAATGTTAGCTTCAAAATCACTGTATTATCAATGATGATTTTGTATTTCAAATCCACCTGTCTCAACCTCCTGATGCTGAGATTATAGGCTTGGGCATAGCATAGATCTCCCATCAGTGATTTGATTTTTAATTATATTTTATTTGTGTGGGTGTTTAGTCTGCATGAGTATCTGTGTACCATCCTCATACCTGGTGCCTGTAGAGGCCAGAGGAGGGTTTGGATCCCCTGGAACTGGAATTAAGACAGTTGTGAACTACCACATGAGGGTTGGAAACAGAATTTATGTCCTGTGGAAGAACAGCCATTTCTCCAGCCCACAATTTCATTTTTTTAAATTTATTTTTGAGACAAGGTATTACCATGTAGTTTTGGCTGACCTAGAACTATGTAGACCATGCTGGCCTCAAACTCACAAACATCCCCTTGCTTCCGCCTCCCCTGAGTGGTGGGATTAAAGGTGTCCATCAACTCCCATCATTGGTTTGAATAGTTAAGCTTTTACTGTATCAAGATCTTTAGCTAATCACACACTCTTTTATTTTTTTACTGTATGTCTTAGTTGGGTCCTTTTTTCCATACTCAAATTCTTCTATCTTAATTCTAACAAAATAAAAAGGAACAAAATGCACAATTCCTTTTTCTCAGACAAGGCCAAAGCGTCCAAAAACATTGTATGATGTCCCTATTTCTCTCCCCTCTCCAAACTATTATGTTTGTCAGCTATCACCAATCCCCTGTTATTCAAAAGCCATTTCTCAAGCTTCATTTTCTTTTATCTCTTAGGAAGAAGCTATCTCTTTGAAATAGTTTTTATTCCCTAGATGGCCAGCATTTTGGTTTACTCTTAGAGGTGCCTGGAAGAGTTCTTGTGGCAGGTGGTTTAAAACTCTTCAGTAACTCAACGGCCATAAAACGAATTCTAGGTTCATTATCCCAAAATGTATAAGACCTTTTAAGAGCTGGCTCTCTTCCTACCCTGCTGGAGATGGACTCTGGGCTAAAAGTGCTCCACCACGCCCCTCCACCCACTGATTACCCGTACTCTGAAATAGGATCTCACTAGGTCGTCAGTCTGGCTTTACATTCCAGAGTCTGGTCAGGTGATCTCCAACCTCAGCCTCCGATAGCCTGAGGACTACACGGTGTGAGCTACCACGCCTTCATCTTTCTCTTGACTCAAGAAAGTGAACTCCTAAACTTCTAACAAGAGTGAACTTCAAGAGACTTCCAGAAGGTGCCGCGTTCTTCTCGGCATCCGTTGTTCCCGCAGCCCGGAAAACTCTTATCTCATGGATTTCCGGAGGAACTCCTACTTATCCTTCGCGACTTTAAGAGTAACTTCCTGCGGCAACCCTACAGGCATTCCTCAAAATAAAAGGTTTTGTCCACCGTGGGCCGAAGGCGCCTCGGAATTTCTGTGCGCCGTATTCTGTTCACTGTGATGTGTTTGGGCATCTATTTCCCGGGTTTAGAGGGACGAGAACACCCGGTAGGCTTAAGCAGTCATTCTAGAGCTTTTCCTCGCCATTCAATTCAAAACACTAAGCGTCCGGACGCCGCTGGCTTCCAGAGGGAGGACAAGCTGTAGGGTTAACGGGTGCGTTCCCAGGCTCTCCGCCTGCGTGGCAGGAGACTTGAGACCGCCCCCGCACGGTGATTGGCTCCAGCCGTGGAGGTGTGTCCGCTCCGCAGCGGCCGCCGAGTGCGCAGGCGCACGCATCCTTCGGGCGCAGGCGCGCTCGCGCTCCCCGAGCAGGGAGAATCCGAGTTCTGCGCGAGCTGCAGAGGAGTGGCCGGAGCAGCCTGGTCAGAGCCTTCTGGAAAGTGGCTGTTCAGCGGGAAGGGTAGGATGATATCCCAAGGAGAAAGAGGGTGTGGTGCTCGTTGAACGTTGGTGGGGTCGGACGCTGGGGGAGCAGGGAGCTCCGGCCAGTCCTCGGTGGATTGGGCCGAGAGCGAGATCGCCAGGCGTTGGCGGCCAGCGCGAGCCCGGCGCAGGAAGGGAGAGGCGATAGTGGTTCCCGGGACTTTTGGTTCGGCTCCCCATTTCTTCAGCTCCAGCCTCATGGTGTTGCTCGTTAGTGTTAACAGACTGCCTGGTAGCCCTAACGAGCACAAAGTTCGGAGATAGTTATTAGAAGAATGACCCGGAGGGTCGTGGGTCATTGCAGACTTCACTGTCTAGGAAAGTCCCTGCTTTTACCTTAAGGCTTCCCCGCAGGCGAATTTTACAATGCATTTGTGTGTGAGAAGAGTAGCTTAAGGCATTGTTAACACTTCTTCGTCCTTAATCATTAGTCACTGCACTATTAGGAAAAGCAAACACCAGTGGTAGAGGAAGCGAAAACCTTCAGAGTTGAGGAAAGAGACTTTTCCTTTTTTGCTGTTTGTCATCTGGGTAGGTTTGGGGTGGGGGCAGGGATGGTGACCCAGGAGAGTGAGACACTGGCAGCCTTTTGACAGCATGTCCTCCGCCTTGTGAAAATAATGTTTCTTACTAAAAGATATTTTAAGGATTGAAATAATTTCATCTGCCCTGCTGCCTTTAAGAGGGTTTTGAGATGTGCTGGTAAAATGCTAATAGTTCAGTCAGAGCCAGGTAAAACGTATTCTTATCATGTTTTTGTTTGTTTGGTTTTGTTTTTTTTTCCTCTTGGAAAAGACTATGCTTAAATTCTGTGAGGCACGGGGTGGTAGTGGCTCACACTTTAGTCCTAGCACTTGGGAGGCAGAGGCAGGTTCTCTGTGAGTTCGAGGCCAGCCTGGTCTAAAGAGTGAGTTCCAGGATAGCCAAGGCTACAGAGAAACTCTGTCTGTGGGGGAAAATAACTCCTGGGAGGCATCATTTGCTACAGCACATTTTTTCTTTCTTTTCTCTCTCTCTCTCGACATCTTACTATGCAGCCCAAGCTGGCCTGGAACTCAGAGATCTGCTTGCCTCTCAAGTTCTGGAATTAAAGGCATGCACCACCATGCCCAGCCAGCTTAAGTACTTTGAAATCCAAACTTAAGCTATTTCACAGCAAAATAGGAAATGTTAGTATTTCTGTTACTAGCAAAGTTGATGCCCATGGTATCCATTGACCATTTGTTAATTGTTCTTTTGGTGAGAGGTTATGAGAAAGAACACATTCAAGTATATGATAACAAATAGGAGAAACTTTTTTTTTTTTTTAATCATGCGCCTGGGACAAGTCATATTAAAGCAAATTAAATGACTAAACAACTTAGCCTGTACCTTAAATAGTTATCATTTTTGGTAGGACTTTTTGTTTTGTTAAGTGGCTTGCTTATTTATTTATTTATTTGTTTGTTTGTTTGTTTGTTTGTTTTTGAGTCAGGGTTTCTTCTAGCTTTTCAGTTTCTACATTGTAGCAACCGTTAAGACCAAGTGAGGTTGGTACAGAATTGGGAGTGGGTGGCTGGAATTCCAGGTGAGAGTCTAGTGACAGCCCCTTCCCCTCTATCAGGGAAGGTCAACAGGCCCAGTTTTCAGAGTCTGTTGTGAGTAATCATCGTTGCTCAGATTAAGATGGTAATGATTGCCTATGCTCCGAGGTTAGTGTTCCATAATAACATATTTAACAATTGTGAGGTGGTTATAATACCTGGATGCACTTGCATATGTCTGTAATCTCCACTACGTGGAAGGTTAAAGCAGGAGAATTTCAAGTTTCAGCCCAGACTCATGAAGCCCCATCTCAAAAATAATAATAAGATAATATAAAAATGTATGTGTGTGTAAATAATTTCCCAGTTAGCTCTCATAGCCTTGGGCTTAAATCTCAAGATAAGAGCTCTCAGCAATCGCTCAAGCTCCCTCTCTGCCTTCTGCCATGCTCCCTGCCACGATGGTCATGGACTTTAACCCTCTGTGAATCTGTAAACCCAAATAAATGCTTTCTTTTGTGTGTTGCCTTGGTCGTGATCTTTTGTCCCAGCAATAGTAATGAACTAAGGCACAAGCTGGATATGTGTGTGTCTATGTGTGTGTGTATATATCTATCTCCACATATGTATATGGATGTATATACTATATTGAACACTCTGTTGTAGGCACTGTTTTGTTTTGGTATTTGGTGCTTGAGCATGAAACTCAGGGCCCCTCCTGCATGCTAAGTTCACTTGTCTCTGAGAGCTGCTCTTCTAGGAATAGTTACTGTTGCAGATATTTCACATGAGTAAACCATGTAACAGTACTGGAGTTAAGCGTGATTATTCTCATTTAACGAGGAAACCAAAGTATAAAAGTTAAGCAGTAGTCAGAGTTTGAAAGCCTTATGTCGTTGGGTATGGTAGCTCTTGACTGTAATCCCAGTACTTTGGAGGCAGAGGCAGAATTATTAGTGGGGTTTTATTTGTTTTATATTTTACTTACCGTTTTGGGGTGTGGGAGTGCACACATGGCAATTAGAGGAAAGCTTGAAAAAGTCCATTCTTTCCTCCATCTATCATGTGGGTACCAGGGATCAAATTCAGATCATCAGGCTTGGCTTCAGCACTTTTTCCTGCTGAGCCATTTTGAGGGCTTAGATTGATTTAAGTGTGAAACCATCCCTAAATAGTACCAGCTTCTGCCTTAGTTCATTTTTACTATTGCTGGGACAAAAGATCACAACCAAGGCAACTTATAGAAGAAAGCACTTATTGGGCTTACAGATTCACAAAGGGTTAAAGCCCAGGACCATCGTGGCAGGGAGCATGGCAGAGAGGGAGCTTGAGCAATAGCTGAGAGCTCACATCTCAAGACATAACCACCAGGCTGAGGGAACTAACTGGGGATAGCATGGGCATTTCAAACCCCCCCAGCCTATCCCCAGCCTTCTCATCCTTCCTTCCCAAACTATTCCACCAACTGGGGATTAAGTATTTACATAGATGTGTCTGTGGGGTCCATTGTCATTCAAACCACCACAGTAGGTGTACACATATGGCTCAGTCACAGCACAGCTTACAGGAGTCCATTTTCTTCTACCTTGTGGATTCCTGAGCTGGAACTCAGGTCTTCAGGTACGGGAGTAAGCACTTTACCTTCTAAGCCTTCTTGCTGGCTCAGGAACACCATTCTTTAGTGTTCTTTTTAGCAACCTCAATACTGATGTTTTCTGTGTGTATGTATGCCCGTTGCTCTTTGTAGGATACCTTGGAAACTCCAGAACACATCTAAGGCAGTGCATTTTTTTCTTAATCAACTAACATGAGATGGTTGGAATATTTCACGTGAGGTGAAGCATTGTCATTCATCCTCACCTAAATTTGGTATCTAACATGCTTAATCTGCCCGATTGTCATCTTTCCTAGACAAATGGCAAAGCTGCTGGTGCCTGAGTGCTTTCTCACCTTCCACATCTGCAGTGTTAAATGTCATTGATTACTGTCTCTTCAGGATTCCACCCAAGTCACTAAGGGTAGAATTGTGGAAATTAATTCCAAAGCTGACAGAAGCTTGAAGGCCGGGTGTTAGACACCAATTAACTTAAAACATGCACTTCTATAAAACTGATGTGGAATTTTGGGTTTGTTTCTGTTTGGTTGGTTAGTTCCCAATTTCTAGTGGTTTCCTCTGCCTTCTTTTTTGCCTTGAGTCATGTGTTTAAAACAGATGTTTATAATAGATTAGATTCTGGGGTAAATTTACATCAAATCATTTGCATAGTTTGGGGGAGGTTGACATAAGAATGGCTAAAGTTATCTGCCTAGAAGAAGGTACAAAATAAACCTGAGGGGAAACAGAGGGAGGAAACTTATTTCTTAAGACAGGGCTGTGTGTGTGTGTAATCTTAGGCTGGCCTTGAAGTAGTGAGCCTTCTGTCTCCTCCTGCCAAGCCTTGATGTAGACCTTCACACCTGGCTGTGGAAACTATGGATCTGACCTAAATGCCTTCAGGAATTGTTAAATTTGGAGCATTGTTTCTTTTTTTGATCAAAGCTCCCCCCTTTCGTGCGTGCGTGTGTGTGTGTGTGTGTGTGTGTGTGTGTGTGTGTGTATGTGTATGTGGGTGGTGGTTTACATAAAAGCAGCCCAGGTTGACTGTCTCCTTATATAGCACAGGATGGCCTTAACCTTTGAATCCTCCTGCCTTGGTCTGCCAAGTGCTAGGATTATAGGCATGCAGCACCAAATCTGGCCAAGCACATGGACATTTTAGACGTTCATGTTAGAAATGGAACACAGCTCCCACATCTGCCTCAGTTGTAAATTTAAATCTTGTGCTACTGTGACTGAGGTGATCTAATCTCATACCATCCCGATCCACAATGCCTCAGCCGAATCACCACCCCTTTGCATCTTCATTTACCCATAAGCCACTTCATGATTATCTCTCTTATCAGACTTGGTAGTGTTTATCTTCATTCAGGTAACCCTTATTTAATAATAACTTAATAATAGACCTGGTAGTGGTGTTGCCAGTTCACGTATGCCAGCAGAAGGTGTATACTGCTTTCTTCAAGCAAAAAGATGAATGTTTACTGTAGGTATGTACAGAGAAAAAAGGAGAATATATGGATTTGTACTCTGTAATTTAAGGCAGTGTATCCCCTGGTAAGAGAAGCCTGTTGTCATTTTGTGCTTTCTTCCTTTTTTTCTTTTTCTTTTACTGTGTGCATGTGCTTAGGAACTTATTATAAATTTTCCTTTCCCAGCTACAGTCTCTGTTTTCTTTGCGGGATTCTTTAATCCTCTTACTTATTTTTGTATCAAAAGATTATTAAGAACTTGTTCAGACCCTGTTTGATCCCAGTCTTGCTGCCTTGTGTGAAATATTTTTCATCTAAGCCTTCAGTAAAGGTTTCCCTCTAAACCTTTGTCAGTACTGCTTAAGACAAATCTGTTACTGTTTCT